TTTTAATTATAATAATTTTATTTTAATATATTAATTTATATTAATAAATTAAATTATATTAATATAAAAATATATTTTTAATAATAAATAATATTATAATTATAATAAATTATATAAAATTATTATAAATTTATATAATAAATTTAATTAAATTAATTTTAAAATATATTATATTTTATTTTTTAAAACTTTAATTATTTATTTTAATTTAATAATAAAATTAAAAATATATAAATAATTTATTAATATATATAATTAAATTAATTAATTTAATTAAATTTAAAATTATTTTAAAATAATATTAATTAATTTTTTAAAAAATAATTTTTTAAAAAATAATTAATTAAATATTAATATATTATTAATTAAATAAATAAATATTATTATTTATTAATAATAATATTTTATAAATTATTTATATTTTTAATTTTATTATTAAATTAAAATAAATAATTAAGTTTAAAATATAATAATATATTTTTAAAATTAATTTAATTAAATATATTATATAAATCTTTATAATAAATTATAATATTTATAATATTATTTTATTATTAAAATATTTTTATATAATATATTAAATTATAATTAAATTATATAATATTTTAATATAAATTTATTTATTTAAAATTAAAATTAATATAATTATAAAATATTTAATTTTAATATTATTAATATTATATATAATTATTATATAATTAAAATAAATAAAATTATTTTAAAAATAATTATTTAATTAATTTATTAAATTAAAATAATTAAATAAAATAATTATATTTATTATTATATATAATATTTAATTTATAATTTTAATAATTTATAAATAAAAAATAATTATTAATAATTAAATTTATAATTATATAAAAATAAATTTTATTTTAAAAAAGTTAATATATTTTAAAATAATTAATATATTTTAAAAATTAAAAAATTATAAAATTAATTTAAAAAAATTAAAATTTATAAAAATTTTAAATTAAACTTAAAAATTTTAATTTAATATTTATATTATAAAAATAAAATATTTATAAAATTAAAAAAGATTTAAATTAAATTAAAAATTAAATTAAATTATAATATATTAAAATAATTAAAATTAAAATTAATTAAAATTATATAATTATAAATTTTTAATTTTATATTTAAAAAAATATTTTATAATTATAAAATTTAATTAAATTTCTTTTTATTTAATAAATTTAATAAATAATTATAATAAAATTAATAATTATATAATAAATATAAAAAAAATAAATAAATTAATTAAATTTTAATTTAATTATTAAATTAATTAATAAATTTAATTAAAATTAAGGTTTTATTTTAATTTATTATAATTTAATTTAATAATAAAAATTAATTATATTTTAATTTTAATTTATTTTATTTAATATAAATAATAATTATTTTTAAAATTTATTAATTTATTAAAATATTTTATTATAAATATTTTATTATATTTATTTAAATAATTTTTTAATTAACATTTATTAATTTATAAATATATAATTAATTATTTATTTATAATTATATTTATAATTAAATTACTTTTTATAATTTATTAAAATTATATTTTTATAATTATTTATTAAATTAAAAAAATATTTTATTAAAATTTTCTTTTTTTCTTTTTTTCTATCTTTATTACTAATAATATATTAACCTCTTAATAATCTTTATTATTTATAATTAAAAAAAAAATTATTTACTTAAATAATTATTATAATATTATTAAAGTTTTATTATTAAATATAGCTTTTAATTATATAAAAAGACTTTATAAAAATTATAATAATCTCTTTAAGGCTATTTATATTAAATACTTCTTTACTACTTTAATAATAATAAAGTACTTTATCTTTAACTATAAAATAAATTACTTTTTTATAAAATAGCTCTTTAAAGGATTCTTTATATAAAAATACTTTATTATTTATAAATAAAATTATATAATTATTAAATAAAAAAGTAATAAAATAATTAAATTTTTAAATTAAACTTTAATTAATAATTTTATAAAAATACTTATTTATTAATTTTTAATAATAAATTAAGCCTTTTAATAGTAAATTAATACTTTTAAATAATATAATTAAATACTTAAAGATAATTATAAAGCTTTTAATATAATTATAATATTTTTTAAAATAAATTAAAAATATACTTTAATTAAAACTACTTTATATTACTTTTAATTTAAATTTTAATATTTATAAAGCTTATATTAAATAACTTTTAAACTTATAAAAGTATAATTAAATTTATTTATTAAAGTTTATTTTATTTAATTATATATATTTAAATATTTATAACTATTAATAATTATTAACTCTTTTATTTTTACTTACTTATATTTAACTTATTAAAATAAATTAATAAGAATATCTTTTTTTTTTATATACTTACTAATACTTTTAAATTTATTAATTTTAAACTTATTAATTAAATAACTATTAATTAAATAACTTATATAATAAATAAATCTAAACTTTATATTAATTAAGTAATAAATATACTAATTATATAACTTTATAATAAACTTTTAAAATATATTATTTATATATTTAAAAAAAAGGACTATATAAAGTTAGAGTATATAAGTAATTAAAGTAAGACTAACTATTAAAGTAACTATTAAAGTGATTATTAGAGTGACCGTTAAAGCGATTAGTTAGACTATTAGTTAGCCTATTAAAGTGATTGCTAGAGTGATTACTAGACTAACTATTAAAGTAACTATTAGAGTAACTAATTAAGTAATTAGTTAAGTAGTAAAAGTAGTAACTTTTATAGCTTTAATTATTTAAAAAGTGACGACTTATATATATCTATAAGTAGTTAATAGCTATCTATTAATTAGTGGAAGTTATATAGTAATTAATTAATAATTAATAAATTAAAGCTTAATTTTATTTATTAAAGAAATTTAAATTTAAGTAATTTAAATAATTTATAAAATATTAATTTTAAGTGTTTTTAAGGTGCTTAAATCGATTAAATTATAATTATATACTTAATAGTAATTTTAAATAAATTAATAATTTAATTAAAAATAGCTTTATTAATAAATAAAGCCTCCTAATTAACTAAAAGTAATAAGAATATTATACTTTCTTCTTACCACCTAGCACTTATAGTAGGTATAAAGAGGTGTAAATAAGCTAATTAGATTTCTAGCTTAATTATTAAATTAGTTAGTAGGTTTTTAATTAAGGTTAGAGCCTTTACCCTAGCCTACTTATAACCTAACTTAATAACTAACTTAACTATACTTTAATTTTAACTCTACCTTCTCTCTTTCTATTATAAATTAATTATAATATTTTAATAATTATAAAAATAATTTAATTATAAATATAATTATAAATAAATTAATAATTAATTATAATATTTATAAAATAATAAATTTAATTAAAAATTATAAAAATTAATATAATTAAAATATTTATAATAAAAATATTTAAATAATTAATATATTAATTAAAATATTTTAATTTAATTATTATATAAATTTTATAAATATAATAATTTTTAATTAAATTTATTATTTTATAAATATTATAATTAATTATTAATTTATTTATAATTATATTTATAAATTATTTATTAATTATAATTATTTTTATATTTATATTTATAAAATTTATATAATAATTAAATTAAAATATTTTAATTAATATATTAAAAATAATAAGTTAATAAACTAATATTTATATATTTAATAAGTTAATTTATATACTTAATATTTTCTTTTTATATACTTAGTACTTATTTTTTATATATAAAGCTTATAGAAAACTATATATTTAATTAAGATTCTTTAAATTTTTAATCCTTAAAGTATAAACCCCTTTTAAACCTCTTTTAATACCCCTTTTAATACCTCTTCTAGCGCCCTTTTATCTTTACTTTTTAGCACCCTTTTACCTTTACCTTCTAATAGCTCTTTACCTTTATCTTTTAATAGCCTTTCTAGTAGCCCTTTTAGTATACCTTTTAACCTATATACCTTTAAGTATATTTAGGTATTAACTAAGAATTTAGATATTAATTAAACGTTAAAAGGTTAGATAAATACTTAGTTAATACTTAAATATACCTAAAGGTATATAGGTTAAAAGGTGTGTTAAAAGAGCTGTTAAAAGGTATGCTAGAAGGGCTATTAAAAGGTAAAGGTGAAAGGGTGCTAGAAAAATTATCCTATAGGGTCTTTTAGTACTAACTTAGAAAGTACTTATAAATATAGGGGAGTTATTAAGAAAAGTAAGTATTAAGTAAATAGAAAGAAAATATTAGGTGTGTAGATTAATTTATTAGGTGTATAAATATTAGCTTTAAGTTAATTATTATAAATATTATTAATAATTAAATATATAAATTATAAAAATAGCTTAAAGTATTATTTATTAAGTATTTTAACTACCTTTAAGTAGTATTAAGTGTTTAAAATAAGGTATAAGCCACTCTAGGAGGAGGGATGAAGGGGTTTGGCAAGGCTCTATAAAGCACCGATCAGGGCCCTGTAGCAGGTCAAAATTGATCACTACCCAAAAATTTGGATCGGTGGCTCAGTGGTAGAGCATAAGATTGCAAATCTTGGGGTCCCGTGTTCGAACCACGGTCGGTCCTTCTTTTTTCCCTTTTTTAATACACCCAGCCATCAGACAGGCGGGTAATCGATGTGGAGTTAGCAACAGGTCTGTATGGTATGATTGGATGGTCTCCTTGCTTGTCTTGGCCTGATCGGAAGAGATGCTACCCGGGCTAAGACCCCACAAGTTTGAGAGTAAACTACATGTATCATTATCCTATCGGATCGGCCCTTGGATGTGTTCATGTGTACTGTTGTAAGTACTCCAAACCTCATTGTTGTCGCAACTGTGTAATAATAAACAACTTCAGTCTTGTCTTGGTCCTGGAAGTACAGACTAGCCGTACCCTCTGCCCTGAATTGTTGCAGCTTACGGATCTACCTACCAACTGCATATGCAGTATGCCATGTATTGTACCGGCACAGATGTGCTTGGAGCTTAAACTGCCAGAGTGTTCCCCTCCTCCTGTTTCAAACATGTTTAGATCTCAACAAACCCATCAGGATCACGGCCTTCTCCCGGAAACCCAAGCTCCCCTTCGGTCAGATCTTCCGAGTGCTAGCTCTACCTGGATAATTTTCAGATGAAGCGGCCGTTTTACCCTCATCCCAGCTTCTCATTGGCGACCACAGCTCCCACCCGCCCTGTCAAACATTCAAGCTTAATTCCCTAAGCTCTGTCGATCACTAGGCTGCAAGGAAAGGGATCCTGATGGGTGTGATATTCAGATCGCCGGCAGGGGGTCCTGCGTGTGACGAGTCGTGCCCGCGGTCCATGCTCTGCTGCACCGAGATCAGCTGGTCTGACGGGCAGACGGGGTAGTCTAGATGCTGATGGTGTCCAACGGCAGCTTCGCTACCCGGGCCTTGTCGAGGTTGTAGACTTCAGGCTGGAAACCTGCGGACATGAGGGGCTGAACGAAGGTGTCACTAGGTTCCCGGGAGGGCTCCGGGCCGGAGACGCGAGGAGAGACGCGGATATATATGTATTCGACGGCCCACCGTGAAGGCTCTAGCCTGGGCGTGATAGATTCGTCTCTCGTCTCTCGTCTTCCTCTTCTCCTTCTCCAGGTCCGGTACCATCTTCTCCAGCCGTCTTCTGCGAAGATGCGTTTCTCACAAGTTTTGTCCACCGCAATTGCGGCCGGCGTTGCCACCGCCGAGCCACTGGCTAACGTGCTCGCTGCGAACAACAACACCCTGAGCACCTTGAACTGTAAGACACAAAATCCCATCAATCAAAAATTGTGGGAGGAAGATTTGGCTGATCCGTAGAGTAATAGCTATCCTGGCCGGCATGCCACAGTTTACACAAGTATGCCACAGCTCCGGTGTACCATCGGTGCATCTTTCCCAGTGCCCGTGCTCGTGGTTGCTAACCAGATGTCAAGGCTTTGACCACAATTAGCAACATCACCATTCTTGCCCCTTCCAACGACGCCTTCGAGAAGGCCATGAAGGCCATGCCAGGCCTCACCAACGACATGAATATGGTCACAGCGCTCCTGCAGTACCATGTCATGTCAGGGGTAATGATGTCGACGGCTTTCACCGAGACGGTAATTGGAATCGAGAGGAATTCTAGTGAGCATCATACTAATCAGCAAACAGCCCAAATTTGTGAGCACATTCATGGGAATGCCATTCTCCATGGTAACTGGCAATCAGAAGGTTGAGCTGGTCAAGATGGAAAACATGGCAATGATCTTTTCCGGCTTCAAGCAGATGAGCAGTGTCACCAAGGCAGATATTGCATTCGACGGTGGCGTTGTACACGTTAGTAAGTGGTGGTCCAAATGGAGGCGCCTCCATTTTGCTTGTCTTTGTGTGTGAAGCGTTGAATTAGCAACTAACACGCTGCCAGTCGACAAGGTCCTCACCATCCCAATGTCCCCGTCCGTCACCGCCACCGACATGGGCTGTAAGTGTCACTCTTCTCTCCTCGACGAATCCCCATCTTTCATGGTTTCGGATCTCTAGAGTGCAATACTTCAAATCCATCGCCGTGCTAACGCCAAAGCCCAGTGACCTCACTCGCTGGCGCGCTGACCAAGACAAACATGGTAATGGCCGTGGACAGCCTGTCGGACGTCACCATCTTTGCGCCATCGAACAAGGCCTTCGAGAACATTGGTTCGGCAGCCGAGAGCGCATCCGTGATGGATTTGTCGACAATCCTGTCATATCACGTCCTGCATGGTGGCGACATGGCCATGTTCTCGACTAACCTGCTCATGGGGAGCAGCGCCATGTCTGGAACCACGATGGCTATGCCCGGCATGGCAAACATGCCAATGCGAAGGCAGTCGATGAACAGCACCCCCATGACATTCGCAACGCTACAAGGTGGGAACGTAAACGTGCGAATGGAAAATGGCAAGGTCTTTGTCAACTCGGCCCAGGTCACAATTGCGGATATTATCACCTCCAACGGCGTCATCCACGTCATTGACAAGTGAGGCCTCCCCTTCCCCCGGCCCCTCTGCAAAACCACAGCTTGCTGACTTGATCACTTCCTTCCTTGTCCAGCGTGCTCAACCCCATGATGGCCGATGCTATGCCAAATCCAACTGCCACAACCCAGACTCCCGCCTTCTCTGGGGCCACACCTGTTCAAGATGCTCCGTTCACGGAGGGTATTTCGCCGACGACGACGATCACGGCTGGCGGCATGACTGGTGGAGCTGGTGTTTTCGCCGCAATGCCCACAGCTGCTTTCCTGGGGGCTGTAGGAGGTGCGGCGTTGTTGGCAGGGCTTTAGATATGCCTGGTTGTGTGTTTGAACTCTCCCGGTTTGTTGCCAGTTGCAGCTCTGGTACCAGGTTGGGCCAGAACCATCTTGTGTCTGTTCCGTCATGAAAGGACGAGAATACTCGGTCTCGCAAATGGTGGTGAGTGAGGCCTTTTGATCCAAGGGGGGATCCCTCGAAAAGCAAATGCTCGCTCTTTCGAGAAAGGCAGGGTAAATACTCTGATGAAAATGGCACATATAATAATATTAATGGCTTTCAAAATACCCTGGTACTGCGGAACCACACTCGCGCAATATAGCTGGAAACCGTGGCTAAGTCTCGTATACCAAAATCCACGGCTCAGAGGTTGTGAATGTATCCATTTACCTCTGTAGCTTACTGGTGTGGCTGGAATAAGCCAGAGCCAGGCTCAGTCACCAGGTGTGCCAAACCAATCTATTTTGCATCCCCCTTGTCGAATTGAGCACTGAGTGCTACAGGCCTTTCCCTCAGGACTCCGCTATGAAACAGTGCTCATCAAGTCCTCGGGCCATGGGACAACGTGCGTTGTGTCCTGACACGCAATCCGCCCGTGCACACAGCGGAAACAGGTTCAGGGGCTGCGGTGAAATCTTTCCATTGCTGACCGTCTATCTACACAATGCTTCCCGGATTGCGAAGCTGCTCGCGCGGCCCTTGTTCTCCCACTTGGACATGATCCATCTAGTAACCGTCCTTGCCCCACTTGTTGTACTTCTCGTGCAGCTCCTGTGGCGCCTTTATGTTAGCTTCTCTTGTTTCGAGATGCGGTAGCAAATGGGTGGCCATGAAGACAGTAGTCCGCGCGTGGTACTCGCCCGGACGTCGAGTAATTGCATGCATACCTTTGGCAGGTTGACGTTGGGAACGACAACGGTGTTGACGGCGCTGGGGGCGTCCTTGGGCTCGGCGGACCTGTCGCCGCCGGGGTAGTACTGGTACTTGCCCTGCCCGCCGGTCTCCCAGGGGTTGCCGGCGTGGGGAACCTTCTGCTCAGAGGTGGAGGAGGTGGGCGAGCGTCCTGTCCATGGTCTCTCTCAGTTGCTGCCGAATGATTTTCAGCGATGGCCGTCATGACGTACCAAAGTAGAGTCCAGCGCCACCGAAGGCAGCGACCATGACGGCGCCGAGGATCTGTCATGTATCCCGCGTCAGCTCGTTTCCGGGTCGCGGGCTCCTGCTGGAGCAATAGGTCACGAAGACGGCGGCGTCACTGTTGGCCCGGTTGCGTCGGCAGCATGGTCTCAACGCACCATAAGCTCGGGGTTTCGCTTGGTCTCCTGCTTCAGGACATGCTCGCTTTGCAGCCGGCGGGCTGTGGTGGAGAAAGCACGGGTAGCGATTCTGGACGCCATGGCTTCTGACAGGGGTTCTGGTAACGGTGAGGGCGGGATCGGGCTGTGATCGGTCGTGGTGGAGGAGGAGGTGGTGGTTGTGGCCGGTCGGGGAGGGCTCGTCTAACAACTTTCGATGATGGTGGTCTCGTATGATTCGGTCCGGGTGCGCAGAGAATGGAGCTGCCGGCCAGCAGGGCGGGATTATGACGGGCGGGGGCGTGATTGGCCGGCTGGCTTGGGCACTTCGCATTGGTCAATGCTGCGCGAGAGCTGACATAAGCCTCAGTGCCAGCCTCAGTGCCCGTGGCCCCAGGAGTACTCCGTACCTCCGTGCCCCGTGCTCCGTGACTGACAGGGCAGCACCGTAATCTCCCGGGCAGCCTGGCAGCCCTGGCAGCCTGGGAAGGTTGGAACCTAAGCCGCATGAGGCTACAGTGGTTGAGTGGTATCAATCTCCGTACCGTTGCTGCTAATGAGGTCTGATCTTGGGGCGTGCATGTCGCATCTGTCCAGCCCAAGTGCAGCCCAGCCAATCCCCAGCGGCAGTACGGCACAGGCCCAGTGGTCTACAGGACAAGAAGCTGATGTTGCACGGGCTGCATGGCTGCATGGCTGCATGGCCATCGCAGGTGGGACTCGCGACAGGTTGGCAGCACACAGCACAGGGCTGACTGGCTTGGGGACTGCAGACTGCTGAAAAAGCATCTCGGACTCTGCTCAGACTCTCTCCTCTTGCTCAGGCCTCCTCTTCTTCCGTCTCTGCTGTGTCACACCCTCCCTTTTTCGCCGCCAACCTTTTTTTCCTTCTGTTTCTCTCGCCAACTTCCGTCACTCTTTTTTCCCCCTGCCCTGTCTTTGCGCTGCCACTCCTTTGATACTTCTCGATACCACCGTCTCAACCCCACGCGCCCGTAATCTAATTTCGCCGTCTTGCCGCCTCGTGCCGAAATCCATCCCAAGTCCTGGTCCCCAATACTGCCCGCCCCCATCGAATCGCATCCATCCTCAGACTCGTCAGACTCCACGACATCGCCGCAATTTCCGTGCTTGCAACCCAGGAAGTGCCCTGCACCACCCCGATTCTCCACGTCCCGAACGAACCTTAGCATTGAGCCAAGGCACCTGTCAGCCTGTTAACCATCGTCGACTCTCCGCTCCTACTGCGACCCCCTTTGATGTCTTCTGTTCAACCCGTGGCAATTATGATCTAGCCGGCCGTTGACACTGCGACGCACCCAAGCCCGGCCCCGACCACCACCTCACCCCGAGATCACCACCACGCACACGACCGCCCACTCCGCGCCCATGGCGTCTCAGGAGGGCTCGAGGTCCAACACCCCGGCTGGCGCTGCCAGCACCGGCGACGACGATGCCAGCTTCCCTCAGTATCCCGGCAGGACCACCGGCCCGCCCAGCATAATATCCTCCAGGATGACCGACATTGGCACCGAGGATGGACGCGAGATCGAGGCGCAGAACCCCAACAGGCAGAGCATGGCAACCTCCCAGACCGGCACCGTCAGGTCGCACATCTCATCGCAGAGGGCGCCCGGCGCCTGGCCTCAACCTACGCCCCTTCGTCGCGCGCTCTCTGGGAAACGAGGCAGTGTGGCTGCCAGCATCGGCTCCAGCTCTGTCGCGACGGGCGGCCGGCCCGTCAGTGCTGCTGGCCGGAGCCATGTCCCGTCTGTCTCCTCGCACTCTTTCTTCCGCCCCATGAGCTCTCAGAAGCTGCAGGCGCAGAGGGGTGTCGCGAGGCCTTCAACCATGAGCCGCCCGCCGGAGACGGCCGAGACACTGTCACAAGAAGTCGGCGCCACAACCATCGGAGCCAATGTCGTACGACACAGCATCCAGTCCCAGTCCACCTCGGCCCGCCGATATACCGGGGACGAGCATCCTCCTCCGTCACGTGGGACCGAGGTAACAGCACCCGAAACCTTCGATCGCGCCACGGCCAACACTAGTGCCAACGGCCACTACCCGCAAGGCAGCGTGTCCGACAGCGTTCGTCCACTGAACAAGCAGAGGGAGACTGCAGAGAGCAAGGGACTGGCTGTGAACCTGGACAAGAGCTACAAGAATTCCGGGCAGCCCTCTCCCTTGACCCCTCGATCGTTCAGGTCAAGTTTCCTGCTACCTGGGAGGAGCAATCAGGGAGAGAATGCATCAAATCGCAACATGCAAGGCGGAGAGAAACTCGGTTCTGTCGCCTCGTCCCCACGATTCGGCGATGGAGCCACCGATCCGAGGCCCAATACGGCTGTTGCTCCAAAGCCCAGCGGACAGGATATGGGCCGCAACTGGGAGTATTTCCTTGGAAACACTGTCTTCTGCATGGGCGGTAGGCTCCAGAACACCAAAGCCCGGCCTGTCAACATAGCCACGGGAGCTCTTGTCATACTGCCTTGCATCCTGTTCTTCATCTTTTCGGCGCATGACCTGTGGTACGATGTTTCGCCGGCTGTTCCGCTCATCTTTGCCTACTTGGCCTTCATCTGCGTCTCGTCCTTCCTCCACGCTTCAACTTCGGACCCCGGTGTAAGTCGTTTCTCGGTCTGACAAGAATACATGAACGAAACTGACATGGGAGATAGATATTACCTCGCAATCTTCATCAGAACCCGCCTCCTGATATCAACGAGGACCCCTTGAGGCTGGCGCCTCCCAGTACTGACTGGACGTTGATCAAGTCGGCCGAGTCGTCGACAGCCGCCATGGAGGTGCCAACCAAGTACTGCAAGACTTGCCAAATCTGGCGGCCTCCTCGCACTCATCACTGCCGGATGTGTGATAACTGTATTGAGACCGCTGATCACCACTGTGTCTGGCTCAACAACTGCGTGGGTCGCCGCAACTACCGTTACTTTTTCACGTTCGTCTCCTCGGCAACCCTGCTCTCATTGTACCTCATCGGGGTTTCTCTGACCCAGATCTTGGTGTACATGAATGCGGAGGGTGTCACGTTTGCTCAGGCGATCAATCACGATGCTGTGCCTTTTGCCATGGTGATATATGGCTTCATCGCGTTCCTGTACCCGGCTGCCCTGATGGGCTATCACATGTTCCTGATGGCGCGCGGAGAGACGACACGCGAGTTCCTCAACAGCCACAAGTTTCTCAAGAAGGATCGGTACAGGGCATTCACCCAGGGGAGCTGGTTTACGAACTGGGTCGTTGTGCTATGCCGCCCCCGGCCACCAACATATTACCACTTCAAAAAGAGACATAATGAAGGAGACCAGCGGCTGGCAAACATGAGAATCAAGGAGCGCCGGCGCAAGGCCAAGGAGGAGCAGCAGGAAGGTGTAGAGCTCGACGAGGTGCGGCCGCAGCCTGGTTTTCAGGGACCAAGTGCGCTGAGGAACGAGGCCCACCCGTCAACAACGACGTGAGAGCTCTGCCGAATTTACCAGCGCCACGCGCTCTTTATCTGGCTACATGCTGCTGGTTTCCTGCACTTTTGTCTTTCTTTTCTTTTTCTTTTTCTTTCCTGTTGTTCTTGGTTATCATATTTTCGAAGCGTTGCATCAACCTCGGCGATCGAGGTAGCGGATATTGGCATCAAGCAAAGAGATGGAGTTCCTTGACTTGATACTTATCGCCTATGTAATGTGTGACTCCCTTATACCCCGAGTTCTCTCAAAACTCTTCTTCTTTTCGATTCATAGAGTCAGCGAATCAATTTCTATGAAAACACGAACTTCCTCAATGACCTCAGTCTATCTGGAGGGGCGGCAGCATGCAATTGTTTGGATGTTGAGCTAGTCAATCCCCCTGCCCGCCCTGTTCGTCACCAGTTCGCGCCAAGCCTATTCTGCTCGCACATCTCGTGGGATCAATGGCCCGAACCTGGCCCCATTCAGATCTCGGGACCATTTTGCCGTCCTTGTACACCTGAACGCATGATCACGGCGCGAACAGATCCCGCGACGGCGTCATGGTCGATATAAAGCCGCTGGCAGGGAATGCCGCCGGCTGGTCAATCATCCGTGTCCAAAGTCCCGGCACGCCTCTCGTCCACCATGAAGGGTCTTTTCTCACTCGCTTCCGTGCTCCTCGCAAGCGTCCTCACGAGGGCGCACCCCGTCGTGGGGCGTGCTGGACCATTCCTCTCCCAGGTCAATAATGAGACGTGGGTCATTGGTAACGAGCTGTGGAACCTCACGCAACAGCGCACCTACGGCGTGAAGTTATTTTACAAAGAGCGCGATCTTGTTGGCGAAGCTGTCGGCCACTATGTGTCCTATAGTAATTAGATCCCCATGTTTTTACCCATTCAATGACTTCGACTTGGCATCAACTATAGACGCTGACTTCATAACTTCTAGACGGTGCGGCGTCCAATCTCAACTGGACAACGGCCTCGATCACCTCATCCGGAATGGATGAGGCTGGCCCCTGGATTGATGTGTGTTTCACTGCTATCGAAGGGGATATGCATTGGGTGATCCACACTGGACTGGCAGGAGCATACCAGTACTTCGTAAACCGTGCGGTGCCCGTCTTGGGCGAGTTCCGAACACTTTGGCGGCTCGACAACGCTACTTTCCCCCGGGGGCACACCAGCCGTCGCGACGAGCCCCTGCCGCCGCTATCTGAATACCTGCCCGAGCTCAAGGTGCAGGACGAGACATGGCTGCGTCCGGATGGAACAGGATACATTACCAAATATGACTTTTCGGCTTTTGTGCGCGAGCAGACGGCCTATGGAGTATATGGCGAGGGCTTCGGCAGCTGGTACATCAATCCGGGCAAGGATTACTACAACGGGAACCATCTCAAGCAAGAACTAATGGTCCACCGCGAGAGTGCAACGGGAGATGCGGTCCAGCTCAATATGATCCATGGCACCCACTTCCAAGTCAGCAGCCAGGATGCTTTTCCGGTTGGGAAAGTATGGGGGCCATGGCTGTGGTTACTTAACGACGGTTCTGTCGAGGACGCCGAGGCCCGGGCGCAGGACGAGTTCGCCGCCTGGCCGTACGCCTGGTTCGAGGATGAGGCCTACCAACGCCGCGGGAGCGTGAGCGGCCGCCTTGTGCTTTCGGACGGGCGGCCCGCAGCCCACGCAGCCGTGTTCCTGGGCGACAACGCGCCCAACAAGACGGCGCTCGACATGGGCAGTGACTACTACTATGCAGGTTACGCGGACGCCGACGGCAACTTCGCCTTCTCGGACGTGCGCGCCGCAACATACGGGCTACAAGCGTGGTCGAACGGCAGTTCCATCGCGGACGTCACGACTTCGCTACTCCAAAATGGCGTCGAAGTCTCGGCGGGTGAGGACTCGGACCTGGGCGAGGTGGAGTGGGCAGTCTCGGCGCGTACCAAGCTATTTCAGGTGGGCGACTTTGACCGGTACGCGTACGGGTTCAACAACGGCGGGGCACCGTACCAGCACGGGCTCGTTGCCTCATGTCCGGCCAGCCTCACGTACACAGTCGGATCCTCGGACCCGGCGGATTGGTGTTTCGGGCAGACGTGGCTCGGAAACTGGACCATCCGCTTCGAGATCCCCTCCAATGCCAGTGCGTCAGCCGCGGGGGCCGGACAGGCGGCTCTCATCGTCTCCCTCGCCGGCTACAGCACGGGCGCCAGCTCCAACGTCTATGCCAACGACAAAGTCATTGGAAACCTGACGAGTGGGACACCGCAGCTGTTGAACGACCCGGGCTTGTACCGCTCCGCTACGGTGGCTGGCGAGTGGAGGTATTTTGAGTTCCCTTTTGACGCCGGGCTGTTGAGTGCGGGCTGGAATACCGTCACGTTCCAGATGACGCGTAGCACGACCTGGAAAGGCTTTATGTGGGATAGTATTGCCCTGGAGTGGTAATGGCTGCTATGGAACCAGCTTAGCTGCAAACATTTTACATGAACTCACACGTACAACGGACTTGCAGTATCCCCAATCCACCCAACATCCAATGGCACAGCCTCTTTCGTGACAATCTCCTAGGGGATCTCCCCCCCAAAGCTAAAGCCTCATGAGAAAACCTCCTAAAAGACACCACACCAGAGACAGGCAATCCGCAGGTGCTCTGTTATGGCACTATATTGTTGTTGTCGTCGTCGTCGTCGTCTGTTAGATGTGACAGTGTGACGCCGATCGAGGTGTGACATCCTAACCTTGTGTGTGAACTGACTTAATACTTCTCAGCAGCAAAATTGGTTGATGACAGATAGTTTGCGGTTCGCCGTAGACTTTGCACTTATGAGATCCATGAGGTGCTGCAAATGATAGCACCAGCATATAGATAGACATTTGATTCCCCTAGATTTTCATGCCATCTCAGCAAGAAAGAGAGAGAAAAAAGAAGGAAAGAAAAGAAACCTTGCCTAGAAGCCTAAACCAGACCCTTACTCCTTGTTGATATTTGGGAATGCCAAATTTAGGTAGTCCGGCCCGGAGGCAGTGGTGATCCAGATGTTAATGTAATTACGTCCTCCACATGATGTGAACACAGTACAAGCAATGGCTTTATTGCACAGCTCACCGGAAAATCTACAGACTCGTTACCGCGTCTGACAGCGCTCCTAACAGACTTGCCTCCCAACGGGATATTTTGATTTTATACATCTGCGATGCTGTATGTACAATGTGCCTTCCCGCAACCCGCATGTATTTCACAGACATGTAGCGTATTAGTTGGCGGCAGTGGCAATAAATGCGAGATGAATCAACCCACGGGGAAAGGGCCAGAATTTGACGATGAGGTTCAGACTGAAATGAGTACATCGAGCCTTTCCAGAACGCCAAACTGGCAGATAGACCTCCAGTGTCTGCATCTGACCAGAGACTCAGCGTATACGAAAGTGATACAGGTGTGCTAAGGATTTGTCAGACTGACAGGTCCAAAAATGCCATCAGGTTTCCTGGATACCTATAAATTATTAAGCGTAGCGAGCAGTTGTCCTGACCTGTAGTGTAAGGGCAATGACAAGCAGAGCTTTCTCTGTTACTATATGATCGGATAAAATGTTTCTCATGCACCCTGGGCATGTATTGGTTAGAATTTACATCTTGTGCACGAGTTGGTTGATCAATGTATCTTTATATGTAGTATACATACCCAAGGAGTTGTTATCAACGTTATGAGGATATTGCGTGGTGTTGAGGAAGGAGTAACTCCTGCTCATGGCTCTATGTTGCCCGTATTCTACTCCGCTCTGGGACAACTCGTCGCTAAGCTTATCCCTTGCCTTTCGGCCATACTGTATTTTCCGAGATGACTTGTCTTTAAATCATATTCAATTGGCCAAAAAACATCATGGTACAAATCACCAGATTGGAGTGATTGCTGGGGGTTCTGTAATCTTGAGGTATAGATAGAGACTAAGTGTCTGCCCAGGTGCTCCCGATTCAGGGGTGGCTGGGTAATTAGGTAAGCCTCCGAACTCATACCCCACCAATGACCTCAAAATCTGCCTGATGATAGTATCTGGGACGGAGACTGCCATCCATCTGCAAACTTCTTCCCTGTGCTCAAGGCAGAAGCGGCAAAGAAGATGGCGGCGAAGACAATCATTGTGACTGGCGCTGGCCGAGGTATCGGCCTGGCAGTATCCCAGTACCTCTTGCAGAACTCGCACAAGGTGGTGCTGGTGGCCCGAACAGAATCCGAGCTTGAAGCTCTCAAGAAGCAGTACCCAGCTCAAGTCGAATATTTGGCGGCTGACCTGACGAAGTTTGAGGTACGATCTCATAAAAGCAGGCAGAAGTGTATTTCGGGGAAAGCATATTCAATTGACACGTTTATGATAGAATGCTACAAAGGTCACTGAACTTGCTGTAAAGCTCGGTGGAAAGGTCGACGGAATCGTCATCAACCACGGGGCACTTGAGCCCATCAAGCCCATTGCCGACTCCGCTGTTGATGAGTGGAAGACCATTTACGACATCAACTTCTTCAGCCCACTTGCCCTGGTCCAGGCCGTCATCCCGAAACTGCGGCAGACCAAGGGTCGAATTATCGTCACTTCCTCTGGCGCAGCGACCAAGGGCTACAAAGCCTGGGGCCCGTACGGCTCCTCCGTAAGCAATTTCCGGATACAACCTTTACCTCTTCAAGAACAAACATACTCCGCCTCCAGCCTATAGGACCCAGAACTTATAGGCTGCAGGTCTTGATACAAGTTATGGCCACCTTATGGCCTGCTTCTTGCTGTAGTCCTGCGAAGCTACTTCTTGGGTTATTTGATGGCTGACTTCTAATGCTCTATGCAGAAGGCCGCCCTGCACTCACTCGTCCAGCACTTGGCGGTCGAGGAGAAGGACATTGTTTCCGTGTCGCTCAGCCCGGGAAGGACGGATACAGACATGCAGAAGCTGTTACGAGAGCAAGGAAAGGGCTTCATGGACGACAAGGACCATGCTGGCTTTGTCTCTGCATTCGAGGAGGGCAAGCTGAACCCACCCGAGGGTCCTGGGAACGTGATTGCCAAGCTTGCGCTGGATGGGACACTCGACTTGAGCGGCAAGTTTCTGCAGTGAGTCCACCAGCATCTGCCCCAAATTTGCACAGTGCTTGCTAACCACGCGCGCAGGTGGAACGGTCCCGAGTTGGCTTCGTACCGCGACTGATGTGGTTCACTATCGATGTATGTCAGCGGATAATTCTAGCAGCAGGCGGTAGAAGAATATCCAGATGCATAGAGGAGCCTCATTCGAAAGATGAAAAGCAGTACATTTTCTTCCACACGGTGATTCAGTTTTAGCATGGAATGATTTTTGTAATCATAGGCCCCTCCGATGATCTTGGATTCCAAAGAGAAAATGTTGTGACCGACCTTGAACATCTCCCTGTTTGGGGTTGCGTGTTGCCACGTGTAGTGACTGCGTGCAAAAGGGCTATCAGTATCTCCATACCGCCTGATGGTGTGCAAACGTTGGTGAGGATGCGTTGTGCTCAGGCAATGGATTTTTTCCCCGTCATGTCGTGATCGGTATTTGATAGTACTACATTTTTGGGCATCATGGCAGGTGTGATGTTGGGGTGGTCGTCGCCGCAGAGAGCGTGGAGGAGAGAGTTGAGAACAAACCTGCCCGCGCTGTTAGCCGATGCCAGTCCGGAGAAGACGGTATATGGTCAAGAAGGAGCGTGGGAGGATATGCATCAGAGATAGTCCGTTTGGCTTAGGACGAGTCAATCACCATGGTTAAGTATGCCTGGGGCGACAACGAGTTCATCATTCTGTGCTGGCGAAGGGGGGAAACTGGTGGAAAGCACAAACCTTTTGTGAGCTTGGCCGGGTGGGCAGGAGACGAAATGGCCATCTGCTTCAGCCCATCTCGACGTCGTAGCCTGCTGGGAATCAGCAGCGAGGCCGTCGAGCAGTATTTTGCACAACAACGCAGAAGTTGTGTTGGAGGTTTGCAGGAGCGGGAAGGTAAGAGACTGCGAGTAGGGGCACGCTTTTATCGACAAAAAATCTTTAGATTTTTGTCGAGCTTTGTGAGGCCAGCCCGCTTAGTACCCGAAGGGGTTAGGCCGGAGCCGATAAGGCACGGCCGCAGATAGGCTGAGCCACACCTGTTGCGAAAGCGGCAAGCGCCCCCCAAAGTGAGACGTTTCCCTTTGCTGGAGGCGTGAAGACGCGACTCAAAGTACTTAAAGGCTTAGGCAGCTCCTCCAAGCTTGTGGTGGGACTGGGGGCCTTGCCTTCCCAAAAGGACCAATTCACCTCGAACTCGCTCCGGCATGTCACAGCTGCCAAGTTCGCAATGATGAAGGGCATGATATGATTTAAAAACACCGTCGACTCTTTTCCCCTCGTCAACCACTTCGATTTGCATTTGGGCATCAAAAAATACACAGCCGCAGCCCCTTGAATCCAACTTAAATAAGCCACCACGACTATTCATCGAGCAGCGCCACTTCCTCACCATGTCTGATCACGAATTTGGAGGTGAGTTCAGTTATGCTAACCCGACGCTTTGTCCCCAACCAGTGCTGGAGGTTGCAAGTGCGACCTTGTTATCATGAAGGACCTATCCAGCAAATGCTCCGTTGCTTCAAGTGGATCCACAGGCTATTCCGTTGAACCATGGCATATGGCAAGCAGAGTCTCAAGGACTGGGCCATTCAGCAAACATATCATGATGCCGTTCGTCATGTCCCTGGCACTTCTCACATGCTGCAAACCTAGTATCCTTGTTTTTTTTGGTGGTTTTTTCACTCTTCTTTCTTTCTCTTCCAGAGACACCCTGGGCTCCGCAATTTTTCTTCCTTTTTCTCTTTTCTCAAAATGTCGCACAGCCGTCAATATAACTCTCCCACCACACCGATGCACAACGTGCAGGTTGTCCACATCATACATTGGCTCCGAGACGCTAACATGTAAGCAGCAAATGACGACTTGTCGCTACCAAAGGGTGAGTAAATGTCAACCTTTGTGGGACGGGGGCATACTGGGGGGCATTGCCTACATATCCAGGGGCTAGGACAAGCCTCACGCCCAGGACATGCCGGCAGCCGCCCCCAGCTTGTCGACGCGAAGTTCGTCTCTCCCGTTGCATGGCTCCAAGCTGACAAGCCACGACAGCCACGGTCCAGAAAATTGTCACAGAGATCCTCCCGCCTGCCAACGGCGTCGCTTTTGCAAAGGAGGCCCGGGATCTGCTGATCGAGTGCTGCGTCGAGTTCATCACGCTTGTCTCGTCAGAGGCCAACGAGATCTCGGAGAAGGAGGCAAAGAAGACTATTGCATGCGACCACATCACAAAGGCCCTGGAACAGCTGGGGTTCTCCGAGTACGTGTCAGCTGTCATCGAGGCCGCCTCGGAGCACAAGGAACAACAGAAGGTATGATTACGTGGCCCCGCACTCCCCAGGCAGATGGCACAAGACCCCGGCATGTCTGCTGACATGATCCAACAAAACCAGGGACGAGAGAAGAAGCTCAACAAGTTCGATCAGAGCGGTCTGTCTATGGAGGAGCTTGAGAAGATCCAGGCCGAGCAGTTCGCCGCCGCGGCTGCGCGGCACAACTAAGCGGCCTTCCCGGTCACATTGTTGCATGGTAACAGATGTTTCTTTCCTTGTTTTGCATCTGGACGGCGTTGGGGATTCGGTACGGCGAGGATTGGGAGGGTTTGCTTGCGGTTACAGTTCCTGAGCTCTAGACCGCATGGCTATAGGTGTCCATGCTTCATTTTCTATCCTGGCAATGAAATCAATTGTTCACGGTATTTGACTGTCACTTTCCTCTGTCATTTGAGACTTTGGTCCGGGCTGGCCCAAGATGGACGATTGAGAACCAGTGAGTGCCTGTACGAAACCGGTGACCGTTCAAGTGATGGCCGGCTGTTCACCACGTAGGGGTTTGGAGGCTTAACAAGCTCACAAACTGTGGTGCCCTATATGAAACCCGACAAGCTCTGCAGGTCCTGTCAGTCTCCCTGCCCTCCTTTCCTGTTGTCTTCGGGCATTTGAGTGAAGCGGCCTACACTGGGATGAGAAAAGCCGGCTTCCTACCAAACTAGAGACCCTCTTTTGCTCATCATGCTCTCGATTTTATGCCGTGATATAGAGAAGGGACCAGGACCAGTGCCGTTGAGGATTGACGTTAGACCGAATGTCCAAATAGCGAGGCAGAATAATTATTGTTGAACAATTCCGATGGTTTCATTGTGGCTGTAAAGCTCTGCAAGTTTGTTTCTATATGTCTATTAAAAAATAGAAATGCAACGCCATTCCCAAATTTCCAAGGAAAAAGAGTCCCCATCCTCTTAAGTCTAAGGGTCGGTATCATCAATGCATGCATGCAAAGCCATGCGTATTGGGTATGCAGGTCGTAAATCGTCAGTGGTCGTGGGGGGGGGGGGGGCGGGGAGCGAGGGACAAGAGAAGGAGGAGTTCAAGAACAAGAAAGAAAGAAGAAAGAAGCCAACGACATGGATCACGTCTCTTCCGCTTTGTGACCCATGGTATCCTCTTCCCTCAGCAGCTTTGCCCGCTCCTCGCTCCTCACCCGAAGCTGTAACTCGAACGGCGCCGGGTGTCCACCGAGCCCAACCGTCAGCGAAGCCTCAGGCTCAATCATCTCGCCATCCGGGCCGATGACCTTGTCGAGGTCAAAGGTGGCCAGCATGGTGGCGATGAATATAAAGACCGTCGCCGTGGCAAGGTGGTTCCCGGGGCACTTCCTCCTTCCAAAGCCGAAGTTGCCCACTGGATAGGGCTCGCCGCGGTTGTAACGGTCAGGGTCGAACTTGTCTGGATTGCGGTAGGTGTCCGGGTTGGAGCACATCGCCTTGGTATTAGCGAAGACGACGGTGCCAGCGGGGATAAACATTCCATTATAGACGTCGTCTTTGATGCTCTGGTGCGGAATGACTAGAGGGTTGAGCGGCAGGGCGCGCATGACTTCGTTCATAAAACGGTTGAAGTACTCGAGCTTGGGCCGGTCGTCGAAGGTCGGCAGACGGTTGGTGCCTACCACATCGTCGATCTCCTGCTTGAGGCGCCGCTGGACGTCAGGGTACTTGGTGAGGAACAGCATGGCACTGAGCACAGTACCCCAGGTGCTGTTCCCTCCAGCTATGAAAACCGCGGCAGTGGCGCCCTTGAGGTCGGCAACGGTAGTCTCCTGCGGGATGCCAGCCTTCTCGTTTGCCACGTAGCGCTCCCAGTGTGACTTCATGAATGACGGAGAAGCCGTTCCGGCCTCAATGTCGCGCATGCTATCTGCCCACGGAACCTCGTGGATCGTCTTGATCGCTCCGCGGCTTTCCCTAGCATGCCGGAGAGGGGCGGATAGACTCGAGGGTAAGAAATACCTCGCCGGGGGGAAGAGGTCCACGACCGAGGAACCTGCAATCCCGCCGTTGGTGGTGACCTTGTTGGCGTCGTGAGCCATGGCGGTGTAGGGTGAGCTCTTGTCCTTGATCTCCTGGCCGTAGGCGATGCGGAAGATGACGCTGGTGGTGAGAAGCAGGGCAGTGTTGCGCCAGTCCTGTGGGCTACCGAGAAGGGACCGTACGGCCTTGCGGGCTTCGTGGGTTTGCATCGGCCGGAATGTCTTGACGGCGGACTGCGTGAAGGTGTGCTGAAAGAGGCGTCGATGAAGCTTGAACTGCGGGCCCCAGCGGAGGAAGGTCAGTGTCAGGCCCCAGCCCATGCTGTTCACAACCATCAGTGCTTTGTCCTGATTGTCCTGATCGACATCACGGTGGCCTGCCGTCACCTACATCTCGAACAGGGTGAAGCGAGGCCTGTCGCAGTAGTTGGCCCCGCGGCGGTCGAGGAGGTCCGTTGCCGCCTTAACGCTGTTGAGGCATATCATGTGCTGCCCCAGAACGTTGACATGGATAACATCGGAATCTGGACAAGTCTCAGCCCTTCGTTCTGGTGCGCCGTGCCATGTGGCCAGAGCGGGCTTCCCATCGAGGACTTACTGTACTCCTTCCCCCACCGAATATAGTCCAGCTCCGGGTGCTCACTGATACTGCCAAGGTTCCCGACTAGGAACTTTCCCGGTGGCCCTGGGGGCAGCGGGTACGAGGACCGCTTACGGTAGTAGAGGGTGGAGGACAGCCAGATGAAGAACAAGACCAGAAAGGCGCCCAGGGCAACCCTGAGGCCGCTCGTCGGGCCAGCGTGAAGCAGCATCTTGACCTCGGGTTGGTGGAGTGGAAGGAGAATGGAGAACAGCAACCAAGGGTCCAGGCTCTGGACAGACGAAGGCATATTGAAGCAGAGGGAGGTCTTGAAGATTATCTACTGATTCATGTCGTAAGAAAACTGGACTTGCTGACCTTACTCGCGGCATTCGTGACCCAGTGATTATGCAGCTGAGCGTACAACTCAATAAGCGGGCCCAGCTACCCTTTGAAGGTGTTTTGACTCATCATCAGCAAACTACCTGGCGGCGAGGTGGAAAGGCCTATGAAAAGTCGCAGGTCCATAGTGCTCACGACAAGAGGGAGGTGTGGGGAGATATCTGACTTGGTCGTCACAAAAGCCATGAAGCGGTCAGCTTTGACTTGGCTTCCCTCCAGTTGGGCAGTTATCTCCTCCTGACAGCGGCAAGGTCGTCACCTGGGTCCGCCATAATACAATAGTAGCAGGCAAGCCTCGGGCAGTGGCGCCCCGGCAGGGGAGGGAAGGCCTCACTCGAGGGCGTTTCCCGGCCCTCGAACATGGCGCTCTGAGGACAAAGCCCCTCACCCTGATGCAGCGGTCGGACTGCCGAGTTTGCCTCGTGCATTCTGCAATCTGCGATCAGAGCCTGTAAGGGCACCAGCACGCAGAGGTTCGCGGATCCGCAGTCCGGTTCTCCAGCAAGCTTGTTGTAGAGATTTCCTTCAGTTTTCCCTCATTAAGTTTGGGGCCGCATTTCCAAGGCGTGGATTCCCCGTGGTTGACAGGAGGCTAACCGAGTTGGTGCAGGCGTGCTGCAGGGTGGCCCAATCTTTTCGATGCAATGTTGCGCTGGCCCAACGATGACCCATCCACGCAGCCCAGGGAAGCGTTGCAGTCGCACGGGAGAAGGCCGTGGAAAAGTTCTCGAAGCTTGTCAAGCAGGCAGCAGATGAATCATGTACATCACCCTAGCGAGGAGCAGATCGTGGTCTCCCCATGTTCCATGGATGCGACCTTGAAATATCGGAAACTGTAAACCAGCATTAGCTGAGGGAGCGAAGCACTGCAGGCAGGAAGGGGAGCGTGCAGCAGAGTCATGTCTGCACCTAATCACGGAGCTCATGTGACAATGCGTTCCTTGGACCCGGGTGAGACGAGCGCGCATTGGTGACAAGTGTGGTGCCAAGCGATGGAGAGCACACTTCTGCACACACGAGGCCGGGCGAAGAAGGCATGGCTGCCCGGGCCGTTGGGCTTGCGAGCCGGGCAGCGCTTTGGGATCCGATGCAACCACGTGCCGACTGGACGCCAGAATAGTCGGTCTGCAAGCCCAAACTAGAGCTGACGGACAGCTGGCAGGAGGCTGAGACGGCGGAGGCCATGACTGGCCCACTCCGGTCCGGGGGTCGCGTCATGGCCATGGATGGCTTGGGGAGTGAAAGGGACGGGACAGAAAGTAAGACCGTATGTGTGTGTGTGCATGTGTGCATGTGTACGTGTGCGTGTGTGCGCGCGTGTGTGTGCACCATGTGTGTGTGCCTGCGTGTAAGTGCACACTTTCGGCACGAGGCAGCCAGGTCCCGGGGCCAGGGAGGAGGCAGCGCGATGCCACACCAGGCTCACCAAAAATCAGGCCAGAATCGGTCAGGCGAGTCCATGTCAGACCAGCAAATATCAGGCCAGTCCAAGTCAGGTCAGGGATACCTTCACTGTAGGATCGGACAGTGGGGACTGGATGGCAGGCTGGCAGGCTGGCAGGCTGGCAGGACGTGGATGGTGGGAACCGAGGGGCGGAGGGCGGAGGACGGGAGGGACGGGTGGACGGGTGGACGGTGGATGGATGTGGCGAGGACGAGGACGAGGGCGAGGATCGATGGCGAGGATGCAGCGGACGGACGTGGATAGGGAGAGACGGGCAGCCAGGAAATGATGCCGTGTCTGGGGGTCTGGGGGGGGGGCCCCTCCCGGAGCTGGAGCTGCAGTTGGAGCTGCAGTTGGAGCTGGAGCTGGAGCTGGGCTGGAGCTTGGACAATAGGCAATGGACAATGGATGCTGGACACTGGACAGAGGGGCAGAAGGTGTAAGGATTGGGGTTGTCCGTGTACGTCGATGTTCACCCGCGGGTCGCAGGATGGACAAGCTGGTTGGCTCTCGCGATGCCGTGGTATCTCGTAATGTTGGCCCCAACTGGGCAACCGTCAAGGATGATGGGTTCTGGGAAGAAGCGTGGCACTCGGCTGGGACCCGCAAAGCTTGAGGCGTGAAACCTTTAGCTTGAAAGCGGACCGGTGTTGGTGGACAAGAGGCGGTGGCACGATCAGGGTGGTTCAGTCGTCTCTCTCCATTCCTTTTCCTGTGGTATGGGAATATATACTTGGGTATGTATATGTATGGGGAGATAGATGTGTAGATGTGTGTGTATACATATATATATATATATATATATATATTCAGCCATGTAGACACGACAGCCTGGAGGCGGGTGCGGACAGCGGGCTCTGCAGACTGGAGGATTCCGGGCTGGACGACTGTGTCCAACAACATGATAACGAGGTGAGGCTGTTTGGGCGTCAAGGACGGAACAGGCAGGTTTAGGGAGACCAAGGGCTCGGCAGTTGTGCGGTTGGGCGCTCCTTATTTATCTCTGACACACAGACCTTCGTGTTGGGAAAGCTGCGCTTGACTTATAGCTATTGCTTATTTAAGGTATAGCTGGAGAGGAGAGGTTAGCTTTTAACGTATAGAGGTTTGTAACTAAAATATACCCCTTATAAGGATAAAGGGACGTCTATTTTACTAGCCAACCCTAAATTTAAATTTCTCCCCTAATAATTCTTTTCTTTTTAAGTAAGTACCCTTTCTAGCCTTAAATAATAATTTTTATTAACTTCTACTAAATTATACTTTATTTTTAAAGGAATTTAGGTAAGGTAATATAAATAATTAGAAGGGTAACTTAAATTCCTTTAATTATTTTTTTAATTAGGTATATTATATTTAATTAAATAAAGGGCTTTAGAAATAAAAAAACTTTAAAAAGAAGCTTTTATTAATTCTCTTTATTAATATATTATTTTTATATAGATTATTAGTTGGGAAGGTATTAGGATTAAGAAGTATTAAAGGAGGGTACTTTTTATTATTATATAAACTAGTTTCTTTAATTTAGATTTTTTATGTTTTAATTTTAAATATCCTTTTAAATATTTAGTATAGCTTTTTAGTAAGTAGACTTTTTAGTTAATATATTTTCTTTAAAGGTTTCCCTAATATTTATTAGTATTTTAACTACGCTAGCTTCCGCTATATTAAATAGGTGGGGAAAGCTATATTAAAAAAACGCTTGGGAAAGGGGTATTTGAACATTTGAGATAACTCCTTATGTGGTGACAGCATCAGAGACGAGGGCTGGAGGTTTGCGCGGCTGGAGCCTGCGTCCCGGGACCGGTCTCGGGAGCTGTTTCAGTGCGGGGCGTCTGGGGTGTCTGACCAGAGGGGGCCCTGGGAGCGTCTTGTCTCCGAGCTGTCCTGACTCCTCATCTGTGTCTGCGTCATCCAAGAGGAGAGCGAGCTGCTGTGCTGTGTAGCTGTAGGTACGGAGTAGTGTTGCTTCTGCGTCCCAAGGCTAGGAGAGAGGGGGTGGGGGGCGGGCTATCGGGCTATCGGGCTATCGGACTATCAAGTTATCGGGCTATCGGGTTATCGGGCTATCGGGTTATCGGGTTATCAGGCTATCTGACCTGCTCCATGCCCATCTCAGGTGCCGCGTTCTGTTTGAGAAAAACCAGAGATGCCGAGCTAGGGCGAGGGGGTAAAGGACGAGGGGCGAGGGGAGAGGGGGAGAGGGGGCTGGCTGGCTGGCCTCGCAGCTGGCCAGCTCCAGCCTGCCAGCCTCCTGAGACATGCAATCCAACATCCAACTCTCCTCTCACACCGGGACGACGAGCAAGGCAGAGTGAATGCCCGCCGCCCCAGTGAATCTGATCTTGGATTCCCCAGACCGGCCGTGCTGACCTGACAAGCTTTCATCGAACCAAGTCACTGCTGCCGCTGCCGCTGCCGCTGCCGCTGCTGCGGATCCCCCTGCGTCGTTTCCGCCCGAGTCCTAGCCCCAGCGGGAGATTCACAGCAGACCGTCAGCCAGATCGACCGTTAGTGCTCGTCAGGGCTCCACAGGCCACAAACTTGGAAAGGCTCATCTCCACCCTCCGCCCTCGCCCAGTCAGTGTCCAGTACCCGCCCGCCTGCCAGACCTTGCTTACCGAAGGCCTCCCCCCTCTAGCCCGGTTTTTTTTTTTTTGAACGACTGGAGGCACTTCCCGAGGTCTTGTGGCGACCGTCGACTGCCTGCCGCCACGACAGCAAGCAACAGCAACTCGACCTCGACCAAGATCCATTCCGGCTTCGAGTCGTGAGGAACAGCTCCCCATGGATTTCACAGACACGAAACCAATACAGAATGTGGGCACCGACCTGAGTCTGCCATCGCCTGCCGCCACCTCTGCGCCCGCGCCTGCGCCTTCTGCGCCCGCGCCCGTCATCAAGCGGCGCTCCCCCATTGCATGCCGGAGGTGGGTCAACGCCACGATCAGACGCGCCTTGCCGCGACTCTCGCCCGTCCTCGTGTGCATCTATACTGACTCTCGCCCTCTGCCCCCGTCTGTAGATGTCGTCGCATGCGGAGTAAATGCCTGCACGACAAAGCCAAACCACCATGCACCGCCTGCCGCGAGGCCGGCCTTGGTGCCGCCGACTGGTACGTCGTCGTGGTCTTCGCTCGCTCCCTCTCTTCTGCTGCCGTCGCCTTGCCTCGGCTCAACCCTCCTCGCCTCACCTCGCCTCGCATCTCCTCGCATCTCCTCGCATCACCTCACGTCATAGCCCTCCCCATCTCGCGTTGAGAACGAATACCCTCTTTGCCTGTTCGTCCGGCTGCCATGGCGGCCGCGCGCCGTCCTGCATGTTGCTCGTCCTACTGACGAAACGCCGCCCTCTAGCATATTCCCAGTCCGTGGCCAGCCCGATAATGACCGCGAATACCGTCACCCGCGCATGCGGGCCGACAAGAGCCAGAAGAGGGACTCGGCCAAGATGCGCCGCGACATCCTCGACGCCCCCGTCATGCCCTCGCCTACGCCCCTAAAGAACATCAAGGGCGTGGACGAGTGGGACTACCTCCCACCGCTGCCGGACACCATCGAGGCCGTCAACCAGTTCACGCGCAATTACTTCCAGCTAGGCTTCATCCCCAAGCAAGCCTTCCCTGAGCGCCTGCGGACGGACTCGAGATCCATCAGCGTCTTCCTCTTGCTCAGTATCCTGAGTATCTCAGCCCGCTTCACCCCGTCTCTTGTGGAACGGCACGGCGGTGGCATGAAGGCTGCCGAGACCTTTATGGACAGGGCAACTGCGGTGGCACTGTCAGAGCTCTACCAAGTACCAAGCCTGGAGCGGTGCCAGGCCTTCTACCTGCTGAGCATCGCCCAACAGGGCAGCGGGATGAAGAACAAGAGCTACGTATGGCAACCCGTGCCACCCCCCGGACATTGCAAACCATGGCGTTGCTAACCATTGACAAGATCAACATGGGCATCGCCATGAGGATGGCCGCTCTGATGCGGCTTCATCGGGAAGAAACGTACGCGCTTCAGAACCCTTCAAAGGAAATGGTCATCGCCGCTGAGTCCGCACGCCGCACGCTGTGGATGCTTCACAGTAAGTCGCCTCTACCGTACGCGCCGGCCTTCATCTGACCAACCATCTTCCAGGCCAAGACAACCTACATTCTGGCCCCGAATCACCTGTCTCTCTGGCAGCTGGCGATATCACAGCTCTCCTTCCATGCAGCGAGGAGGACTTTGCCAAAGGTCAGGAGCCGCCTTCCCGAGCAGCACTGGAAGACACGCCTCCTGCCATAGACAATCCAAAATTAATATCCGACCCAAGGCGGTCCCTCTTCGCAACCCTGATTCAGACCCACTACTTCTGGGGCCGGGTTTCCCGCAGGGCTGTCAAGTATGACAGAAGCTCCCGGCCGTGGGAAGACACGAGCGAGTACGCAGAGTTGGTTGCAAAACTTCACGAGTGGGAGAGTAACCTACCACACGAGCACATGTGGAGTCCCGTCCTGCTCAAGGGCTACAAGGCTGGAGGTCAAGACTTGGTAGGACACCTTGACCCGTCGTGCAGCAACTTGTGTTGACCATTGTTGCAGGCCTATCTGAGCATCACAAACTCGACGCGACTATGCAACATAGTTTTGAGGAAGGCATATCTGAGCGAGTATGTTTTGTTCCCAGCCCAACTCCTAGGACTGGATGGACGGTGCTGACACGGATGCAGGATGATCAACCTCGACCAATCGGACGCACAACTGCAGACCTTCTGGTCCAACATGTCCCTCGAGCTATTCAAGAATGTCAAGCTCCTCTATGAGCAGATCGAAACGCAATTCATGGAGAGAGTGGCTGATGACAGCCTGGGCGCTCAGATGGCTGTATGTGGCTCAAATTCCCACGCACCACCACCATCGACCCAGCTAACCTTGCCCCCCCCCAAAGTTATTCTGCGTTTTCAGCTGCGGCCACATGGCTACGTACCTTTGCAAATACCCAAACGGTTCGTCCCGTAAAGCCCAGCATCCAATTCGAGAAGTCACATCTCACTGACGCTGTCCAAGTCTGTCCGGACCCCATGATCAGCCGAGATGGGCCTATCATGCTCCAACGAGCGATGCAGATTCTCACGGAAGCAGCCCAGGTATGGCCACTGGCTGCTCGATGGCTTGAGAACCTGGAGAAGTTCTACCGTGACAACAAGGGTGCCATACCTGGCATAGAGGGAAGCATGGACGACAGCGTGCGTGTCACCCAAATTCTAGAAAACGTTGCTGCCCCCTGTTTGACTGCTTTGCGTCCGGGTTCGAATTGCTAACGAGGAGACAGCGTGATCCTGTACCCGAAGCTCTGCAAGCGGCACTCGCGCGACCCCCCTCAAGAAATGGAACTGGGACGAGCCAATCAGCCAGCCAGGATGCCAGCAACCAGCAAGCCCGCAACGGCGAGGCCCCGTCCAGTGCCGTGATGCAAGCACCACCCCAGGTCCCCACGCCGATGATGTACATCGACCCGAGTATGCGGATGTCACAGGGCCAAGGGCAAATGGCGCAGTCACAGGCCATGGCCGGAATGCAGCAGCAAACACTTGGGGACCGGCCTGCTACCGACGGCCTGGGACTTCTTCTCGAGGCCTTTGACTCCCACCACGGAGCGAGCATGGCAGCAGCAGGCGCGGGCCAGCCCTACGACCCCAGCCTCGCTGCGAGCCAGGCCGGCTACTACGGACAGCCAGGCACGGCCATGCCTGGCAACGATGGATACGAGAATGAGCTGCAGTTCTACATTGATGGAGGAGCGCAGAGCGTGCACGGATGGGTCGGGACAGGAGCAGGAATGTATGGATACTGATCAACTTTTCGGGGATACTCAACACGCCGGGCTGGTATACCATTCTTAGAAGGCTTCGGATGGCTTGTAGGCAGACTGTTTTCAAGAAAAGCATCTGGGAAAAGGGTGACTCAGAGCGACACGGGCATATTAATTGTTTGCAAATCCCATATAATTGGGTCGGTGGGGCAATGAGTGATTTGGGGCGGGGGGCAAACATGCACGGAAAGATAGCTTGAGCAATCAGACAACGATTACCATTGGAAACCCCGTGCCTGCACTTTTGGGGCGCCCCGTCGCTGGGTGGCAGTGTGGCTACGGGCATGCGATGGGGGTGAGCACAATCTTGCCCATGACACAGGGCATCGTGATAGGGATGGATGAGCATGAGGTTTACCGGGCCGGCCGACATCCAAGTTCGGCTTTCAACGGAAAGATGTGGAGGGCTGAATAGACCTTTGTCTTGACTCTGACTGGCCGGCCGTTCCTGCGTCGCAAGTGGGTTAGTACTCCGTAAACACTTTGACAGAGCCAAGTGGATAGATAAATGCTGCAAATGGATTCTAATGCCAACCTCTGCAAGCCGTGCGTTACTTGTCGTCGAGTCTCAAAGGGAGGTGTGGGGTTAAACTTTGAATCTTGGAGGTTGTGCTTTAATTGCCTAGGTAATTCGTGTAGGGAGCAAGTGCAACCACTGTGGTAATACTCTGCTCCCATGTTAGACCCTGGTAATATCTCGCCAAGGATTGTTTTGCCAGTTCTGGACTGGCGGGAAGCGGCTTAGCTGGAGAAAGAGGAGGTGGGAAGAAAACGGATAGATCGGCCGAGCTCGCGCTGCTACGGCTACGCTCACTGGCGCACTGGCGCACAGTTGTACTAATGTCTAGACCCCTGCCGGCGCGGTTGCAGTGGTCCACGGAGTACCCCAGAAAATTGGACGATTGCATCGGGCAGGGTTGCAGCAGCAGCATCGTGATGACGGTCTTTCATGGCAGAGGTGACTCAATTGTTGACTCAAAAAAGAGTACTCCCTTGTCCTAGCATATTTAAACACATCCTGATCCTGCAAGAAGGACTCGTCCATCTTACACCTCAAATCACCAATTGCTAAGCAGTCAAGCCCTGGCAGCTCTTGTGACTGTGTGTGCGTGCGTGTGTGTGAGAGAGGCAGTCCAACTCGATACTGTCCTTCCCCAATTGCAACAGCCCCTCCAAAAAAAAAAAGCCAACAAGTGCCCCTCATCCCCCCGCTGCCAAACTCGCGTGTGTGATCAGAAGGGAAAAGCGAGGCACCGATTCTGCCACAGTACATCACGATGCCTATGTAAGTCAAGGTCTTAAACCCGGCATAATACCATCTTCACCTTTGTGACCAGAATAATCAGCTAATTCGTGTCGCGCTTCCTCTCTGCAGGCTCAAGGATCCGTCCAAGAAATACAGGTCTTTTCCAGCAGTCAACCTGCCCGACCGACAATGGCCCTCCAAGGTCCTGAACAAGGCCCCCAGGTGGCTGGCGACGGATCTCAGGGACGGGAACCAAAGCCTGGTAGACCCCATGGTACGTTTTTGACTCTGAAGACTTGCCAATTGGCAGTCCTCGCTAAGCAACGGGCCTCCAGAATGGCGATGAGAAGTGGGATTACTTTAAGATGTTGTGCAACCTTGGTTACAAGGAGATCGAGGTTTCCTTCCCCTCCGCCTCGCAGACCGACTTCGACTTCACCCGCCGCCTGATCGAGACCCCGGGTGCCGTGCCCGATGATGTCTACCTACAGGTCCTATCGCCGTGCCGCGAGGACCTCATCCGCAGGACAGTCGAGTCCCTCAAGGGCTCCAAGAAGGCCATCGTGCACATCTACCTTGCTACGAGCGAGTGCTTCCGACGCATCGTCTTCGGCTTCACCGAGGAAGAGAGCATAGAGCTGGCCAAGAAGTGCACTCGCCTGGTCCGCCAGCTGACCAAGGACGACCCCTCGCAGCAGGGCACTGATTGGGCATTCGAGTTCAGCCCCGAGACCTTCAGCGATACTGGGTTGGACTTCGCGGTCAAGATCTGTGAGGCGGTCAAGAGCGAGTGGGAGCCAACCGAGAAGAACCCCATCATCTTCAACCTCCCTGCAACCGTGGAGATGTCAACACCCAACGTCTACGCCGATCAGATCGAGTACTTTTGCAGAAACATCACAGAGCGCGAGAAGGTGTGCGTGTCTCTTCACCCTCACAACGACCGGGGATGTGCGGTTGCGGCAGCAGAACTGGCGCAGATGGCTGGCGCAGACCGAGTTGAAGGCTGTCTTTTCGGAAATGGAGAGCGCACTGGCAACGTAGACCTGGTCACCCTGGCTCTGAACCTCTACACGCAGGGCGTGAACCCACACATCGACTTCTCCGACCTGCAGGAAGTTATCCGGACGGTGGAGGTGTGCAATAAGATACCCATACACCCTCGCGCCCCATATGGCGGTTCCTTGGTTGTTTGCGCCTTCAGCGGTTCCCACCAGGACGCCATCAAGAAGGGTTTCCAGGCCAGGGACAAGGCTGGCGCCGAGTACGACGACTACTGGCAGGTCCCTTACCTGCCTCTGGACCCCAAGGATATTGGTCGCGACTACCAAGCCGTCATCCGTGTCAACTCTCAGAGTGGGAAGGGCGGCGCCGCGTGGATCATCCAGCAGCACCTGCACCTCGACCTGCCCCGTGGCCTGCAGGTCGACTTCAGCCGGGTTGTGCAGAGAGCAGCCGAGGAACGCAGCCGCGAACTCCTGCCAGTGGAAATCACGGAGCTGTTCGAGAAGACGTACTTCCTGCGCGACAACCCGCGCTTTACGATTGTGGACTACAGCATCTCGCCGGACCGGTCGCGCAGCCCCGCACCGCCGGAGCCAGGCAAGACACCCGACACCATGTCCCTGCCCCGTGTGTTCGAGGGTGTCCTCTCCGTAGACGGCAAGGAGTACAAGCTGCGCGGTCGCGGCAACGGCCCGTTGTCATCCCTGTCGGATGCGTTGCGCAGCGTCGGAGTGGACATTGATGTAAACGACTACAAGGAGCACGCCGTGGGCAAGGGCCGTGATGTCAAGGCCGCTACGTACATAGAATGCACGGCTTCCGGATCAAGCCAGGCCAAGGTGTGGGGTGTGGGCATCCACGAGGATGTCGTACAGAGCTCGCTGGTGGCGCTGCTGAGCGCGGCTAGTAACGTGAGTGACCTTCAGAATGGTCCCGACCCAAGCACAAGCACAAGCACGAGCCCGAGCCCCTTGCCGTTGAAAGTTCTCAGATTGTTCAAGCCCCGTCTCTGATGAATTGGATTTGGTACCTGGCTGACGCAACCCCCCCTGCCTCTACAGTTTGTTCTGTCCCGTCCTAGCAGTCCCATCTTGAGGAATCTGAGCGACAAAAAAATCGAGGGCAACGGCAAGGCAGATGGGGCAGACATCATAAACCGTCTGGAGTCTGCTGCGGATGAGATGTAAATGTTCCCGTCTCTGCCAAGCGGGCCAGGGTTGGAACACGAGAAGGGAGACAGCAGCTCGACCTGGGTGGGCCAGAGTGGGATAGAAGCATATTGGGTTTGAATTTATCTTCAGTCCTATGACACCACTGTCTGCCGTACGGGGTGTTGACAACGCGCTGTCTCTCAGAAATGGCCACGGTGCTTGTAGACTGTAGCTAGCAGGGCGAGGTGCGGAATTATTGGGGTTAGGAAAAGTAATTGTTGTGATTTCGGTCCAAGGCTAGCATATTAGGGATGCAGGCCTGTACCATGACCACTTGATGTCCTTTATTCTATATATTTCACGATGTACGTTGTAGTTAGAGATGCACTCTGGGACACACACACACACTCTCTCCCCCCTTTGTGCTGGAAGAAGGCTGTTGCCTCACAGGAACCAGTAGCTATGGCTCTATGATTGGAGAGTTTCCTCTGTTTTAGAGGAACTAGGAATTTAGACAGACAACAGCCAAAAGAAGGTGCTCTCCTAATTGTTGATCCTTGAAACGGATACCGATCCTTCAAGCTACATGCCAGGCAGGCAGGCAGGCAGGCAGGCAGGGAGGGGGGGACCGGCGAGGTGCCCAGGCACTCAGCTAGGCAAGTGGGTAACCTGCAAAGGAATCTAGGTGCCTGAGGTTACCTAGGTAGATAGTAGGCGCTGCCATCTCGGCTTGAGGACTGTGGCGACCTGAAACAACGGTGCCGGTCCTTTGTGAGTGCCTGTAACGCCATGTTGTTTTCCAGCTTCGCCTTGGAACGAGACGATACTTGCTGTTGCGTATTCTGGACAGATAACGAGGAATTGCGCTTGTAGACTGCGAGGCTCACACAAATGCCGTTGGGGCAAGGCAGCCCTGTTTATCGATAGATCAGATGCATCTCTCAGGGGCACGACACTCCCTGGGTGGTTCTCGTCTCTTCCATGATAACGAACAACCCGGTAGGTAGTCTAGGCATTCTGCTGCAGGCAGACTGGCAGACCACGCAAGACACCTAACCCTGACAGCAAGTGGTGGGACAATCGAGTCCAGGCATTGAAAACTTGGAGAGGGGGGTTCAAAGGTGACGAGGGGCAGGCGGCGCTAACTCTCCAAGCGGCGGCCCTCTTTTCCCCAAGGCTGCTGGGTGCAGCCGGCAAGCGCAGCAGGGAAAGGACGTCAACACCGCCAAATCCGCAAATCCTCCTCGCCAGGCCGACGTCCCTCTCTTCGCACAATACTCACCCCTCCCTCGGTCGAAAATAACCAAACTCACCGGCGGCAACTCGGTCCAGCAATCTTTCCACGCGATTCACCACCCACCTTCCCAGCAACGCGCGCAAAGACGGGACATCAAGTAGAAGAGAAGGACGGGCACCTTTACTGGACCGTTCCGTCTCCACGCTCCTTTGTACCTCCCCACCCAGAGCAATCGGCAGGCTCGCGAGGCTTGTGCACAGCCTGGAACAGATCCGGTACAGCTCGAGCCTGGAGAAAGCGTGGTTCGGCTCCTGTGTTTCCTTGGTCTGCAGCTGCAACGCTGAGAGTCGTTTTGACATCAAATCGCTGTGTTGTTTCTTCAGACCGACCCCGGTACGTAAGGTCGTGGTGCTAGCTCCAGGCGGAGGGGTCGTTGATCGGGCCCAAGTTCGACTCAGGAACCTTGCCTTTTCTACATGCCCAGCACTGCCTGGCCTACACACCACACATGCTGCAGTGCGGTCGAGAACAAGCCTGTGAATGTGATGCGAGCCGCACTTCAGCCTCCCCCCCCCCCCCGCTGCCGCTAACAAATTATTACGACCAACAAACTCATGTTTTTCTTCTCCCCAGGCAACCCACACCTACCTTTCCACCTCTCTGCAACCCACCCTACACTCATACCAACCTCTTGAAAACCCGCAACCATGGCGGAAGGGGCCCCTCAGATCAACGAGGTGCTTTTGAACTCGCTGTCTCCTGGTGAGTCCTCCCCTTTCAACCGCTCCAAATCGCCCACCAAAGCCGTGCACCCCGGGTCGTCGCGTCACGATGCGATGCGCCTGCCGAGGACAGGCATGCTGACCACCCCGCAGACGCGAACCTTCGAAATGCTGCCGAACAGCAGCTCACACAAGCTGCCGAGAACAATTTTGTAAGGGAAACCCCCAGCCTACGACCCGCCTGGAGCCTATGCTGCCTGTCCTTCAGCGACAAGCCTCGCTGACCATTTGCCCCTCACTTAGTCATTGTACCTCGCGACCCTCGTACAGGCATTGGCAGATGAGAACGCCGAAGGTCCCATCCGAGCAGCCGCCGGTATCGCCTTGAAGAACGCCTTCACCGCCAGAGAATTCGCAAGACAAGCAACATTACAACAAAAGTGGCTCCAGCAGACCGATGATGAGACAAAGACACGCGTCAAGGATCTGGCTGTCCAGACCCTGTCGTCCAGCAACTCCCAGGCCGGCCAGGCCGCTGCCCAGGTCGTTGCCTCCATCGCTGCTATCGAGCTGCCTCGTAACCAGTGGGCAGACCTCATGGGCGCCCTGGTCCGGAGTGTCAGCGAGGGCAACCCGCACCAGAAGCAAGCCTCCCTGACAACAATCGGCTTCATTTGCGAGAGCCAGGACGCAGATCTCCGTGCCGCCCTTGTCGGCCACTCGAACGCCATCTTGACGGCCGTCGTGCAAGGCGCCCGCAAGGAGGAGACAAACAACGAGATTCGGCTCGCCGCCATCACCGCGCTGGGTGATTCCCTGGAGTTTGTCGAGAACAACTTCAAGCACGAGGGCGAGCGGAATTACATCATGCAGGTCGTGTGCGAGGCCACCCAGGCCTCGGACGCCCGCATACAGCAGGGTGCCTTTGGCTGTCTGAACCGGATCATGGCCCTCTACTACGACAAGATGCGTTTCTATATGGAGAAGGCACTGTTTGGTCTGACTATTCTCGGCATGAAGAGCGAGGACGAGGACGTCGCCAAGCTTGCCGTGGAGTTCTGGAGCACTGTTTGCGAGGAGGAGATTGCAATCGAGGATGATAATGCACAGGTAAGCTGGTGCCTCCAACATATCTTGCGAAAGGGTGCAGAAACTGACAGCCTCTCAGGTCGACAGCTCGGATCAAATGCGGCCTTTCTACAACTTTGCTCGCGTCGCCACCAACGAGGTCGTGCCAGTGCTGCTGAACCTGCTCACAAAGCAGGATGAGGATGCGGCTGATGACGAGTACAACATTTCCCGTGCTGCGTACCAATGCCTTCAGCTTTACGCCCAGGCAGTGCAGGCGACTATCATACCTCCCGTGATTGCGTTTGTGGAGGGCAACCTACGCTCAGAAGACTGGCACAACCGAGATGCCGCAGTTTCTGCTTTCGGTGCGATAATGGAGGGTCCCGACGAGAAGGTGCTCGAGCCAATAGTCAAGTCTGCCCTCCAGATCCTCATCCAGATGATGGAGGATTCGTCTGTGCATGTGCGGGACTCGACGGCTTATGCTCTTGGCCGCATTACGGAGGCGTGCTCAGACGCCATAGATCCCGCCACGCACCTGGACCCTCTCATTCGCTCGCTGTTTTCTGGTCTGCAGACCAACCCCAAGATGGCCCCTTCGTGCTGTTGGGCGCTCATGAACCTCGCTGAGCGCTTCGCCGGCGAGCCTGGCACGCAGACCAATGCCCTCACTGGGCACTTCAACGACAGCATTCAGTCCCTTCTGACCGTCACAGCCCGGACGGATTGCGACAACACGGTCCGTACGGCAGCCTACGAAGTCCTCAACATTTTCGTGCAGAATGCAGCACAAGACTCAGTTCAGCCAGTCGCACAGCTCTCGTCCGTCATCCTCGAGCGCCTGGAGAACACCATCCCCATGCAAAGCCAGGTGGTCAGCGTCGAGGACAAGATCACTCTTGAGGACATGCAGACAAGTCTCTGCTCCGTGCTCCAGGCTATCGTTCAGCGTTTGGACAAGGAGATTGTTCCCCAGGGTGACCGGATCATGCAGATCCTGCTCCAGATCCTGAGCTCTGCTGGCGCCAAGTCCAGCGTCCCCGAAGCCGCTTTCGCTGCCATCAGCGCGCTCTCCAATGCGATGGAAGAGGACTTCGTCAAGTACATGGATGCCTTCACTCCGTTCCTTTACAACGCGCTAGGCAACCAGGAAGAGCCAAGCTTGTGCTCGATGGCTATCGGCCTCGTGAGTGACATCACCCGGTCGATGGGGGAGCAGAGTGCGCCGTACTGCGATAGCTTCATGAACTATCTGCTCAACAACCTGAGGTCTACGGCTCTGTCCAACCAGTTCAAGCCCGCCATCCTGCAGTGCTTTGGCGATATCGCGAGCGCCATTGGCGGCCACTTTGAGAAGTATTTGTCTGTCGTGGCTCAGGTCCTTCAACAAGCAGCGACTGTTACTGCCAGTCCCGAGGGCAGCTACGAGATGTACGACTATGTCATCTCGCTGCGGGAGGGCATTATGGATGCTTGGGGCGGTATTATTGGTGCTATGAAGACCAGTTCCAAGAGTAAGCGTTCTCTCTCCCCTTTGCTCCCCGAGAACCAGGGTGCTGACCTTGATTTTACAGCTCAAATACTCCAAGAACACGTTGCGTCTATCTTTCAGCTTCTGAACGTCATCGCCAACGACATGAACCGCAGCGAGGCTCTGATGCGGGCGTCCATGGGCGTTATCGGCGACCTTGCGGACGCTTATCCCAACGGAGAGCTGGTTGAGGCCTTCCGCCAGGACTGGGTTGCTGCGATGATCAAGGAGACTCGGGCCAACCGTGACTTCCAGCCTCGTACCATAGAGACAGCCCGCTGGGCTCGCGAGCAGGTCAAGCGCCAGGTTGGTGGCACTGCCAACACGATGACGACGTGAGCCATGCTGTCGTCGAAGCGCCATACCCCGGCCCCCTCCCGGCCCCCCGCCCTATCATTTTCGCATTTTTAATGACAGCCTCATCGTCAATAAGCACGACGCGACTCGCTTTTGCTCCTAATGCCTCAGTCCGACACAGTAGGCAAAGGAAATCTAGTCGAGCGGAAGAATGCAGCACCATGCGAACAGCCCCCCTCCCCCTATCACTACCCAAAATCATCACATCACCAATGGCACCAAGGAACACCGGCGGCATGCGTGTACAAGTCCATGCGCCCGAAACTGGAGTCGAAACACAAACCCCAATACCCCCCAAGACACTACACTTACAACACTTTGGAAGCCACTGCTGCTTTTGTTATCTTGCCTATTCGAAGAGACCATCCTCAATATTCCAGACCAGGAGGCAAAGTGAATAGAGATTCATGTATTGACCTGCTACGGCCGGGCAAATCAAACGTCATGTAGAGACGACTGTCACAAAACGGAGTCAGGAAAGGAAAGGCAATGAAAGGGATAAGACAAGAGGAAGGCCGAGCCTCGGACGGGTGTCTCTTTGTTGTCCAAGTGGACAGAGGCCATACCGGGCGTTTCGGGAGCGGAGGATACTTTCTGGCAATGGGAAGACTCCCCGGCACCGCCTCCTGGAGCGGGAGAGAAGAGGCGGGAGCGTAGCTACATGGGGATGATTCTCCTGGTTAGGGAGCATATTTCCAGGCCCGGCCTTTGTTCACACAAAATGGGCCAGCCTGGATCCCTGGCAAGCAACGAGATGTGGGAAGCGCTTGCTGTGTCTGGTTGGCTCGCTGAGAAAGACAAATATGGCCCGATACTTTGAGGATAGACGATGCTGAGCTGCCTGGTCGAGTGACCGCAGTTCAATATAGCTCGTAATATGGTAGCGAAATCACAACCCCAAATACCCCCTCGCCCCCTTCCAGGCAGCGGGCCTTGGATTGAAGACTGTGGATTTTGCTAGACGCGACTGTTGGCGGACGTTAAATGTGACGTGCAAGTTTTGGGCGGAGAAGGGGGCCCGTTTAGGGTGTAGTGGTACTCTACTGCCAGGAGGTAAGCTCAGGACGTCCTCCATATGTGCCTGGTGCTCTCGAGTGACACGCGGTCCACAATGCCGTGCGAATGCTGGCATTGAACAACTAACTGGATGCTGCCCAATTTCCCAAGCTAGACTAGGGCTTTGGAAATCGATATCACCAGGCCTAATAGTGTTGATGCATCCTAATGAATATTTGATTGTGAATTGACGGGGTGGTGGAACCTGACATCATGCCCGGTTGCTGGTGACCCCAGAACCTGGCTGAGGCGACTCGCCTCATGAGTAAGAGAACACCTAATGCAAGCCGCCAACTGCGCTGGTGAGAACGCCTTCGCCCTCCATAGCAGGGGGACAACTAGACGATCACCCTCTTTGGGGGTAGTAGCAATGGCATTGGCACGCACTGACTTGCAAGAGATCATCAAAGGATAACACGGAAGCTTTCGAACCCTCTCACTCGGCGACCCTGCCGACGCCTTCCCCACGTGACACCCCTCAGTCAAACCCCAGAGGTTGCCCGAGAAAATTCAAAAGACAAGCCAGCCAAACCGCCAGGTGGTCGGGAGAGCAAAGAAAGAGAAGGTTGACTTTCTTCCTCAAGTAACCCAGCTGTCAAGGAACGGCATCGTGCACCAGCCCAGCAGACAACGCAACGCCTCAGTGTCCACTGGCGAACAGAATCCTTTTTAGAGGAGGACGGCGCAAAGGACCGCCGCCATCATGCATCAACCACCTCGGGACCGGCAGCAGCTGAACACCGTGCCCTCGCACAAGTCTACCCAAGTTTCTTCCCCAGCAGCACAGGCGTCAATAGCGCCAATACCGCCCTCCTTCGCCCGCCGCAAGAGGGCCATCCTGGCACAGCTGGCGGTGCCAGACGACGAGTACACGGACCTGAGCCCCAAGGGTACGGTCGATGCCGGTATCAGGGACCTGATTGACGAGATCAATGGGCTTGAGGGATTTGCCACTACCAGCAGCTGCGCCGGCCGCGTAAGCGTCTTTCTCGAGGGCCGCAGGGCAGGCCGGGGAGGACCCGCGGCTGCGGACGAAGGGAGTCTGGTGTTGCCGGGACACCATCTGGCCGTCGAGGAGGGCGTGGCGGGAGACGGGCTTGAGGACCAGGGGCAGGCAAGGGGCCAGCAGAACGCTGATGCTGCGGCTGCCGATGCTGCAGGGGCCTGGAGCTTGCCCGGTGGTGGTGGAGGCGGCGGTGGCGGGAGAGAGGGGCCATCGGCCGCAGCCTCGAACCTGGTGGAAACCTTCGCGGGCGTGGGAGGCAAAGGTGGCGGCGGCCGGTGGCTGTTTGTGTCTCATGAACCTGTCGAATCGAGTGGTAAGCTGGACAGCGAGCCCAACATTGTGGCTGCCCTGCTGGGCATGGAGGAGCCCATTTTTGACGGCAAGGAAGGCAGTTCGGCGGAGGAGATGGGGGAGAGCAGGCTGATTCATTTCAAATTTGAGCCCATGGTACGTTTGCATCTTGACAGTACACCCCTTCTGTGTCTTCTACCTGGTGCTAACAACCGATGCCCTCAGATCCTGCATGTCCTCACGGCATCCCCACAGCACGCCCAGCTCATACTTCGCTGCGGCCTACAGGCCGGCTTCCGCGAGAGCGGCGCCATCAATCTCATCCCACCGACAACGGCCACCCATGACGCATCAGCCGCGGCAGCGACGCCCATCGTGGCGATCCGCTCCATGGGGCTGGGGCTGGAGAGCCTGATCGGGCGGGAGACGAACGGGACCAAGCACTGCACCGTATCAGTGGAGTACCTACGCGCTCTGGTGAAGATTGCCAACGAGAGGTTCGCCGAGAACACGAGGCGCATCTCGCGGTTCAGGACGTGCCTCAAGGAGGCTACGGCTGGCGAGAGGCGGAAGACGAGGAAAGGGGATGGTGGCGGTGAGTGGGAGAGCGCCGAGGTCAGGAGGGAGAGGAAGAGGCTCGAAGGCCGCAAGAGAGCCGAGGAGGCCAGGAGGATCAAAGAGCAGCAGCAGCAGCAGCAGCAGCAGCAGCAGCAGCAAAGCAGCCAGGCTGACGACGCTCCGGGCCTGGACTCGCTAGAACAAATACAATAATTCCGACACTGGTTTAAGTTTTGCTGGAATATCCACTGTCGTTGCGGGGCCAGGGCTTTGATATATTTTCTCCCTTTTAACGCGTCCAGAACAGTCCCCATATAATACACGCTCCCACAGATGCAGTTTGCAGTTTCCTGGTTGAACTTCCCTTTCTGGGTGGGCGCACGGGTGTACGCCTCGTTTCGGCGACCTCACGATACAACCTTCTCAACCCACCCCTTCTCCAGGCGACGCACCTCCTCCCTGAACCGCTCCACCTCCCTCCAGCAGTCCAGCGGCCGGCGGTCGTTCTCGCGCAGGCAGCGCACGACGTCCCCACGCGCGGCCTCGACGGCCTCGGGCACCTCGCGCACGCCCTTCCTCTGCTCCAGCTTCGCCCGCAGCGCCTGCACGTCCTTGGAAACCTCGTGCCGCGTCACGGACGGCTGCTTGCTGTCGTCGCCCGGCGCCGAGGCCAGCTTGTCGGTCAGCTCCCTGAGCCGCTTCTCCTCCTCGTGCTGCAGCTTGCGCAGCTCCGAGGCGACGCGGGCCTGCACCTGGAGCTCGGCCAGCTGGGCGCGGGATGCGTCGGTCTGTTTGGTGATGGCGTCGCCGGTCAGTGTTGGTGGTTGGGCGCCGGTCGGGCTGCCGACAGGTCAAATGAGCGGTCCATGCAACGCACCTCTGGGCTCGACTGTAGCGACTCGACCATCTCATGTGATACGCTGGCGGGCGATGACCTGGAGAACCCGGCAAACCGGTGCCCGTCGTCAGTAACCGCGTCGAGGCCGGGTCAGACCAGAGAAAATAGGGCCGGGTGCCGGGCGGGCAAGCTTACCCCTTCCACACGTGTGGCGGCTGGGTGCCGGACGGCTTGGACGAGTTCGCGCCCATCTTGTTCTCGTCAATGGCTGTCTTGGGGAGGGCAGTCTGCGCGTTCGTCAAGAGGGTTTGGCTCTGCGGCTTGCCTGCGGCGGCGGCATATCACATAGGCAAATTTCGGAATGACGTCTCTGACCCTAACCCTCATTGGTGGGCTTGAGGCTGGAAAGGGCCATCCAGGGTCAGACCCTGACTTGCAGCTCCAGTGTTCATGAGCCATTGCGAGAACACAATTGGTACATGCGGAGTGGGCTTGGAACATTTCCTGTCCATTACAGAGATTCAAGTTCTCATGGACATGGACAAATTTCTACAACCGGGGCCCAGCATAGCCTCTTGCATGAAGCAGATTATCACTGGGAGGTACAAGCTACACTTGTGCGCACTAGATGAAACCGCCTCCATCACGATGGCTCGCATGAACCGAAAGGTTGTCTACGTGACTTCACTGGGCATGCCTTAATTTCCTTGTCCGGGGCCGAGGGATATGGGGATAGCATCTTCTTGGCTTCAGGTAGAGCGGCTTCTGGAAATCTTTTCGAAAGATTCCCTAGCTTTAATGAGTCAGTGGCTAAGCAATTTCTCCGAGATCAACGCCAGTATCAGACTTGCGGTGCCTCGGCCCAGCTGTGCTGCTGCTGCCAGCCCGAAGCGCTGGTAAGTTGCGTGGGAGGCGGCTATATGCTCTCCCGCCAACCTTGGTAGCATCCGAGCGTTTATACTCGGATTAGTTGACTGGAGCGGTAAAATGATCATCGACAGGGAGTTGGGGAAAGTCAAAGTGTGCCACTACCAAATCACAACAACGTGGGAGCCAAGCGACGAAACGTGAGATCTAGTCGCTTAATCATAAGATCTCTGTCAAAGCGAGGCTCTGTCGCCAGCACCTCGGGTCCAGCAGGGAGCCCTGCCAGCGCTGACGGTTATTGGCCGAGAACGCGTCAATGTTCCCTGTTTGGCAAGTAATCCGGGCCCGCACCCTTTCTTGTTGGTTTTTAGTCCTTCAAGATTTGCTCTTGCATGGCTGCATGGCAGGGCCTTATCGCAAGCAGCCTGGCAGCCACGCAGGCTTGTGGCCTGGGCCGCCTGGCCGGCCCTGCCAAGGGGTTGTTTTGTGCAGGGTTCGGACCAGTGGACAGGGGTGAACGGGGCGGGAGCCTCCCAGCGAGATTACATTGAGGCAGTCCTAGATTATGAGAAGCACTCAAACTGAAGATACGAAGTGGGGTTCTTCAGACTCGACCGTTGTTTGACAGACTGCTCATCATAGCCTCATGCCCTGCCATGCGGAGCCTCCACACCGCACAACAAGAACGTGGCAATGGCAAGATTGAGCAACGGCCAGGCCCCCAAAGCGGCTGGACGGTGCCAAAAAGGGCCAAGGCGCCTGTCAAGACCTCATATGTTGGGAGGATTCCGGCCCAGCGGTGCTGGGTCTTGGATTGCTTCTTCTGGCTTCGTATTCCGAGTTTGCCGAGAGGACTGGGCTGCTGGCAGGGCGGGTTCCTTCCGAGAAAGGACCACGACGAAGGACCACCAAGCGCCTTGGGCCATCCAGGGCCATCTCGCTTGGGTCTGAGGTTCTGCACAAGGGGCGGGCGGGCTGCGAAGGATGGCACGCAAGCAGGGCAGAGCATGGCAGAGCATGGCAGAGGGATGCCAGAGGGGTGCCAGAGACAAGGTGAGGTCGGCCGGAATAATTCATGTTCTGGGCCAAACGGAGAAATACAGACGGGGCGCAACTGTCCTTCATCAAGCCCCGTGTGCCATCAGGACGGATCTTGCGCAGCTTGGGCAGGCCGGGTCACAACACCGTCGCCTGATGATGACCACCTGCAGCGATGCTGACGGCTGGTCAAAGATGACCGACGGCGTATCGTGGTGCCCAGTCCCGTTGTGGTCCCGGTCCTGGGGATATCAAGGGGCTCTCCGCCGAGACCCAAGGATCCGGTCAGGCTGAGGATGAGGCGGGTGCGGGTGCGGGGAGATGACACAACGTGGTGTTGTTTCCATCCGATGTTTGCAGATCGGCGGCAGTAAACAATTCAAGATCATGTGTTTCGAGCGGTTGTTTCTGTCAGCTGGCTCTGTTCTGTTCTAGTGCGGCCAGCCAGCCAGCCAGCCAGCCAGCCAGGGCAGCTCTGGTGATGGCGCCGCGGTGATAAATGTTTGAGGTTTCCCGGGCGGCCCCCTTTTTTTGCTGCAAGGTAACCTCGGACCCCTGACCCCTGGCCAGGGGCTCAGCCGCATTGATTGGCCCTGCTGAGTCGCCGTCGACCTGCCGTGTCCGACTGACAAGCGATGCCAGCCAATGCCTCGCCGCCGCCCAGGGCCTGTCCAGCGTGTACATCCCTACTAGGTGGTATTGATCGTCCCGTCGATGCGGATGCTGCTCAACGACTCGTCCAGACTTTCGCCGGCACGGCTTGGATGGCACTGGATGGGTTCCTGCCAGGCCTGCGTGCAGCTGGATCCATAGGTCATCGGCTGTCCTGCTCACTGCTGTAGTGTCCGAGGTGCCCGTGAGCCTTGAAAAGACAACTCCAAGAGGGGCCTCCAGAGGGGATTCGCAGCAGGCACAGGGACATGGGGGCCCGTCGTCTGTGCGGGAAACAGGCCTTGTACCTCCGTACCTGCCCGCCCGTTACACAGCCCGGACAGCCAGCGACGCGCAGCTGCACCCACAGCTGCGCTAACATGCGAGAGACAGGTTGGCTCACCGTCGGGACTCCACCGAGCATGGGTACGGGCCAGTCCTTGCCTCTTCCATCTCGTCTCCCTTGACGCCGTAGTCCCTTTTTTCTCTCCTCCCACTGGCAGGGCCTGCATGGTCCATCTGGCCCATCTGGCCCATCTGGTCCATCTTGGCCCCATGTTGGTTCCTGACGGCACCGCGGCACATTGTGCTCTGTCCAGCAATCGCACTGCACTGCACGGCTTGGGCCTGGCTTGGTCTACTGACTTTGGCTGCATCTCGGGTGACGCCGAGTGGGAAAACTGCCCACCTGTTGGTACCCCTGGCCTCCCAGCTTGCTCATCTATTCTTGTTCTTAACCCACGGCGATCCCCTCGTCTTCCTTGCACTCCCCGACCAAGCCTCTCCTTTGCTTTCTGATTCTGTGGACCTCTCTGGTCAGTTCGATTCTCGTGTGTCGTGACCCTGCTCTGCTGTGCTCTGCTGTGTGTCCTCTGTTTCCGACGCGATATCATTGGTGGCACCTCAGGTCCTTTCTGGCTCACAAAAACAACACACGCACCCGCACCCGCACACGCACCTTTGTTGGTCTGTTGATCTTGATCTGGATCATCTTCAACCCTCCATCCCTTCCTTCTTGGACCCAAGAAAAGGCACGACTTGGCCCGGGCTCTGTTGATCTTCGCTGGACCGTGGACAACTTGCCCCTTGTCTTGGACGACCGAACATCCGAATCTTGCCTCGCCCACCCCAATTGTCATTACTCATTTGGCACTTGCTCACATCACCCTTTTACTCACCACCACTCCGCCCGCCCAACCCACGCCTGTCAACCGCCGTCACGCAGTCCAGACAGCCTCACCTTGCTCGTCGTTTGCGGCGGTTTCATTCGTTCGGCCTCACCCTGCCCATCCCAACCAGCCATCCACTGCTCCTGTGGTGTCAGCTTTTCACTCGCTCACTCAAACAACCCGACCGCGCCTGTCTGAAAAATCGCCGATTGTCGACAGCTTCGCCCGCTGTTCATATACGGCGTCACGCCACGGCAAGGCCCACTTTCACAGGCGAGCCACTCTCCTAGGCGACATTCATATCGACTCAATATCGGCTGCCCGCGCTGATTTGAGCAATCACGGTCCTTTCTACCACACCTGCACTGCCAGCAATCAACCATCTTATCCGCAGGCCCGGACCACCCAGTCTCTCTCTCATCGACCTTGACGGCCTTGGCATCTCGACACCAATATCCGTCGCCGCTGCGCCCAGCCTACCGCGGCCTGGACATCCGACTTGACTGCCCTCTGCCCTGCTTGCTTCGGCATTCTCAGGGCGTGGCTCGACTCTTTGTCCCAGTGGGCCGACTTTCGACATTGTCTCATCGCCCTTGTATGAGACAACCACCACAAAGGACCACCCCGACCTTATTGTCCCCTCCTCTTTGTCCCCCTTCATAATGCTATTGTCCGCCACTCCGTCCCAACGACAATAGCCCTTCTTGCACCCGGGAGGCTCCAGGCAGGGACGTTGCACGCAGGGCCTGCTATAGATTCGGAGCGACGCCCCCGTTTTCCGCCTCGAGCACCTGACGGACAAGGATCGAAACTTTCTTTTTTCACATAAACCAACCCGAACTTCATCTCTCTCCAACCCTACCACCTAACAAGGATGGAATTCCATCGGCGCAGGTTCGCCGCCCTCGCGCACATGAACCCCACCCCAACACTCCTCCCTCGGGAGGCCGAAGCCGCCTCGACCGACAGCGCCGGCAACCCGTTGTCGACCATCTCACCGTATGCCCATGGTCTCAACGGTGTCAACCAGGTTAACAACCTGGTCTTTGTGGACATGCTGTGGTGGACACTGGGTATCTTCGGCTTCACAATTCTGGCTGTCAGAATATTTCAGGTCATCTGGGGCCACATCCGCCAGGTCTCGGCAATGTCGGTCGAGGGTGAACGGCAGACTTACTGGAAGTACGCCCAGTCCCATTGGATGCCCAGCTTCAAGAAGGACTTCATCTACGCACCGCTTTGGGGCAAGCGACACAACCGGGAGATCCGGCTCTCCAAGGCCATGAACATGGGCACGCTGCCCTCGAGGCTGCACTTCATTCTTCTCTTCATCTACACAGTCAGCAACCTGGTCTACATGTTCTACCTGAACTGGGCCAACGAGAACAAGTACGCGCTGTGTGCAGAAATCCGAGGACGCTCGGGAACCCTCGGTGCGGTCAACATGGTCCCACTGATCATTTTTGCCGGCCGCAACAACCCCATGATCTCATGGCTCAAGATCAGCTTCGACACCTACAACCTCTTCCACCGCTGGCTCGGTCGTCTTTCAGTGGTCGAGATCATCATCCACTTCCTAGTGTGGGCCATTGTGCAGATGGCCGCCACCGGGTGGTCGGGACTGATGGACCGCTGCCTGTATGACCCCTTCATTGCGTCTGGAACTGCAGGTACCTGGGCGATGCTCATCCTGCTGATCTTGTCCTTCTCGCCCATCCGCCATGCCTTCTACGAGACCTTCCTCAACACACACATCATCCTCGCTTTCATCACCTTCGTGTGCACTCTGATTCACTGCCTTACGCCCACCGAGATCCCCACCGGCCTGCCCCAGCTCCCTTGGGTCATTGCAATCTTCGCCATCTGGATGTTCGACCGCCTGGCCCGCATGATCCGTCTCACCTACTGCAACTGGTCTCACCGTGGATTCACCGAGGCGATCGTCGAGGCAATGCCAGGCGAGTGCACCCGAGTCACCATGCACCTGCCCCGCCACGTCGAGATCAAGCCCGGCTCGCACGCCTACATCCGATTTGCAGGCATCAAGCCCTGGGAGAACCACCCTTTCTCTATCGCATGGATCGACCACCACGCGGAGGAGCTCCCGTTGGACGAGAAGGAGCCCATGATCTTGAGGAGGAACACAACAACATCGGTCTCCTTCGTCATTGGCGCCCAGACCGGCCTGACCCGCGACCTCTACAACAGGGCCGCCGAGGCCGGCACCCGCGCTATCAAGATGAGGGCCGCCTTCGAGGGCCCGTACGGTGGCCACCACGATTTGGACAGCTACGGACATGCCGTCCTTGTTGCCGGCGCCACTGGTATCACGCACCAGCTCAGCTACCTCAGGCCGCTCATCGAGGGCTTCAACAACGGCAGCGTGGCCACTCGTCGCATCACCCTGATCTGGATCGTTCGTGACTACGAGTCACTAGAGTGGATCAGGCCCTGGATGGACGAAGTGCTAAGGATGCCGAATCGTAAGGAGATATTGACCATCAAGCTCTTCATCACGAGACCGAAGAACGCCAAAGAGATCGTCTCCGCCAGCACAACCGTGCAGATGTTCCCCGGCCGGCCCAACGTCCCGCTCCTGATCCGCAAGGAGGTCCACGAGCAAATGGGCGCCATGGCTGTGACTGTCTGTGGTCCTGGCGCGCTGGCTGACGATGTCAGATCCGGCGTGCGCCAGGTGCAGGACGAGAACACCGTCGTCGACTTTTTCGAGGAAAGCTTCACCTGGTAAATCCGTGTTCGGGTCTGTTTTTCCGATCCGGAAATAGAAACAGCAGTCACGATGCCACGGTTCACGATTTACGGCCTGATCGCGGGGTTTCTCTTCTTCTAGCATCTCCATGACTGCTTCCCGGTACCGTCATTTAGGTGCATTTTTTGGTGATAGGTCTTTTTTGGTGGTATTGCAGCCTTTCTGCGTTTCTGTCTATATTTTGCATTTCACATACCTGGCTGAAGGAGCGGGTCGAGGGAGCTGAAGGAGCAGCTAGTTGAGCAAGGAAGTAATCTTTCTTCAGTCTCACACAAATGGACGAGGTATCATCACAGCCATTCGCGAATATCCCCAGATGCATTGCGCTTGGAGTTATGGGGAAACGTCTGGTCATTCTGGCCAAGAAGATGGAAAGGGGCCTTAGAGAAGAATAGAAGGCAATCGCCTGTAAATAGTCATGGCTGTACGCAGCTCTCGTATATAACATCAGGGGCACATCATTGTGGTTGGCCTTGTAATATCACTTCTCCTTGAAGTTCACATCTTTCGATCCCTTTCTATTGTTGCTTTCACCGTGATCGCCGTCGTGCTATGTCGGATGTTTACTGCCGGCTTTGTCTCTGGCCTAACATGCAGTCCAGGGGTACGATCGGTTCGTCGGGCCGCCGTAACGGAGCACTGAGCCGCCTTCGTCATTGTAACTACCCAAGTAACGTCTGTGGTCTGGCAAGCTTGCTTAGACCACCCCCCCCCCCCCGGGCCGTCGACCTGCGGCCTTAGATTGGCCCAGGGCAGTCTGTTCTCACACCCGTTGCCATATGACACACAGACCTGGAGGCACCCGCACTCAGGCCTCTGCACAGCTGTACATCGGCCCTGGTTGCCAGTGCCAGGAGGATGTAACCGCCCAAGACGGGGGGCCAAGACGCGCGGATGGCCCAGATGAGATTGGGAACGTCTCATTCCTGCTACTAATCCTGACGACCATGTTGGAAATCCCGAGTGGCGCGATGTCGCTGACGTTGTGGTGGGATTGCGTCTTCGTAGCCGAGAGCAACGGTCAGGGGCTTTGCTAATAAGTCTGTTCTCACTTGGGCGCATCGCGGGCTTGGCGTAATACCTAGCACTAGCACAATCCTGGGCCGCGCTTGCAGGAAATGAGGCTCCTAAGTTCCTGGCTAAGTTCCTGGAAGCGTCAAATAGGGGTGGGGGTCATCTTGAGCATTTTCATCTGCCGCTGCGGTGCGTCTCCTGCCTCCTCGCGGTGTTTGCTGATTAGCTCGCAGGCCCGGGGGTCTACCTGGGTAAGTAATCTGGCATTCTCCGTGAACGGTCACTTGGCAAAGCGTACTCAGTGCCCTGCCACCAGTTGGCGCCCTGCTTGGCGAATTTTGCCGAGTGCTGTTGTCCTTGCAAAGAGAGGGCGCTTTGTCTCTTTCGACCAACTATTCTCCAAAGTACGCCCATACTACTTACTACCTACTTAGGTACCTAAGGTAGTAGTAGTGTAGAGGGCAGACCGCCATCCACGGGATTTCGGGAGCTTCCATCTAGGCCATAATCTGTACACGCATGACCGCCCGACGCCGGCCGCCACTCGAGCAGCCCTGATCTACCAAATATACTCATGCCCAATGTGACAGTGCAGACCAGCCTTGTGCTGTTGTGCTGGGAATGCAAACGAAAGATCGCGTCTTCCATGTGGAACTGAGACTCTGGAGACGGGGCAAACACGGCCAAGGTACTTGGGTATGTGGTCTCGCTTCTATTCCGTATACGTCTGAGGACATACATGGCGCCTTTATATGGTGACATCAAGTAAACACTAGACAATTAGAACCCCATGTTTTCATGTGATCTCAACTCGAAAACAACTTTGCCAGGGCAAGAGAGCCCATTTCTTACAATTACGTGTAATTTGCGTTGATCATCACCTTACAGGCCATGCCCACAGGTGGCATCTACCATTCCAAGGCTGTGGAGTCATGTGAGGTCCACAACATAGAAGACACCCCCTGCAAGTCTTTATTGGTACATATGTAATCATATTATTGTCTCTTATCCTGTATGTTAAGATCCTCTGATCTGGAGGCTTTACTGTAGGCTCAACCTGCATACAGACCTTCATGAATTAAGATGTACAAACTCAAAATGAAGAAGCACCACGCAATTTGTTCCTAGTATTTGTTGGAGGTCTAAGACTGCATGGTACAAATCTCATGACTGACTGTTCGATACTAATAATTTGAAATCCAGGCTAAGTCTGATAATACCAAGAACACAACGTGAAGGGTAGAGGTGTATCTATTTACCCTCTTCATCTAGTCTGATACTCATTTTGTAAATATGGATACTACCAGAGACAGCCGTGAATCTGCTGTTCTCATTATAATTTGTTTTTGCTCCTTATTATCAGAAGAACAGTCTCTGTGGCTCTATTAGGGCACATATACCTACTGGCCCTGCCCCTAGCAAAAACGACCCCCCCCCCAAAAAAAAAGAACAGAAAGAGAAAAGAACTAGAAAAAGCCTTTAGGTCGTCGAAATTGCAACTAAACTGAAACTGAGGTGTCTTCCCTGAAAAATTCATGGCCGGGGATAGCTTGTCCACCTCGGAACTTGTGACTAATAATGGACAATTATCATACTTAGGTGCCCTAGAGTAGGAACATTTTATCACGACCGCGGACAAACCCATTAAGGGTGGCATTGCCCATGGAATTCTGACAATTGATTTTTTGAAGGAGTTGGGCTGCTTGCGCACCAAGGTATTTGCTTCTACATCAATCCTAGCCTATCATTACCTGCTGTTGTCTCGCCTTGGGACCGACCCCGAATCCGTCCCACTAGGTTTAAAACCAGCATTGAAAGTGTCAGTAGGAAGACTTATCTGACAATAGAATGAGATGACCTGAAATGGGATAACACAGCAGACCGAAACTTTTGCTCTGGCCTGGGAGCATCGACGTTCAGAAGATCTGGCTGCAGCCTCGGCCACACACAATGTCTTGCTCATCGATGGAGGGCATAGAACAGGAGATGTCTGCATTCACAGGGAGGAAGTGGAAGAAGCCAAGCTTGCACAAGCTGTCACGAGGATTGAGGTCTGGGCTTGCTACTGGTATTGCCACTAACCCTGGGAAACCAATCTATACCGCGGACGGTCTACATCGAGCACAAATCCGACCTAACAATCCAATACGATGCCCAATGATCTAGAAGCTATATGCATCGCACGCCTGCCGATCAGCTTTATGAGAGCCATAGAATTTGAGTTCGGAAGTCACAGAAGCATCTTAGTAGTAGGTCTGATAACCAATTCATGGAACATGCTGATGGCCTACAGCATGACACGAAGCATGCATGCTGTCTCATGGTATTTTCACGTCAGTGCAAGCTATCTTCATGATCACTCTCAAGTCGTGAAGGAATTTTGATACAGACTTTTTTATGCTTCTTTCTTTCTTTACAACCACAGGATTTGACTCCTTTCCACGAGTGTGTCCTCACATCAAGCCAGTGCCATAGTTTCAAACTCAACATACAACCACCTGACAGTACGGGTTACCCTTTATGTTCAGATTGAATTTTCTGTGCATAATCTTTGATGTCTTGTGATGAGCTCTTGGCTCAAATGACCGTGGAGGTTGAGTGGTCTCCAGAGTAAGGCAAGACTGCGCCAGCTGTTACACCGAGCCTGTTCTGTGCATTATCGAAGGATGTGGTGGCACAACATCAACCTGAGCTGGAATCTCCCCGAACGCATGGGCCCCAAGCCCAACTTCGCGTTCTAGAAGTTTTACTGATTCCTGAATCATGGCTGTGGCCAGTGAGAACTCGGACTTGCTGAGTAGTACACTCAACAACATCGGCGGCATAAGATGACGAGGCGCTCAGATAATGGGTAGTTGGCCGCGTGAGCTTTCGACTGGACTCTGACGGCCAGTCTCGGATGAGGTGAAAGACCAGGCGTCCCCATCTGGCGAGATAGCGGCCAGGACGAGGGAAGGAAGAATAATTGGGGATCGGCAGGTGGGAAGCGTAGAAAGCTTGATATTAGCCACGCATGAGCGATCTGCGGGTCAGATGGCGGTCGGCCTCCCCTCTTCGGACAATTCTTTTTGCCGCCTTGCGTCTCGGGGTAGTTGACGATGGCCCAGTACTGCCAGCTCGCATGGCGTTCTACGGTAGCGAAGCGATCCCGACGGCATTATCACATCTCATGGTGGACCTCGAAATTCTGGTGAAGCCAGGTGCAGTGGCCTGAACGTGGAGGGCTCTTCTTCGGGAAGCGTGTGTTGAAGCATGGGCGTCTGGGTCGGCCGAAGGGCACATTTTCACACATGCAGACATGAGTGCAGGCCGACAAGGGAGTGGTATAGGTTGGTGCCGATCCCTGCCGCTGTGAGGTCGTGCCACAGGACTGGCACCCAGACACCCCGCCGTGTGGCGAGACCTCGATGGCCGCAGACGCTGTTACTCATCATCAACCCACCCTCAGAAAGAAATTGATAAATGACAAGAGGCGAGCGTAGTCGGTCTGCCTTGGCTTGGCCTGCCTTGCCTGGCAGATAGTCCAATCAGCAACTCGCAGTCGCAGTCGCAGTCACAGGCGTGGGCGTGGGCGTGGGCGTGGTTGCTTCTCCCCCAGGCAGGCTGGCCTTGCTGTTGGGCCTCGCTGTTGGCTCTTGTCCCAGCAGCTTCCCAGACGGCCTCGATAGCACGCACCCTCTGATGTACCCATCTCCCACCAACACCCGGATCTTGAAATGGCAGACACCGTCATCGTCGGCGCTGGCATAATTGGCGTGTCTACCGCACTCTACCTCTCCAAGCACCAACCGGGCGGGACCATCCACCTCGTCGACTCCTCCCCAGAGCTTTTTGCCTCGGCCTCTGGCTACGCCGGTGGTTTCCTGGCCAGGGACTGGTTTGGGCCTGGCGTCGCCTCCCTGGCCGCCCAGAGCTTCGACGAGCACAAGAGACTGGCGGACCTTCACGACGGCGCCTCCAAGTGGGGCTACTCCAGGAGCACCTCCCTCAGCTACACTGCGGCTTCCCAGACTACCGGCAGGAGGAGCCAGAGGGGCGAGGACTGGCTACGTTATGGGAGAAGTAGGCCTGATGCCGCTGCCGGCTCTGCCCCTGACTGCCCCGACGGCCACGACGGCCACGACGCCCAGATGCTGCCGCCCTGGCTGTTGCGAGAGGACGGCGACACAGTAAAGCCAATAGGCGATGACAGGACTACCGCCCAGGTCGACCCGCTCCAGCTGTGCCGCTTCTTGCTCAAACAGTGCCTCGACAGCGGCGTACACCTCTCCCAGCCTGCCAGGGCCGTGGCCATCATGAAAGACGTCCGGGGCCAACTGTCTGGCCTGAGGGTTGCCGACACCCAGTCGTCAACCGAAACCGATGTGCCTTGTGCTAGGCTGGTCATCGCGGCTGGTGCGTGGTCGCCACAGGTATTTCAAGAGGTTAGCGCCCGGGCACCATTTCCATCTCTCGTCCAACACGTTCCTGTCCCTCCTTGCCAGCTTGCAACTTGCCTGGCAAGGGTGCCTTCTCCAAGACCGGGCCATAAACCGGCAGCTCCGTGTCTATATCACGACCAAGAACGCCCCGCCGCGGATCAATCGAAAGCTGACACAGTGCTCTGGACAGCTCTTCCCAAAAACACAGAGCCAGTTGCCCATATCGAGCCTGGCGGGCCATTCGCTGGTCCTCAAATCACCCCGATGGACAGCAGAAATGGAAAGGCGGGGATGCCACGCTCTGTATGCCACAAGCAAGACCGGGTTCTCGCCCGAGATATTCTCACGCATCGGGGGGCAGCTCTATGTGGCCGGGCTGAACACAGACGAGATACCCTTGCCAGAACTGGCGACGGAGAAGCCCATCTCTGTGGACGCTATCGACCAGCTCAAGAGGGTGGCTGCCAGGCTCCTCGGCGAGGGCGGCGCGGTCGACGACCTTGAGGTCGTGAGGGAGGGCCTGTGTTTCCGGCCGGTTACGCCCTACGGCACCCCTATAATCTCAAGAATCGACGACGTGCACCTAGAGGAAGGCATCGCCACGCGTCCTGGTGCAGAAGGCGGCGTGTTCCTAGCTGCAGGCCACGGACCGTGGGGTATTTCCCTCTCTCTTGGGACGGGAAAGGTGCTCGCGGAGATGGCACAAGGGCGCCGCATTAGCGCTGATGTGAGTTCGCTGATGTTGTGGTGACACGGCATGTTTCCTCGAGCGACTGCCGTGGTTCTCATCAAGACAGATTGCTCCCGCCTTACGAAGCCCATTGGGTGCCCGGCCGACCTGGCTGGACGGTAATAGCAGCATTTTAATGGTCCCTGGACAGGATTCGGGCATTTTCATACGGATGGATTCAGAACTGGCTGTGGTAGATTGAGGAGTCAGCCCCCTTTACGCAATGCCTCCACGTTGGGGCTAAATACAGCACGATGGGCTTGTTGCCCGCCCGCCACCTTGCAGGTGCGTGCAGCTTGAGAGCAATGATGATCTCGTGCTTATTAGTGATTGCGTACTGCTTGGTAGTAATGGCAAGTAATCTGAGGCGAGGCGAGGTCGGGGTAAAGGAGGTGAGGTCTTGGACGGGAAGGGGGGTCGTCGTCGCGGATGATCCCGAAGCGGCAGGCCTGTGCCAAACACATATCTTGTCAGTCAGGCTGCCTATCAGGTAAGCCGAACGGAATCATGTGAAGGCCCCGGAGGTCCCTGTTACTGGAGGACCCAGAACGGCGGCAGTGATCCAGCCTGTCGGTGCAGGCCTACCCACTCAGGTGCGAGATCAATTGTGACTGTGACGGACCTGGCAGCCTCTGGGCTACGGAGTCAGGGAGCGCGCCGTACGTGCACTACTCCCATCGTCCGACATGCGGCAGTAGTCACACCATGGTCGGCCCGGGGCTTGCTGTGTACTATTACAGACACCCAGAAAGAAAGCTGGCAGGCTGGACAGGCCCAGCGAATCTGCGAATGCGACTGATGCCGAATCGAGATGCGAGGGGCCATTTCAGCAATGGAGCGACAGGGGAACAGAGCATGTTGGCCCACCCTGCAGCGCCAAGGACCAATCAGCCAACATGCTTAGCCGCCCGCATTTAAGTTCCGCTGCGCTCGAATGGCATTGATCCAATTGCCTGGCTGCTCGACCACCACCATCACCAACAGGGCACCTTGGAGATTGCATCCCGCCAGCCCGCCAGCCCGCCTAACCGTCCTCGGCCCCCCGTGGCCCCCCGTGGCCCCCAATGCGACAGCAGCCTGCGCTGGACCTCAGGACCTGCTTGCTGCTGTACCGAGATGTGCCAGACTGCATGGGTGGGGTTTGTTGCAGTCGTGCCTTGTCCCACCGCAGCGCCCAAGCAGCCAAGCCGCCCGAGGGCCAAGCACCATCTCTCCTCACCTGGCCCAGATATCATCTCCTCCCCTGCTGTCACCAACGGCGAATCACTGATCGCGGAGAGGGGCCATTCTGCCTTCGTGCTGGGCTCACCTGGCTCACCCGCCCTATTGGTCCTCGTAACCTCCACACGGCAATTCTCCTGCTCCCTCTCGCCTTCGACTGAGCACCGAGCAAGGCGGCCGCCCACCCCCCCGACCCCCTCCCGGGACGGCCACTCACCGGACGGCCACTCACCTGGTGCCTCTTGGAGTCTTGGGGACGAGAGAGCACCGTCTTCCTCGACGCTCCCACGCGCAATCGCACGTCTGTCGCACCATCGGGTGACCAGCGACGGGTGTGATCACATCGCTTCGTCTTACTGGCTGATAGCAGGTCCTGTTGGTTCTGTCCGTCTCCTGGCCACAGGCCCGGCAAGCAACAAGCTTCCATACTGGGCCATCTATCCGTCTGTCTGTGTGATAGTGCGCCGCCCGGCCCGCTTGCATCGAGGACCACAATATCTGCATGCACTTCCTTGCCGAATTGATCGATGCTTGCCCACTCCCAGGGTCCACACCTACGACATCCTTCACGACCATTCTTTTCATCCAGCCAGCCAGCCAGCCAGCCAAGCAGGTGTGGTCGTCGACTCTTTTCTTCGGCTCGTATGCCCTGTTGTTCCCCACGCATGGCCCGTTGTGTGTGACATGCATTGGCGGGGAACAGGCCAGAAAGAACGGCCAGCCAATATTAAGGTCTGGTCTACCGCTGGGCCTCCCTAGCTCTTCACATCTTGTCGTCCGACCTTGAGCTCACTCACCCCAGGCAAACCCTGCCTTTTAAAGAACTTCGGCCCGCGTGGGTTGACATTTCGGATCCTCGTGCGAGATCTACTACGACTACGCTACCGCACGCCAACATCTCATCCCCCAAAGTAGCCCCGTCCCCGGCGGCTATTGAGGTGCAGCCCACCTTGCGGACGCCTGCTCGATATCAATCTAACCCTTCGTGTTGGGACCGCATACGGTGACCCAATTCTGATCGCCCATACTACGAACGCGGCCAGGCTTGTCCAGCTGTCATATATTGGCCTCCCTCCCGCCACTGACTGACGTTCTTTCTCTTTTCGGGGCGTGAGCCTGGATCTGGCTGTCACTTAGTTGATCTGCTTTGGACCAAACACCAAACAAACACCAGGGCTCCCAGGAGAAACTTTTGGCAACTCTACCGACGACCTGCGACCCCTTACAGCCTGTCCTTCCCACATTCCACCCCACAACTCCACGCTACTCGCTTGCATGGATACGATTCTCCTTTGCCCTGTCATATACGCAGCACGCCAAAGTCCTCGAGAATAGGTCGCCACTTACCGGGAGGTCCATGTCAACCGCTCGACGCCACTGCGCGCAGTCGCGTTGAGCGTACAACGGCCTTCTCGTACACAGCTGGCCTTGCCCCGCCGTGTCGACCATGGCTTCGCAAGTACAGCCTGCCCTTCGCGAGGCAGCGTCATCTGCCACGCGGAAATTGGCAGAGATCCTGAGGCGGATCAACATTCCACTGACGTCGACGAGTCCACCAGGCCTGGTGCAAGCAAACACGGTCGATCCCTGGACCAAGGCCGGGAAGTATGGACTGGGATGGACGTATTTCTCGGTAGCACTGATGATGTCGGTCGTGGTTGTCAGGGTGTGGCATTTCTGGCAAGACAAGATCAGGCAAGCCATTTACAAGCAAGAGGTCGAGCAATATTACCAGAACCTCTACAACCCGGAGACTGAATGGGGCCAAACTCCTTCGCAGTCTGGACAACTTACCGGGCAGCCAGCCACGGCGCGACACTTCTTCCCCGAGGAAGAGAAGGCCGAGACAGCCTTCCGCCCGAAATCCAACATGTCTTCCATTGGCTTCATCAACGACACCCTAGCCCTGTTCCGATGGACATTTTATCGGCCGATCCCTGATATCAGATGGCGAAAGCACAGATTCACCTTCTCATCCTTGTCGGTGTTGACGGTCGGCTTCATTGCTTTGGTGTTTGTCTCCTTGTACTGCTTCCTGCAGCAACCGCTGTACTGGGCCAGCATTCGGTACGGCTCACCACCGCTCGCCATCCGAGCCGGCATGATTGCACAGGCAATGACCCCGTGGATCATTGCTACGAGCATGAAGGCAAACATTCTGAGCCTCATCACAGGCATTGCCGCCGATCGGCTGAACGTGTTCCACCGATGGGCGGGTTACCTGTGCCTCTTTCTCTCGCTGGTCCATATGGTGCCGTTTTTCATACAGCCTGTATGGGAGGATGGGGGGATGACAGTCTTTAACAAGCTGTTCCCCCCGGGCAGTGGTATCATCTACGGCAGTGGCATAGCCTGCTTTGTTCCTCTCTGCTGGCTATGTGTGCTTTCCCTTCCGGTTCTGAGGCGACACATCTACGAATTGTTCTCTATCCTCCATGCCCCTGTTGGGTATGTATATATCGGCCTCCTGTTCTGGCACACCAAGAACTTCCTGATGTCGTGGGACTACCTCTACGCGTCCATCGCCATCATTGTCATATGTAATATGTGGCGATTTTGCAAGCTGAATTGGACCAAGCCGTGGAGAATGGCGTTTATGGTGGGAGATGAGGCCGCCATCCAAATCATGACAGAGAACACGATCAAGATCACCATTCCAACCCAGCTGCGGTGGTCCCCGGGCCAATACTTTTACTTGCGCATGCCGGGGATATCGCTACTCGAGAACCATCCATTTACCGTCACTTCCTTGTGCAGCGAAGACTTCCCCTCGGAATACGGTGAGCAGTACCGGGACTGCGTGCTGGTTCTCAGGCCATACGGCGGATTCACCAAGAAGGTACTCGAGACCGCCATAGAGAAGGGTCCATTCCACACGTACCGTGCTTTCCTGGATGGACCTTACGGTGGCATGCGCCGGGATCTTGCGGCGTTCGATACCTGCATCTTGATTGCGGGAGGGAGTGGTATCACATCGCTGATGTCACAGCTGCTCAACTTGATCAAGCGTATGCGAGACGGAAAGGCTATCACCAAGAAGATTGTTGTGGTATGGTCGTTGAAGCGCCTCGAGGCCATGGATTGGTTTCGCGAGGAGCTGCGCATCTGCCGCGAAGCCGCGCCTCCAGATAGTGTCACTTGCAAGTTCTTCGTGACTGCTGCGACTAGGAACTCGCACGGCGGTCCAGTTGGAGCGAGCGCCCGTGCGCCGCGGCCGATATCGAACATGTTCCATGACCGGCTGGACGGCTTTGTTGCAGGAATTGCCTCAAAACGCAACTCAGCATTGATCGCGGATGTCGCCCAAGGCGACCCAAACAGAGAAGCAGAGCTGCGAGCAGAGCAGCAAGATCGGTTTACCGCGCTGCCACAGCAGAAGTACCTGCAGCCACACAACATCCCGCCACCGCCACCGAACCCGCCGCCAAACAATCGCCAATCATACACGGACGAAGCACTGCGCCGTCTCGAAGGTGATAACGACCAGCCACAATCGAGAGACACCAAGGAAGACGCGTCCGAGCTGCCCAGTGACAAGGGCAAGCAGAAGGACTTCCACTTTCCTCCCCTGAAGCCCAAGGCGGATGGTCCATATTTCAACTACGCGCCGCCCAATTCGCCGGGCAACAAGCGGTTTAGCCAGCTCCTCGAACCCCCACAGACAGGGTCGCACCCCGAGTCGACCCAGCATTCCTCAGACATGCCCCGAGCACCTGATGTGCCGGAACTGGCGCACCTGCGCACTGATGTGGGCACGCTGAGCCGGCCGCGGCCGACGAGCACCTTTGGCCCGCCATCTGGATTCGAGTTCGGGTTCCCCGAGACGCCGACCGAGTTCCAGAAGAGTCTGATGCGGTTCGCGTTCCCTGTGCCACACGAGATCGACGGGGGCTGGAGCGTCGAGTACGGACGGCCCGACCTTGGGTTCATGCTCAAGGAGTGGGCGACAGGCGGGAGTGACGGGCGGGGAATACTAGGCCGGAGGACAGCGGTCTTCGTGTGTGGCCCACCGAGCATGCGGGTGGGTGTCGCAACCACCGTGGCCAGACTTCAGGCGGAGATCTGGGGCGACCCCATGTTAGAGGAGATATATTTGCATGCGGAGAATTACGCCTTGTGATTGCACATTCTGAGCCGGAGGACGAAACGGCTGATCATGAGACGAGATACCACTTGTTTCCCTTTCCTTTTGAGTCTATTGTACTACTATATCATGATGAGGCACGACACTGTATTGGGAGATACCAGAAGCAAGAGATTGCTCGCACGCCGAAACTGGCTGGTTGGGATTGGAGCCGGGGATGCAGGATGGCCTTGACAGGCAGACACACACACACACACACTATACATAATGCTCACGAGAGGGACACGAACGCTGCTGTCGCAAACACGTACAGGGGTGTGGAAGATGGGTGTAATTCTACATAATATCAAACGATCGGATTGATCTACAGGAGACTTATTGTGTACTCGTGCCCAAGCCAGTCCGACCTTTGATACATGTGAAGAAGCCGGCTCGGACGACAAGCCCCAAATGCGGTGGATCTGGATCTGGATCTGGTGATCTGCCTGTCTTTTGTGAGATCTTGTCAGATGGGTTGAGCCCAGCAGGCCATCAGCCCTTCAGCCTCAATGTCGAGAACCTCTGTGGCTGGCTGGAGGGTGTTTTCAGCATTTGGATTTTCCTGCCAGCCATGCCTCGTCCCTCCCGGAGTTTCGGTGTCACAATTAATGGGGAACAATGTGGAGCAGGCCCTCGGATCGGATCGAGTCGTGAAGGAGGAATAAGGAAGAAATCAAGACAGCTCACCGCACAGCTGCAGGTGAGGCGCCAGCCCACTCCACTGAGACCCGGGGCTCAGAGTCGTCGCTGATCGCGGCAGCCAAGCTAAGGTAAGGCTAGGTAGTCTGTTGGTCTAGTCTGCTGTGGGCTGTGTGGGCGGTGGGTGGTCGATCAAAAACGGTGCATGTGGGGACCGTTGGAGGGACCGTTCATGCGCCGCAGGTGGTACGTACTCAGTACTGTACGTACTCTGGTTCTGGTGTCTGGGTGCCAGGGGAAGGGAGGGTGTGTAAACATAGAAGACGTCACCTGGCCCGAAGGCTCAAGGCCACCTGAACAAGGACCAATTTTTTTGTCCTCCAAGACAGACCTTCTCGGGGTGGGATGGGTGGATTGCCTAGGCTACGCCGTCCCCATTCCTACGACGCAACAAGACCTCTCTCGTCTTTCATCATGTAAACTGTATGCGCAGGCCCGAACATACTCGGTCAAAGTACAAAGCTACACGTGCACGCGCATGCCACGATCCTCTGCTTCTCTCCTGCTCCACTACTCGACCATATTGCTGAGTTGTTTCAACGCTATCAGGAGACAAGCTCCACTCCGCCGGGGCCCCGAGAACTCCTGAGCTTGTGTCGCCAGGTCGCCATCCTCTCAGCCTGTCAGACCCCCGCAGCAGCCAAGCGCCACTATCCCCGTCTCGTGTGCTCTGACGGTGTTTCTGGGTGTTGAGCCTGCCTCCCGCTGCTCCCAACTGCAGACGAACGTGCTGCACATGCAGGCGATCTGCAGCTAACATCCGTATCAGACGATCCAACCCTCATTGTAAACAAAAAAAAAAAAAAAGTTTATCTCCTGGGGGGAAAAAAGGACGCACGCCCCTCCTGTCGCTCTCTTCCTCTCTTTGCGGCTACTACGAATCATCTCGCTCGTACAACATGACGACCGTTCAGCACCAACCCGTCGCCAACCGGCCACCGTCGCCCTCGCCGTCCCAGCTCCCGCCGGTGCCGGCATCGCCAACCTACTCGTACGCGTCGACCGCGAACCAGCCCTCGGCAAGCATGAACATCTCGAGCTTCAACCTGCCCCTGCCCCCTCCACCTCCTGCGGTGGAAACCGTTCTCACCAAAGCCGATCTCGCCGCCAGCCAAAAGTCATACGCCGACCTGCTGTCCTCAGCAAAGACATATCGCCTGGCCCTCGCCGCCCTGTCCAACGCCGCCTCCTCCTTCGGCTCCGCCCTGGAGTCATGCGCCCGCCTGAAGGAGGCTACATCCGACTCCGTGCATCTCGGCAACGCCCCCACCGCTGCTGTCACCTCTAACAGCGGCTGCACCGCAGACAGCCTGCTGGCCGCCGCCGGCGTGCACCACCTTATCGCAAACCACGAGCACATCCTGTCCGAGACGGTATACAGGAGCTTCGAGGTGCCCCTCCTCCACGAGCTGGACAAGTGGCGCCGGGATGTCGAGGATGAGGAGGCGACTTACCTGGCGGCGGTTAAGCGCCAGTCACAGGAGATCCGACGCCTCGAGAAGGAGGGCATGAAGCTGCACCGCCAGCGCGGGCCCAGGAATGTCTCCAAGTTCCGCACCCACCTGGTCGAGCTGACCACCAAGCTGGACGGCTTGACTAGCATGCACGCCGACCACAGTCGCACCCTGCTGCGCGAGAGTCAGGACACGAGCGTCAAAATCCTCGAGTCGAGCTGCAGCCTTGTACGGGCCGAGGTCGACATCTTCGAGTCGCTCGCGCGCAAGGGCTGGTCCGGCGGCGGGCTGGATGAGCTCCTGGAGAAGGGCACCGACCTCTTCGCCACCGAGCCGGCGCCCGCCGAGGCCGAGGCCGACACGAGCAAGCTGTTCAGCATCCTGCCGCCAAAGAGCATCCTGGCCGACACGGCGTCCGACTCGGGCATGGGGCTAGCTAGGGTTATCGGCGGTGGTGGCGGTCGGAAGGGACATGAGAGGGCAGACAGCCTCGGTGTCGTATCGGAACCGTACCAGAGCTTGGCCGGCGCCGTCACCAGCCCGGAGCTCAGGGTGGTGCCCGACACCGACAACATCAGCATCTTCTCAGCCGACTTTGCCAGCAACGGCAGGCCCAGGATGACGCGGCCCTTCTCGCCGCAGCCCGTGAGGGTTAACCCGGACGAGGTGATGGGCGGCGCCGACGACCACTTCCAGGGCGGCGGCAGCTCAAACGTGACGAGCGACGACGACGGGCCCCCGTCGCCTGCCACGATACGCAACGGTGGGAGGTCGGCATCCGCCGACGGCTTCCGTATGCCGTCATCGCATACTGACCTGTCGCTGCCAATGAGCGGAGATGAAGATGAGCACCCCTGGGGCAATAAGAGGATCTCCTCCGCGGCGTCGGACCCCGACGAGCGGGAAAGGAGGTGGAATACTACCGATGACGGGATGGAATAGATTCGTGGAATCCCAATACTCTTTTTCTCGGGAGGGGCAGGCCGGGCGGTACCAGTCGTTCATTCATGTTAACAAGCTAGGCGTCACGGTTTGGTATAGAAGCATTGCTGTTTTGGGTCTCGTGGCGTAATTACAGGCTGGTGTTCTCTCGTGTGGTATTCTCTTTCCTTTCTCCTCAAATAGGTACATGATACGGTTGTATAACCCCCCCTTTTCCTTATCTAGTCCCTGCACGCCACACGCCAAACCTCGCAAAAACGCCCTATGCCAAAGACGCTATATGCATTGTCATCCAAATCCGCGCAATATCTCCCAGTCCACGACCACAAAGACATGTCCTCGCGGATGCTCTCAGACTGTCCCTCACGCTACGAAACATAGACCCCCTTGTGATGTAGAGCCGACCCGCGCGGGAAGCAATCAGGTCCCGGTCTATCCTGCTCTTTACAAGATCAACAACTTTGCCATTTGGGTACCATCCCTCGAGTGTCCAACACAGAAAAGTCGTCTCAGTCATCTTTGTCGGCGCTGACAATCTCACCACCAAACAGTCGGAACATCAGGTCCAGCCAACAGATGAACTTCCAGTAGAGCGACGCGTTGACCCAGTCGAACTCGCCCTCCTGCGTGCGCGGGACCTCATTCCCGATCATGGACCCGCTGAACCACTTGATGAAGGGGATGCGGCCGAGCAGCCGCTGGGCGTACGACTGCTGCGGCCGCAGCGCCTGCTCCGCCGGCAGCAGCACGACCTTGCGCGCAGTGGGTATCCTCCTACAGTACACGCTGTTCTCGGGGCTGGCCCCTGCTGCTGCTGTCACCTGGAGCTGGTCGTTCGCCGCCGGGGGCCCCGTCAGAGTGTTATTGGAGGCTGACGAGGAGCCGTTGATGGTGCCACTCTCGACGGTGCGGCTGCTGGCCTGGGAATGGGGTGGCGACATGTCCACGTCCATGGCGCCGTCGCCGATGACGACCTCGGACGGCAGCCCGCCGGCGGGGAAAGTCGGTCTCAGCTCGCCAGCCGTCCTGTTGCCGCCCTGTCCGGGGCGCCTCCATGGCGCGGGCACCTCGTCGCCCAGGGCCGCGGTGGTGGCGTCTGGGACGGGCTCGTCGCGCAGCGGGGGCAGGCCGCGGTAGGGCTCCGCATACACTAGATGGCCCAGGATGGCCTGTGGGCTCGAGAACATGGCCGCCTCGGCCGCCTGGCTCGACTCGAACGTCACCTTGACCCAGTGTGAGCCGCCGTCCGCCCGGTTCACCTTGGCCCTCTCCTCCGGGGTCAGGGCACGGCGCCGCGAGTAGGCCGGGTCGCGCAGTTCCGACTTGTACCGCCTGATCTCGAAAGGCGGATCCCTAGGGTAGTCCTCGCAAATGCGCCCTGCGAGCTGCTCGTAGTGGTTGATGGCGGCGTACTGCTGGTCGGTGTGCTTGAAGCCGCGGAGGATGATCTCGGTTGGGACGTTGGGAATGTTACGGGCTGTCGCTGGCGTGGCGGCGGCGGCCGCGGAGTCGTCTGTGAGATCTTTGGTCGAGGTCGACGGCGGTATCAGGGGCTGGACGGTGGAGGCTCTTCGTTGCCTTGGGGTTGCCGACGAGGGTTCTTCTGTCGCGTCCCCGCCTTGTGAAGACTGCTGCTCGAAGAAGGCGGCAAAGACCTTGCCGGCGGACTGGATCGTGGGGTCTTCGCGCCTAGCCGGGGTCGCGGTTTTTGACCTGGATCGCCGCGTCGACTTGCCAAACGCTCCTGTTTCGGGTACTCCGCGTCGTGCTCGAACGTTGGTCGGGTTGCCGTCTTGCCTGGAGGGGATATTGTCAGCTACCGAGATGCATGGAGGCAGCGGGGATGCAGAGTAGTAGAGACATACTGTGGCCATATCATTGCGTAGGGCCTCTGGACGCCATCCTCGCCGACGTATTGTTCCTCGTCGGGGACATTGTGTAGAATGAGAGGGGCCATGTTGTGGTGGGTGCGGCACGCTCCTCGAGCCCGAGCGAGCCAGGCAGGGCGGGTCTGATCCGGACGTGGTCGAGTTCGAGGAATGCACTTCGATTCCCTGGTGTGGAAGAGATTTCAGGACGTCAGTGTCTGGAGCAGGCGGGGGCTGGGTTGGTTTTCTGGCCGTTCTGATGCGACTCAGGTTGGGATTTGGCCATGCGACGCGGTTGAAATTCTGCCTCTGCGGGCTGTCTACTCCGTACTCTGCCCCAGCAACAGATGGGCTGGGCTACCAAGCAGGGGGGCCTGCCTTGCCTGCCAGCCTGCCAGCCTGCCAGACAAGGGCTCACTCGGGTCTACCAAGCTCTTCCCTGTCACCCATCCTTATCGATACGAGGCGGCCACGACCGTACTCCGTACAGCTGCACTGTGCACAGCACGTACTCGGCACTCGGTAGCTCCTTGTTGGGGCTGATTGCTCTGCATGACTTAGACATGGACATACACAAATGCACCTGAACCAACTTCCTCTGATTTCATCGGGGATACAATCTCATCTCATACCGTCATCGGTTCTGTGCCCGTCTCCCTCCCTCGCGAACAGCCTGCACTGAGCCTGGGCCGCTATGGATGGTGAGCCGAGCTACACCGTCTACATCCGGCTGCCCTTCCCCAGGGGCGACTTCGTCGATCCGCCGCCCGTGAGTGACCCGGCCCTGTACCGGCACACAAGTCCATCACGGTACTGATTAGCATTTCATCTTCATCAGGTAAGATGGGATGCCTCCAAAGATGAGTCCCTTTGGAGGATCCTCTCGGGTGTTGCAAAGACCGAGATCGACTGTGAGTTGATTTCTGCCTGGCTTGGCTTTGGCTGTATTGCTTGCCACCGAATCAACCATCGGCTAACATGGTCTGATCCCAGGGGTGGAACTGTAAGTAATGAGTCCATCCGACAGACGCCCGATATACAAGCTTATCACCACTTCTTTGTACCCTTGCAGAGCTGCGAGGTTCGAGGTTACCGTGGACTTTCTGCTCCAACAGGTCACCTACCTTACCGAACGCCATGCCTCGCAGGTCCGAGCTCAGATGCGCAAGGCCACTGCTGCGGCCAGGAGCTCAGCTGCGCCATCTCCCGTTCCTGGCTCTGACTCGAATGCTGCCCTCGAGGCAATGAGGAGGACTGGCTCCTCCCAAGGAGCGTACGGCCACACGAGAGCCCCCTCCTCCCTTTCCATCCGCAAGGACTCGCCCATGCCACCAAAGAATGACGCCGGCGGCCCCGAGACTCCCAGGATAGGGACTTCGGCAGCTGCGCCCCACGGGTTCGGCCCTCCTGGTCGGCCACCAGCATCGCGGAACTCGTCTTCCGGCACGACAGCACAGGTTGGCAGCACCGGCAGCACAGCAGGATCGCTGAGACATAGACCGGGCGCGGTGCCGACTTCGCCTCGCTCACAAAACAGGCAGCGCCTGCCATCTCTGCCAACCGTGCCCTCTTCGGTCGCGAACCCTGCCGGCCCGGCGTCTCCTGCTCCGCGAGCCCACGACCCATCCTCCCCGGGCCCGGCTGACTCGGCGTCTCCCGAATCTTCTGCCTCCTCCAGCCCCGCACAATCTCGCATTATCCGACGGCCTCCTCGCTTCCAGCAGAAGCAACAGGACCAGCCCGGTGGAACATCTGGGTTTGTTGATGACGACGATGACGAAGCAGAGCCCGCGTTCTTGCCTTACAGAGCGAAGCCTCCCACATCCACCGAAGCCGGCGCAAGTGGCGCCGATGGCAGCGACCAATTCACTGACCCCAGCGCCACGTTGCGAGGGGACCCCCGTGACTTTGCCTCCAACGCCGCAAGGCGATTGCAGAATGTCACCGGCCCTGATCTGAGCGGTCAAGGCAAGGGGAAGGGAAAGGAGAGGGAGCGTGTACTCCAAAAGTCATCCAACTCTGACTCTTCGGAGAATTCGGCGGCCTTCATGTCTAAGCCGTCATCTAGTGGCCGCAGACACCCCTCAGGACCACTGTCGCCGCGCAGAACGGCTGAGCTGAAGCGAAAGGTGTATTCGAGGGAGGGAAGTGACGGCACGCCGAGCATGGGCAGCAGCTTTAGTGACTTGGATGGTAAGTCTTCCGCAGGAAATCACCAGGTCCGCCATGTTCCACGATGCTGATATCCACGCCACAGATGCCTCAGTGACCCAGTCAGCCCTGGAGGAAGCGCTGGCTAGTAAGATGCAGGGAGGAAATACAATCGGCAGTACAATCAGCAACGTCTTTAGGAGTCGATATCTGCCCAAGTGAGTCTGCAAGCTGAGATCTCCCTCGCCACACCACGTTGAGCTTGAGTAGCCATGCATTTGCGATGGAGGAGCTGGAGGTGGACAGAAGCGACGCGGGTACTTGCTGGTGCTTTCGCGAATGGGACATGACTGTGCTCTCAGCTTGGATAGTCATGCGTGCACAAATCAGTCTATTTCGACTCAAGGCATGCATGGAATGAAAACGCTCCCGAATGACAATTTTATCTCGTTCAACATAGGGCAGTCAATACCAGCCGTCTAACCTTGAGAATGCTCCCGTAATCAATGAAACCTCTCTGGAAGAAAAGGCCCGGCAGGTTGTTGTGAAACCTTATTAGAACATTTTGACTCTGCAGTGTTGCTTCATAGTTCTGGCACTGTCCTGCTTCCCTTGCGCTAGTCTAAAGTATGGGGTTTGTGGGTTCAAATGTTGAAACAAGCCAATGGTGAACTCTCCTTTTTGAAGCCAGCAGGTATTCCTTGTGCGGCCGAGGTTCTCGGACCCAGATGCACAGGGAAGGATTTCAGTCCTGGTTGCTTTTGAAAAATACCTACATACTCAAATCATCCGGATCCCTGGGCGGAGTCTACGGGGCGAAAGTGAGGCTGCAGTCATGACTACTCCGGGACTTCTGGATGCTGGAGGTTGGTCTCTGTCGAACATCATCACCAGCCGGACCGCGGTTCGATTGCTCCTTGCTTGGCTGGCATACCGGCTCCTCAAGGCCCTCTACAACATATCTCCCTTCCACCCTCTTAGCCGTATCCCAGGCCCGAAATTGGCAGCAGCAACCTACCTGCCAGAGTTCTATTACGATGTGATCAAGTTCGGGAGATACACGAGGGAGATCAAGAAGATGCACAAGACATACGGGCCGCTCGTTCGAATTAGCCCTAACGAAATCCACTGCAGCGACATCGATTTCAGTGATGAGATCTATGCTGTGGGCGGCCGAAAACGTGACAAGCCAAAACACCAGGTGAGCGGGACTGTGTAAGTGATCCGTCCCATGGGCCTGTCAAGCAAGACTTGTTGTGATCGTCACTCACGCACACCAGGATCAATTTGTCCGAGTTTGGAACCATCGGGCACGACCTCCATAGGGCCAGGCGTACCCCCGTGGCAAAGTACTTCTCTCGCAGCAATGTTGCGAAGCTGGAGGGGGAGATCAAAGAGCACGTTCAGATGCTATGCGACAAGCTGCTGAGGCACAGCGGCAAGGAGCCGTTCGACGTCAAGACCGCGTACAGCTGCTTCACGGCTGATGTTATATCTTGTAAGTGGTCAGCGCCCAGGGCCACGAAAGCAAGATCTTGCCCTTGCCTGAAAGATTACTGACCCGTTGCTGTGCAGCGTACTCTTTCGGCCAGAGCTTTGGCTTTCTTGACCAGGATGGGTGGTATCCAAACTTCAAGGATCCGACAGAAGCTGCGCTGCAAACCTCGCACTTCTTCCGATTCTTCCCATTCCTAAAGCACCTTGACCAAGTAGCCACATGGATTGTGGATTTTCTTCCTGTGGACGTTGCCCTTTTCGTCAGGACGATGCAAATCGAGATCCCAGCCAGCATCAACCAGACCAGGGAGAACGTAGAGGCTGGCCTTATCAGTTCTGAAAAGCGGCCAACCATCTTCGGGTCCCTGCTTCTGGAGGAGGAGCTGCAGTCCATCGAGAAGGGTACCAAGAGGCTCGCCGCCGAGGGCTTCGCCATTCTCGGCGCGGGCACAGAGACGACCGCCTCGGCGTTGGCTGTCATAACATACCACCTTCTAACGAAGCCGCACCTCCTGGTGAAGCTGACTGCGGAGCTCGAGCGACACGGCATCACGAATTCTCCGCGGGAACTGCCGGCTTTCCCTGACTTAGAAAAACTACCCTACCTCGGCGCTGTGATCCAAGAGGGCCTCCGTCTCTCGTACGGAGTGGCTTCCCGCACCGCCAGAATTGCTACCGAGGAGGATCTGGTCTACCGAGGGGAGTGGAACAAGAAGCCAGTGGACTATGTGATCCCAAGGGGCTACGCCATAGGGATGTCGGCCTATATCACCCACCACGATGAGACAGTCTTCCCCAGCTCGGACGAGTTCATCCCCGAGCGGTGGTTGGACGACCAGAATATTCGCCGCAAGGAGGTCGAGAAGGGTCAGATGGCCTTCTCGAAGGGCAGTCGAAAGTGTCTAGCTATGAAGTAAGTTCAAACAAGCCATCATTTACTCAGATTCGGCGTAAACCGCTCGCCGCTGCTCTACACAGGCGCTTCGATATCTTAATGGGTACTGACCGGTGGCCGAACCAGTCTGGCGCTCTGCGAGATCCACTTCGTCGTTGTCGCCTTGGCTATGCGGGTCTTCCCTCATATGGCCTTGTTTGAGACAACCGAAGATGACGTGCTTTACGATCATGACATGTTCATACCGATGGTCAAGGCTGGGAGCAAGGGAATTCGTGTCACGCTGAAATAGGAAAATCGAACGGCGGAAAACGCCTCCACCGGCACTTCAGGCATTGCACTAAGCTTTCAGACACGGTGGCTACTCTGTTTGAATTTCTATTTGGCACTTTAGAAAACTGGCAAATTATCTGAACTCAGGGGCCGACGAGGCATCACTCTCGAATGCCCAGGTGCACAACATATATAGAAAATATTGGGGATTCATGCACAACGGCTCGAGCGTCCTTGGTTGGGTGACCAAGCTGAGAATTGCCACCCACAACTCGATTGGCAAGCCCTGTGTGGAGTCTTGGAAGAGGTCATCTCTTTTCACTCCTTAGACCTCTTCCCTGGATCCGACGGCAATCATTTTGGAGCTCTAAGTGTAATCCGAGTCGCGCAAAAACTGTGTACTTGACATGGAGCAAGCCCTTCTTGAAACCCGGATCGACAATGGCCCCCATAGCCGGGTCCATTTGAAGATATGCGCCTTGTGCTGGGGCGGGGGGCCGCCGACTTCATCTTCTTCGACAGGGCTGATTGAAAGGTGTCAGCAAAACCCTGAGATGCCGAGAACTGGAGAGGGGTCCTATCTCCTGGTGCGCTCACGGGTTGGAACTGTGAAGGTGGCAACCGCGCGCGGGCTTTGAACTTTTCTTGACTTCTCCTGTTCCGTTCCGGTGGCTTTTCCACCTACATAGGCTGGAACTCTTCCGTAATCAGTTGAAGTACAAGAACAGGGCGTATGCACCTGCAATATGCAGCATGGATTAGGCTTTTATGTGATTCCTGTATGGATCCAACTTCATTTGGGCTTTCAAGTGGAACAAGATTTGGTCAGGTAGCCTGGCCGACCTAGTGCGGAGAGACAGCAGGAACTCGTGGACGGACCGAAATCACTACCAGCTTTTAGGGTTCCCCATCGGTAACTTGCCCAAAGCGATATTGCGCCCAGGCAAAATTTCCCTCCTGTAACGTCCATACTTGCTTTCCAACATCCGGCTCAGCAGCACCAGCGGCGACGTGAACCGGCATCAGATGATCCATCCACGGGTGAGCTTTCTTGGCGTCAGGACGGCCACAAATGGCGGCCAGCATCATTTGCCTCTGTTCCACTGGCGCCTCCACGGCCTCTTTCAGCGCATTGTCAAAAGAAACAGCGTATGGAAGGGGCCGCGTGGGGTCGTCTGAAGTCATAACATCCCACATGTCCCGAAGATTGTGAACCGACATCCCTGCGCCAATTATGACAACACCTTGGTCTCGAAGAGAAGAGACGGCCTGCCCAAGGCGGTAGTGCTGGTCTGGGTCCTCAGACTTGAAGAGAGAGACTTGAACCAGGGGCACGTTGAGGGGATTTTCAACCGGATCGAATGCTAAGTGGCCATCAGCATTATGGCTCGTGGCCAATTATCTTCGGGAGTCCCGTTCACACCTACCGACGTGGAACCCGGCCCAGACTCCGTGGTCTAGTCCTCGTTTAACACCTTCAGCCTTGATGCCCGCTGACGAGAGCAAGTCCAAGATATGGGTTGCTAGTACTGGGTCTCCATTGCTGGGGTATCGAGCTTCGTACATGTAATCCGGGAATCCGTAGAAACTGCTATTCGGTCAGTGGAATCCAGAGGACCAGCACGTAAAGGGCCGAACACACTCGTATATCAGGTCGTTCTCGACGGCATTATTGACCTGGATGAGATTGGACTTGGCTTGCCAGTGCGCGCTGAAGACGACAACCGCCTTTGGCTTCACCTTCTGTGTAATCTCTTTCCCGATACCCTGGAGTACCGGATAAACAGCATGTTCCTTATTGTACATGACATCTGGCTGATTCCGACGTTGGCTTTAGTTCAACAAGATGAACGGCGGGATTTGGGCACGTACACCTCCATGGCTAAAGAAATAGACAGGTGGCCTGGAAGACATCGTCACATTGGTGCTCGAGCACCCGCTCTGAGATCTGAATCTGGAGAGGGCGGTAGCCACCTTGGAGGCTGGCGAGGGCAGCGGCAGCCCGGCAAGCAAAGAGTAGAAAACCGCGACCAACGCGACCAGAATCGACACTACGGCAACGCCAACCTTGAGAGGTCCTTGAGAAGCCATCGAGGCGGGAAGATCATGATGAAGAGAGCCGGGGACGCTCTGGGGTGGAGCAGAGGTCACTTATCACCTGGATGGCCTGAGGTCGAGAGGTTTAGCTAATCCCGGATGGGTTCCGAAAGGGGGGGGGGGATCATGGAAGGCTGAAAGGTAGAATGACCCCAACCCCGGCCTGTCAGCGACCCACCCCACTGAGGACCTGCATAGGTAGGTACAACGTCAGGGGTACGGTACATGAACCTCCTCCACTCCGTTCGGCCCACTCACAAAGCACAGGCACAAACAAGACTGAGAGTTATCGCAAGCCCCAAAGGCCACACACTTCCGCCAGCGTCCAAGGCAGAGCCGCTTTTGCCACGGGCTACCAACTCTACAGAGGCGGACAGAATGGCTCTCCGATACGCCCAACCCCTCGTGTTCCCCGCTGCGAAGAGCCACACAGCCACCGTCATCTTCGCCCACGGCCTGGGTGATACCGGTCACGGCTGGGCATCCGCCGTGGAGAACTGGCGACGGCGACAACGGCTTGACGAGGTCAAGTTCATCCTACCACACGCGCCCACAATCCCCATCACTTGCAATGTGAGCAGCCAGGTCGTCCATCATGTGCACGAGTCGGTGCTAACCTTATCCCAGGGCGGCTTCAGGATGCCAGGTTGGTTCGACATCGTCAGTGAATACCCGCCGGGCAAAGCATTTGGGTGGACATGACTGACAGCCGCGGCAGAAAGTACTGGATGGCAGTGTCGAGTCGATGCGCGAGAACGAAGATGCCGAGGGAATCCGCACCTCGGCAGACTACCTGTTGTCCCTCGTCCAGTCCGAGATTGACGCCGGCATCCCAGCCGACCGTATCGTGCTCGGTGGCTTCAGCCAAGGAGGAGCCATGTCAATCTATACAGGCCTGACCGCCAAAGTCAAGTTCGCAGGCATTGTGGCGCTTTCCGGCTGGCTGCTTCTCAGCAAGACCTTCCGTGAGGTGTTGGCCGCCGGCCCCAAGATGAACGAGAACACCCCGATCTTGACGTGCCACGGTGACTCCGACCCCCTTGTGAGGCCCGAGTTGAACATGCTGAGCTACCAGGTGCTCAACACCTTGGGGCTGAACGTGACACGGAAGACTTACCAGTAAGCAGAGCAGCCCTGACGGAAGTGCTCATGGCTTAGCTAACCTTCCATAGGGGCCTAGCTCACTCTGCATCGCTGGAGGAGCTGGATGACGTGGAAGCCTTTCTGAGAGAGAGACTGCCTGCCTCAGCAGACAAGGCAGCTACCGCCGCCGAAGGGGATGGCAAGTCTGAATTGTAATGATTCTGTAGACACAGCAGCGTCCGTGCCTGGATTGAGTACCTAGGTACTTGAAGCGTCTGACTTACGGCGTACTCGAGAGAGGTGGGCCAGGATTCCGTCAAGAAGCTTGACTTGCAACCAAGGAAAATGTGAAATGGCGATTGAAGGAGGCCACGTCCGTCTAGGAGGAGATGAGCATTTGGTGTACTTCGTAGCTGGCACTCAAGTCGCGGGTGATTAGAATCAAACCGAAATCCTGGAGAGGACTCGCGCCCAGCAGAAGAGCTGAACAGACTAGACTTTCATAACTGTTTTTCAGACGGCTTGCTAGCGTGGATGAACTGATTCCTCCGTTGACCAACACTTCTGCCACGCTGCTGCCCCCAGTCCAACGGACTTCACTTTCCTTCTTTGCACCCTACCTCGAGAAACGTCGAAGCCCTCAACTGGCAGCTGGTGACCATACGTAACCTCACTTCAAATCTTCCTTGTAAGTACACTCACTGTCTTGAGGTCATTGCCTGCGCTGTTCAGATCGACACTTCCTGGAGCTGCGCAACCCCCCAGCCTGCTGCAGGCTCTGGTACCATTGCATGCCTGGGTACACTGTTACCACACAAGCAAAACTCCGTCGAAGACCCACCAATTCTGATTTTCTCCATCTTCATGGCCATTTCTTGCCCTACAGCAGAATTTCAAACAGTGGTAGCTGACTTCCCTCACCACCAAGCTCTACGATCAACATCCTCAAGATGGCAAGCACCAAAGAGTCCACCACCCTGAACGAGGCTCAGACCAAATTCTTGGCGATCCTGATGCGAAACGTCAAGGGTAAGCCTGACATCGATGTAAGCTCTTCCTTCCAAGATGACTTCCTGCTGTTCTGTGAATCTGCAGAACTGACATCGCTTTCCCTGCCTGTTCAAAGTTCGACGCCGTCTCCAAGGAGCTTGGAATCACCCAAAAGTCAGCCAAGGAGCGCTTCCGACTGCTATCGGTCAAGATGGGCTGGAAAGACGGCCCTTCCACCCCGAAGAAGCCTACAGGAGTCACCAAGCGTACTCCTTCCAAGGTCGGCGGCGGAAAGAGGGCGGGAAAGGACAAGGCGCAGCTGACTCCTGACGACCGCGACGAGTCCGACGAGGAGGTGAACAAGATGGACTCTTCTGATGAGTTGGTCAAGGATGAGGGAGAGGCCTGAGCACAGGTTTATTGTGGTGCCTTGCATCAGAGCGCTCCTGTCACTCAAGTCCAAGGAGCCTGAGGGGTGATTGATGATACATCGCGGCTTCTGATCACATAACTACATACGGTCACGTTTCGGCCCATTTTCTCCTGGGCTGTTCATACATAAGGAACACAGAAGCTCCAGGAAATTTCTGCAAGCTCTTCCCCAATAAGACTTTGTGATTCCCTTCTGAATTGCTTGTGCACGATGAATCAGCATTCCACTGTATTGAAGAATCTGAAGGTCTGGCCCGTTTCAAAATGCATGAGCCCCTCCACCCACTCTCAACAGGTTTCCATTTCCAAGCAAAACAGATTCAACACGCTTCGCCACGATTAAACGCTCGAAAGTTCCTCCAGATGTTACCATGATCAAAATATGAGCTTCTCAAATCCATCTTTATTGCTGACAGCCTCGGGTGAATGAACCGTCTGCTTTTACAGAGACACATATGAATACACGCAATTGGGTATGTTGACATGAGGCTGTTCGACTTTCACATTGAGCTTTGATCAGGGGGTTGTACAAAGCCACAAGGGATAGATCTATGGCCAAAAAATCATTGTATTTGTCACAACCCGCAGCGGAGATTGGGAGGAAATACCTCCTACTCGAGATCACCAAGGGCCTGGATGCTCGTGGGAGCGATGACAAAAATGATACCCTTATCTGGTTCAATGGCCCAGAAAAAAAGTCAATTGACCTATTTAATTAAAGTACTCTCTTCTCTATGAGCATTAACCTTAGATGTGGGTTAATTCTGGGCGATAGCTTTGATGAAAACCCACTTTTTAATAATGACTACAATGTCCTTAACAGCAAGATCATGAAACTGGCAATGAACTCTTCAAATGAGCATGGTATGAGGACAGAGGGCCATTCATGATCTTCACTATGCAGGAGAGATGGAGTAACCCTGGATGGGGGTAAGAGAAACACTGCATACTCTACATATGTAATTTTTGCCTCATTTAATATGATGAAGTTCAAGTTGAGCAAACCAGAACGAAATACTTCCAGCTGGGCACGACAAGAACAAAGCAAATTCAAATGAATACTTCCAGGCAAACAGCTGGATGGTCCTATAGGAGGCCACTGCCACTACACTATTCCAAATGTTCACCAAAGAGCCATCCAAGTAGCACTGCAACCAGCTTCAGTGTGTCAAGTTCAGCCGATGAACCAAGCTGTGTCTAGATTGCTCAGTTTAAGAGGTTCAACTTGGATCCCCATTGTGAAGATGAGATCGCGACGATGCCATCACCAGGGGCAGAGATTGATGCCACCTCTGGGAGCAGAGGAATCATCTGCAGGCGGAATCCTACTTAACACCAACCTAGTTCAGCTCAGAGCTTGGGGGGCTCTTCTCTTCTGAACCAACTCTACTTATCCACACAAGAGGTCCTCCTTGGAGGTCTCTGTAGAATCCCTGTGCAGTAAACTCAGGCGATGGCCTTTTCTTAGTTGCCCATCTTTGTTGAGGTCTTTTAGTCAGCCTAACTGGGTGCCTACTTACTTAAGTAAGTACCTTAAGTAGGTAGGTATTCTGGCGTCCCACCCTGGAAACTACCACCACACCAGTACAGAGGTACTGACCCTCCTGTGGCAACTTTGGAAGTTGGGACGAAACCTGGGAAGCTGAGCACCCACAATGGCCCGTGCGTGCCAGGCCCTCTTCCTTCCACCAGGAAGGGCAGCTGCAAACGACTACAACTGCCCCTCGAGATCCGTTGACCGTTCGCGAATTTCTGACCATCGCCATCGACAAACAAGTCGTCGAGATGGCGACCAACGACGAACGGAAGAAGGCCACCAGCCTTCAACAGGCGATGGAGACCGTAAGTTCGCTTCATTCTCGCCTTCCTACGCTCCTCGTATTTCCTGACGTTGTTGCCTCCCCCTTCCCCGTTGTCTTCGTCTTCGTGGTCGCCGTCCTTCTCATTCCCATCTTGTCGGCAATAACCCCCCCCCCCCCCCCACCAAACGCACACACGAGCACAGACACACACCAAGTCGACCCTTCTGACAAAAAAAAACAGCAGCTTCTCGCCCTCGAGAATCTGGGGACCCTCACCTCAACCGCGGCGGACGAGGTCCGCAACATCGTTGCCGAAGGCATCGCCAACAAGTTCGGCGAGCTGTACCGGAGCTTTCCCTGCACCCGCGAGGGTGTCCAGATCCGACGGGACGCAGTGCCAAAGACTTGCTCGCTCAGAGAGAGCGTCGAGGGATTCGTTGCAAACGCAAAGTAAGTCTTCTTTGAACAGCACCCCCTTCGCCAACCTTCAAGCCTGGCAGCACCGCACCAAGGTAGCTCCCTCCAGTTGCTCGCTGGGAGGCTCCCACCATAGTCTTGGCCTGCAGCATCGTTGCATCCACTCGTTCAAACAGATTTGTGCATCCTTGGCCATCACCACTGACCGGGGTGGTGACTGTCGTCTCACAAGCCCTTTGAACACTCCCTGCCCTTGACTCAGCCACCACCTGGCCCCGATTTGACGAGCCTTCTGGGCTTTCATGTTGACGCCGAAAACTAATGCACTTCGCAGTACCCTCGAGAAACCCAAGAACAGGAGCCGAGAGGTCCAAAGGAAGGCGTACGTCATGGCTCGGTCGATATTTCCATGTTTTAAATAACCCAGTTTCAATCCTCCTGAGCTGTGACTGAAGATTTTTCAACCAGTGCCGTCCAGACGACTACCGAGAAAGATCGCCTGGCATTCCAGGCGCTTGCTCAGGTCAACCAGCCTCAGCATAAGTCGAACTTGACGGTCGGACAACCTGCGCGATACGAAAGGGTCGAGACTCTTGAGACGCCCTCGCCTAACAAGCAGCAGCCAGAGGCCACAAAGGGTGGCGTTGGCGCTTCCCAAAGCTTGCACCAGTAAGTGTCATTCAAATGATGCTGAATTCCCATGAATTACATTTACCCACACAATTGATAGGGATATTCTTGAGAGCGGACAGAAGGCCTGGGATGCTTTGCTCGCCAAAAAAGCCGCTGAGAACACGGCTCTTTCTCGCAATTACGACCAGAGAAAGCAATCCGCGCAAATAGCGGGTAAGCCTTCAGCTCCCGTAGGAGCCGGAGTGTACAATGGCGGACGGACTGTGGCTGCTGCGACTCTTGCGGCTCCAAATAATGGAGCCATCACGCGCCAGGGAGGAATGCATCCTCGGTCACTCGGAGACACTGCTAAAGTCAGTGGTGGGGGAAACGACCGTCATACTACTCCCAAGGAGTTGGTCAAGCCGCCCAGCAAACCCATTCCTGAATCCAGCGAGGACCTCATCGACTTTGGCGTCTGAACCCTCCGAGAACTCCCGTCTTTGTCTACTACATTCACCTCAACGATGTTGTCTCCAGGTCCCTCCGATAAAGCTCTTTACAATCTACTCCACCTACACGACCATGACTACGGCTGCCTAACCAGTGGACCAAAGCTGTTACAAATGGGGCCCTGCCTTTGAAATCAAGAAGAAGATCGTGGCCTGTGACTTAGAAAATGCTGAAGTTAGGAGACCGGAGGTGGTAGACGAAACGGAAAGGATGCACCATGTTGATAGGCTTCCAGACAACTTTGCTCAGATAATGGCACATAATGCGACAGCTGTATATTTCTGAGCTTAAGTTATTGGCCACACAGCGTCCGATTACTCAAAATTCTGTAACTGCAATAGGATGAAATGAGCCAACGGCGGGGACCGGAAGACTCTGCTTTGGCATTCGCCAAGCTTCTGCTAAACACATGCCGGCACATTGTGAATGTTTTGTGGTTTCGCTTCTATTCCGTATACGTCCGAGGACATATGTGGTTTCGCTTCTATTCCGTATACATCCGAGGACATATATGGCGCCTTTATACGGTGGTAAGCACTCTAGACCTAGCGCTTGGAAAGAATATAATGTTGATAACAGTAGTTATAATATGTTAGGTGCTGTGAATGTTTTGTATAGATGAAATGAGTGGTAGTTCAAATGATTTGGTTAGAGTGACCAAGGCCGGGCCTGTTAAGGACGGGGGGAGGATGTTTGGGCACTGTGCCATCAGCCCCTCCAGGATATCTCAGCGGAGGGAATGCGATTCTATGTCCACTCCCTACCTAGGAATTCTAGTGACTAAAGACTTTGGCACTTGGGCACTCGATCAACACAAAATTCAGGATATAGCGCTGGGGCAGTATCAGTACCTTGAGTTTCTAGACCCACACCTGGGCTTCTATGAGAGTTCATAAACATGTGCCGTGGTGGAGCCTAACTTGGCCCTGGAGGCTCCACAGTCCAGGGGACTATGTTAAATCCACCAAGCATCTTACAAGGAGCCAAATGAGCTGCAGAGGGCCGGTGCATCTGTTTTCTCAGAAGTATTTGAATTGACCGAATTACTACCTACGTAGCTTGAAGAACTCTCCGCGGGGCGTCTTGCAATCAGTGCTTCATCAGGGAATCAAAGAGTACATGTACTCATGCTGTCATCAAGATTGTGGCCGAAAGGAGAATTCAACGAGTTGCATTCTCGGCAGCTCCTTCACTTTGATCCTCCCGAGCGTCCAAAATCTTGGAATGCGATAGGCTCAAGGGGCAGCACCGGCAGGTTGACCTCTGTGGGTCTTTTCATAGCGACCCCTCACCCTCAACCTGGGCCTCAGGGCCTTCACAGCTTCAATGGCAAATTGTCCCAGTCCTCGGACTCAGTGAATTCTTGATGCAATGAAAGTCTAGGCGGCAGTACATCGAGGGAGATCTAGTGCTCGCTTGTTCATTTGTACCTCTTGACTTTCAATGCTCAGAAACAACCTCCCTGCCAGTGAACATCCGTCACAGCCCGCCGTATCGTCTACCCAGTGTCCCAAACCCCCCGATACTCACCGTATCGCAGATAATGGAGCCCAATAGACACCAGATCCTTCACCCTAGGGCGTGGGCCAGATGTATGGTAGTCGGCACAGGGTATCCGGGGTATCAATGGATAGTCTCAGAAGTGTCTATACTGGCAGCTAAAGCCACCTTGAGCTGATGCATCCACTACACTTTCGTTAGCGCACACTAAGAGCACTCGAGTCAAACTGACTCCACACTCACCGCTGCAGTGGCTATTACAACACCGGTCTGTATCTGCAATTCCGGGGCACGGAGCTAGCGGTGCCTGTCAGCGTCTTGCACGGGCACGGTCGAGTCCTGCCTGAAGACGGCCTACCTTTAAGGCCAAGGCCCGCCAAACACGGTGTACACCGACCACCTGGCCTCTTGTCAGCATGGTAAGAGGATTGAATGGTTGATTCTGTCTTACCGCTGCAACGATTGGTGACGCAGTCACTGCCGTCATAACACCCCCCTAGTCATGAGGTGTCAAACACCAACACATATACCAAGGTCCTCAGTGTTTCTATGGGGCCAACCTACTGCCGGTAGTCCCTAGGGCGCATTTGCCAATTGCTTTGCGAATCATCAGTATTCTGGATAGACGTCTTCATATTTTGGATGCTTACTTCGATCACACATTCCCGTGACACATCCATCCCCTCCCATGCAGGTACCTGCAGTGTTTTTGTCAGGCGGGAGGGTGACCATGCTCAGACTAGGGAACTTACCGCCTGCGGGTTGGAGTTGTTGGGCAAGGGAGGACGCACTGAATGCGACGAGAATGAAGCTGGAGAGAAGCATTCTGGGTGCCTTTTTTCTTTTCTTTTCTTCAAATGTGCCTAGATTTGGTTTTGTCGAGACGAGGAAGATTGTGCTGCCAGACAACCTCCTTATGAAAGGAAAACAGGACTCGAATCGGGAGTCAAGGCCGTCCTCAGACGCGCTTATTGTTAGGTTCTGACCGCGCTTGCGTAGGCTGCCGTGGAAAATATAGTTTAATTGTTAGCTTCAATGCATTGCCACGGACTGTCCGGTTCTCGGCATGCCCGTCGAGGTGAAGCGACCTCGGGAATGACACGGAGAGCTAGCTAAGTACCCAGGTACTTACTTTGACTTCGTTAGGTAGATTGGAAAAGCATCCCGTAGTTTGCACTAGATGGTTCGCTCCCGATGCTTCCGGGAAAAGGACCAGGAGCCGCAGGTTTGGGAAAAGCTCGACTCCAAACAAGCATAGTATCCTTTCCCCTTTGTCTAAGCAGCACGTCTCAAGGGCTGACTAGGGCATTAGGGGGCGAGCCCTAAAGAAACCCACCCACATTTCGACCACCCCCTAATTCCAACCACTTCACCATATTACTTAAACATTTTGAAACAGCACCACAAACACCACCCTAATTAGTGGTTTCATTTCTAATCTACATACATATTAAACACATGTGGCACCTTCATACAGTGAGTGGTAAACACTTAAGAGCTAGTGTTTAAAAATATAATATAGTGCTAATAATAGTGCTGAGAGAATATAGTATGAGGGCATGTAGCTTCAGCCTCGTGCCGCACAGACAAAGGTGATGTGTAAATAACTTGAAAGTAGCATGTTGAATTGAGAAGAGTTGTGAGAAGTCTCAAAATTGCAAAATAATCGCGCAAAATCTTTTTCTGCCTAGTTGAATGACTGAAAAGTGCTCTGTGTTTGTGACCCTGACGGCTGGGATAGTGGTCCATGACCAACTCTAGGCGTGCCGGCTTGTGGCGATGCAGCAATAGAAAGCATTGTAAACATCGCGCGGAAAGACGTCCCACCGGTCGGCCGGCGTCACCAGCCATGACTAAGCAGCCGCTCAACTTATCCAGAGTTGACTCAAGTTGCTGATCAATTTTCGAAATCGAGAGCGAACTTCGGTAATTAATATCATGTCTGCTTGGTTATCGAGGAATGGAGCCGCCTTGGGCAGAAGGGATTCCATCTCGTTACCTGCTGGTAGATTTGACCTCATTGCCGCTGGCCAGTCTTTGTGAATATAAGAGTTTGCTTTGGGAGGTCATACAGCCATACTGCTCCTTGGCCCAAATCCATAAATACATCGGCCTCTTGGCTTCAGCCACACTGTATTTTTCCTTTACACTATATAACCACTCGTTTCTTCCCCAATCCAGAGCTTACATATAAAGTCTTCAATAACTTTATATATATCCTTATAGTCCTCTTAGAGAGAAACTTTAAATCCACTCTTTCCTTTATTTCTATTATACTTTTCTATACTATTAAAGAGTTAATAGTTACTAATAATAAAAGTATAAACTTAAAAAAGGATAAACTTATTATACCCTTCCTTTATTTTCTTATAAATTACTTTTAAAATTCTTTTTAAAAGTTTTAATACTTTATTATAAAAGTCTTAAAAATAGTATATTATAAATTATTTCTTTATCTTAAGTTCTTTTAAAGTTAATAGCTATATACTTAGATAAAGGCTATAATATTAACTTTATAGGCTTATCTAGTAAGGGTTTTATTAGTATATATATGTATATATATGTATTTAAAGGGATAATTTTTAGCTAAGCTTCCCTTAATATAATTTATTTATATAGCAACTATTTTTAAACCTAATCTCACTATATAACTCCTTTATAACATTCTAATTAATATTATTATTAAGATAATACCCTTTAGTCTTATCTATATATTATAAGGCTAAAACTATAAATACCTATTATATTATAACTATTATTATTAATATTATATTCTTTCTAAACACTAAATCTTAAATACTTACCACTATATAAAGGCACTATATATATCCTTAGACATATACAGAATAAAAGCGAAACCACACATCAGCCTCTTCATTAGTATCAATGATAAACTCAATTCTTTCCATGCTCCATTTTACAATAGATTAAGCGTTGGAGGAGAGCAGGCCGCCATCTTTGTTTGCCTTGTACCGTTTGTCTATGCGGGACGACGCTGAGCCCACGTGCCCACCTGGGCACACATTGTATTCTCTCTACAGTGTCATTGGCATTTTTTTTTAAAAAAAATAAAGAACATCCTTCAGTGTTTAGTTCTTACTGTATGAATGTGCCACATATGTTTTATGTGTGTGGGGATTGGGAACAAAACCAGTATTTGGATCCAGAGCTCACATACTACACGCCGTGCGAAGGCGCCATGTATGTCCTCAGACGTATACACAATAGAAGTGAAACCAGCCACATACCACAAGCCAAATTGATACAGACCACGTGGCGCCAGTGCTTGCTCCTTGATGAAATATTCTCTCAAAGCAGCACATCACCCTCTTATACTCATATGACAACACATACTGCCTACCAAAGGCACAGTATGCGAAAGGGGATGGCCGAAGAGATGCTGGCAAACATCTTGAAGGAAAGACAGTGAAGTGGGAGAGTAGAAAGACACGCCTCAGAGACAGCAAAGTTCTAGGATTTGTGGTATTAAGGATGTTGTCACGTAGATTCCAGAGATTGACTGAGTGCCGTTACGCGCATTTCTCGTCACTGAGTCAGGAACCACATACTTTAAAGACAGCAATTTCAGATAACCAAGGGTGCCAGAAGTCATTGACCATGATCATGATTTTGGATATCCGTAATGAAATTCAGAAAGGATCCTTCAGGACCTAAAACGCTGGCATTATTCTGTACTTGCCGAAGAGGGATTAGAAAGACGACTTCTACTTGTCTTTGATTTGGAGGCATTGTAGAGTCCACCCAGGATACAATACAATACTAAACTAAAACAAAAATAATAGTAGCTTAAAGAATGGTGGTATATTGCAGCTTCATTCTTATTCAGACTATTGCTGGTGGTGTAAATAGCATTTGCCGTAACAAGCTGTTTTGATGTTGCTCCAATCTAAAGTTCTAATCCAGAGTTGGAAACCGATTTTACCAAGTTTGAGAATCTCCGCCTGTTGTCGGACTACTGATACAAGGCCACTCACTGTCCTTTCGGAGTTTCCAGACTACTCGCAAGCACCTGGGCAAGCAGTAGTTAGTCACTATGGCGAGCTTCTGTATTACATGCCAAGGCTGGTTTCGTTTTTAAATCCCCATACATGTAAAATGTACGTGGCGCCTTCATACAGTGGTAAACGCTCAAGACCTTTTATGCCAAGTCTTCTCAAATTTTCGTCAGAGGGTCAATTGATCTTTGACCGAGTAAGCCAAGAGGAAAATGGATGCACCCACAACCTCAAGGCGTGGATTTGGCATTGATATGACTGACTGACCGAGCTAGGGTTTCCAACTGACCGTTACATTGCTCACGGCGACTCCTCTCTTGCCGCCAACCATGCCGCAGAGATACGCATAGTGCATCGAGACTTTACTAAGTTCCTACCGGAGGCAAAGGCCAAGGTTTTGTGACAGCAGCTATCGAGCCAAGTAGTAGCCCGGCCATCCGAGAGAAGGATGAGGACACACTTCCTATAAGCTAGAAGCAAATTTTGCTCATGCAGCTTTGTCTTCACATAATGTTTCACCCGGGCGTCTTACGGGTGCGCTCCAGGTCCAAACACTTGTCTCTGAGATTGAAAACCGCTTCTCGAATCTTGTCACTCAGATTTTGGAATTCATCAAAGATGGTGACACCGAGTCCATTGAAAATGGCCCAACGGTCGCTAATTTCACGGGCTTGGGCTGCTTTATGAGCGCAATCGCGGCAGACGCTGTTGAGCGCCACGTCTACCCACTTGATGACCACGAAATTCGGTCGCTGCGCCAATGGGTGTGGATCTAGTTCTTAGAATTCTTGGGGCAGAAAGAAATTTGGACATCAGTGTAGGCTTCGTCGGACTCTAGTTGTTCAGAGTCGTTACTACTTGGGAAATTTTAGAAAATCTATGAGGCGGATGACCCATATCTCTCCCAGTACCAGCTCTTCAGCTGTTGGGATTCGGATTGGCTTAGACTCGCTGATAGGCACGAGGAATTTCCGATTTTGGCGGAACAAGCCAGCGAATCCGCGCTGAGAAGCGTCAAGGACCTGGAGGACAGGCCTAGTCACCAGAAGCTTTTAGAGGTCCCTGGGGAGGACCCTCTTGGTTGGATCGAATAGCTGCTGGTTTCGCTTCTATCCGGCATACGTCCGGGGACATACATCGTGTGGGTCGAAATGATTCTCAATCACTTGGGGAAGATTGAGTTGTGTTTATTGGAAGTCGGCCCACCCATCGTATTTTAACCATAGTTATCGACACTGCATCTTTTCCAAGTGCTGGGTCTTGAGTGCTTACCACCGTATGAAGGCGCCATATATGTCCTCGGACGTATATGGAATAGAAGCGAAACCACAGAAGCGAAACCAGTTGATATCAGAAATAATCATGGATGTGGAATAGAATAAACGGAATGGCGAGTACAACATGTCCCCGACTAATAAATAATCCTGCCATACTGTGTATCACTTGGAGAAGCATCTCAGTAGAACCAGTGAAAGATTGGCTGTCGGTTGTTTTGGCCCCAGAATTTGTGAATTTGAAGATTGGTAGGCTAGAACAGGAGACCAGAGCATTGATCACCTAGTACGTGTCTATATTGGCTTGGCAAAATCATCAGTGGCACTCCGCATTTGGTTGGCCCGAAGACCAAGCAAATTTCCCCAATGTCGTCTGAGTTGACAGGGCGTCGGTAGCTGGAAAGACTCACTCCCAGCCTGTGGCAATGCCTGTTCCTTGATGCTACCCCTGGTGGTAGTAGATGGTGTATATCCCCCTCTTTCCAAGCCCTTGCCGATCCCTTTTTCAATTACTCCCTCCCCAGGACGTCTGTCATGGGAACGCCCAGCATAGAAGCATACTTTTTGTAACTCAGACACAGGTTGAAATTTAATACTGTATGAACGGGACATTGCACTGGTGAACGGCGAACGGTGAGGAGATGCGTCGTCACAACCCGCCAAGAGCCTGTTCTGAAATAGGACTTGTATTCTCTAAAGGTTCCCAGAACCATGATGAGAATTCTCATGGGCTCCTCAAAACAACGAAGAGGTGACCACCAGCCGGGCCAGTTGTGCTGACGGACGGCCCAATGACAACCCCGAGCGCGTCCGCTTTAGGCAACTCAAATCCGTCCCAACTCCTCACAGGCCTCTTCCCTGTCGACGTCCAGGGGGCGGTCTTGGCTTCTCCGCACAGCTACTCAGCGAGGCCAGTCTGCAGCGCGAGGGCGCAGGTCAGGGACCCGCGATGCAAGAACGGTGCGGCGTCCGCGGGCGGCTGGTTCGTCACGCGGGATGGTGGGTTGATGTGACACCCAGCGCGGGCACGTTGACAAACACAGGGAAAGAGGGCTGTTCATCCCGAGGTCACACTCCTTGTGCTCGGGGGAGGATGGGGGACATGTCACGTCCCTGACCGCGGGCCTGAACTATTTCTTGGGACAGATCCCCAGCATGGCTGAGCAGAGGGCTCGGACGCATCGGGACATCTCGACCGCCTGACGACAACCGTTACAATGAGGTCTTTGAGCAATCTTGTCACTCTGGCACTCGCTCTTGCGGGCGGTGCCAGAGCCGCAGAGTACAACTCTTTCGATGGCCCTGGCTTCCCCACTTGCTACGATGTCACGGCAGTGCACAACGCCACGAGCGTGGATGAGAGTGAGTCTCGATGACATCTGGGCTTTTTGTGCCCGGCCGCGAACCCAAAATACCTTCCCGACAGAGGCTGACAAGAACTCCCATAGTGGTTTCCCTCGTCCAGGCTGCCGCCGCCTCAGGGAAACAGGTTCGCGCAGGAGGAAAGGGTCACATGTGCAAGTAACATCCCAAAGCCATCATGATTCCCCCATTGGGCTCTCCGTGGTAGTCACGGCTCCATGTCACCCGGATTTGGGGGGACTCCCCATCCACACCAGCCAAAAGTCCTGCTGGCTGACATTGTGACACAGGGTATGACACGCAGTGTGCCGACCTGCCAACCGAGATCATTAGGACAGAGCTTGTCAACCAGATCTCCGACTTCGACCTCCCAGCAGGAGCCGAATCCGGCACCGTGGTCGTTGAGGCTGGCGTGACCTTCTTCCAGCTGGCAGACTACCTGCACGCCCGTGGTGCCAACATCGGCACCGGCCTCGTCAACTGGAACATCTCCCTCGGCGGAAGCGTGGCCATGGGTGCCCACCGGACCTCGCTCAGGGAGGATGCTGTGGTAGTTGGCGGTGTTTTGTCCATGGACATCATCGACGGCACCGGAACTATCAGGACCATAGAGCGAGACGAATCCAACGACGAGTGGCTGGCAGCCTCAACCTCGCTTGGGCTCTTGGGCATCATTGCGAGGCTGAAGATGAAGATCTACCCAGAAACTGTGCTATATGCGATGCAAAAAACGTGGGTTCCCCCTACGTGCCACGAAGTTGATTGAATACGGACTGATGCGGTGAAGTTTTGACGAGGAGGACGTTCTGAACGGAGACATCGAAGCACTCATATCACCTTACCTGACGGCAAACCTCTGGGTAGGTCTAAATTGATCCATAATGTGGAATAGACTCGATGCTAACGTGCCCATAGTGGTGTATGTGCAAATGCCCCCCCAAGCAGCTACTGCCCGCGAAGGAGCCCAAAGGATGCAGCGGCCAAGAGTCTGTGAACATATCGCTGACCCGGTGAATGGAACAGGGCCGTACAAGAGAAAGTTCCATCAAAGGTACTACGATGTCGTCGGCCCCGATGATGTCAACCAGAACGGCCTGCAGTCGACCTTTTCCTTGACTGGGATCGAGGCCGCCGCAGCCATCTCCATTCTTAACACGGGAAAGGCTCTTGCCACATCCAACATGCTTGCTGAGGAGATCTTTTTCGTAAGTTTTCTGGAATGAAACACTTGCAGGATCTGTAGCAGGACTAACGTCACCGGTAGGGGATTTGGGAGAAACCGAACTTCCACACCAAGGACACCAATGAGGAGCTCACGACTTGGCCCGTGACAGGATATAACTGTAAGTAATAGACACATCAGCTCCCCATGCTGCGCTCCCCTTCTGCCGAGGAAATCTCTCCCGAAAGAGTGTGAGGGCAAGCGAGGGTCACTAACACATCAAAGATGACGTTCTCATCGGTGGCCTTTACCCGGATCAGAAGGCAGAGTGGGATTATAACCTCCGCGGCTACACGTTGGAGCTCGCATTCCCCGTTCCTCTTGCCAACAAGATGTTGAAGCGGGTCAGGGAGCTGTTCGATGCGCAGTGGAAAGAGAAGCTGATTGTGATGACCTCGACATACCGAAGCGGGTAAGCGAGGTCGACAAACCCCTGCCGAAACGTTCAGGATTTTCAGTACTGACATGAATCCTCCGCCGTCAGCATCAACATCAAGTTCGGCAAGCCGCACTACGATCTCCTTGGACAGGTGACCACAAACACCTCAGACGGTGCAGACTGGAGCAAAGGCGCGATCATGTTCGACTTCCCGAGCTTCAGGCCCAACATTGGTGACCAGCTGCGTTTCAATGAGCCATTCTGTGAGGCTACTTTGACCCCCCGCCAGCAGTAACGCGAACGCTGACCGCAGATAGATCACAATCTATCGCAGACACTCATCAACGAGTTCCCCTGCAGGCCTCACTGGACTAAAAACACACGGGAAGTGCTCACGCAGTCTGTGAAGAACCTCGACCCAGACGTAAGTAACACCGCGCTACACTGGCATGGTGAGTAACGAGCAGACCTAACTGACACTGTGACAGCACATTGCTAGGTTCAAGGCCGTGCGGGAGGATTTCGACCCGAAGGGGATATTCCGGAGTGTTGTAGGCGAAATTATTGGCGTGTACTGATGGAGCCGAGAGAATGCATGTCCACTCAAGTTACAATTGACATTTATGATGGCCTGTGGATGTCGCAGGGCCCCGGTCAGGCGGTCATGAAGATACTTTGTGGAACTCAGCTTGACATCTTGTCCCCCGAAAAGGTGCCTGGGTCTCTCGAGACAAGCCTTCTGACGAGGATTCTGGCATGGCACAGAGCCGTCGCGTGATGTTGAGGTTGGAGATGTAGCACCACTTATTTCCGTGATTGGAAAGGCCCAACCTGCCAAGTTACACCAAAGCCGTTGGCATGTGCCTTTCTACCATTTCCACAATGGTTGGTGAAGCGAGAACAACTATTGGCGATCAGCTGCAAATGTGAAATCACATGTTGTTCCCCGGCATTCCGTGGCCGTGGAGGGTTGCTTCACGGCCTTGCACGTTGCTCGGAGCTTCCCAGGTTGGAAATCTCGGGTGCACATGATCAGAGGGCAGGTATTAATAAAATATCAGATGCAGGAGAGGTGTTGTCTTGCAATGGCGGGGACAGCCAATTAGACAATTACTGTCTCGGAAAAACGAGAGTTGGCCCCCCCCCTGCAAAATGCCCCCTATTCCTCGGCTAAACTAAAACTTTACTAGTAAAGTAGAAAATCTAATATTTTTATTAAAATACCTATATTAACCTTATTAATATTAATAATAAGTTATCTTTATTATTTAATTAAATAAAAGTAATATTATATTAATTTTATATAATTAATTTAAACTTAATTTATAAAGGTATATATAATTTATTTATTTTAATATAAAGTAATATTAATTTAATTAATATTATAAATAATATACTTTAATTAATTTATTAAGTTTAGATTATTTAATATTTATTATATAAAACTTATTTAAAAAGTTAAATTATATAATTTATTAATAAAATATTATATTATTTAAATAATTATATATTTAAAAGTTAATTATTAAGGTAATTAAGGTTTAATAAACTATTTAAAAGTATTTATAAGTATTTTTAAAGACTATTTAAAATAAAACTATTATAGTAAATTAAGTAGTTTAAAGAGTATAAAAAATATTATTAAAGTTAATAATAAAGAAAATATATTTAATAATAAGAAAGAAAAGGCTTTAAAAGGTATTAATAATAAGAACCCTTTTATTAATAAGGTAAGGTCTTTAATAAATAATAATAATAATAATATTAAATATTTTAAAAGTTATTTAATTAACCTTTAATATAAGTATATTTAAATAAATTAATTTTAACTTTATTTATTAAAATTTATAACTTAAAAGTTAATACTATTTTTATTATATAATTTAAAAGATAAATTATTATATTAAAAAAATAAGGGTTAAGAGATTTAAAGTTTTTATTAAATTATATTAATTTATTTAAGGATTTAATTAAAAAAATATAAAGATTATTTAAATATAATTATTAAGTTAAAGAATATTTTTATTAAGGTTAATTAGTTTATAAATTAAAAGTTTTTAACTTTATAATTAAAAATTATAAAAAATATTAATAAAAGAATTAAAATATTTAATTATAATAATATTATAAATATATTTTTAAATTTTAAAGATCCTTTTTCTTTAATTTTTATATAACTATAAGGTTATATTATTAATATAAAAGTTATAAATACCTATATTATAAAGTAATTATTTAGTTAAATATCTATTAATTAAGGTCTTTTAGTTATTATTAATTATTTAATAAATAGCTATTTTAAAAATAGTTTATTAATAGTTAAATAAATAATAAATTTAAATACACCTAATAAAAACCTAAACTTTAAAACTTTTTAATTTATATTAATAATTATTAAATAAAAGTTAAAATAAAAGTAAAAATAAACTCTATATAAAAAAGTATAAATAATTAATAAGAATATAATTATATTTTTAAATAATTATTATAAAACTAATTATTATTATTAAAATAAAAGGAATTTTTATAATAATAGTATTTTATTAAATAAAATAATATATATATTAATTTATTTAATAGAAATTTAAGGAATTAATTTAATATAATTATAATAAATAATATTATAATTAAGTATTTATTAAAAGTCTTTTAATTATTAGATAGCTTAAATAAAGCCTAATAAAAGGAGCTTAATAATAATAGAATTAACTTTATTCCTTTTAAAAAAATAATAAAAATAAAAGTAAAAGAAAGTAATATTAATATAATTATTAATTTATTATTTAATATTAATTTATTTAAAGTTAAATATAATTAAATAACTTTAATAAAGTTATTATTATTATTATTATTATTAGTTTCTTTTATAGATTTAATAAAGTTTTATTATTATTAATAATAATAATAATAGTACTTAAAAGTTTATTATAAAAATAAAAGCTATTAATTATTTTTATTATTATTATTATAAATAAAAAAAATAATAATTTTATATTAAAAGTTTATTATAAAAGTACTTTAAAAGTATTTTAAAAACCTATTAAAAGAGTTTAACTTAAATAATTTATAAAAATTATAAAGTATAAAAGGTTTAATTTTTATAAATTTTATAAAAAAGATATTTAATTTAATAAATATAATTTAAAAACTATTTTATTAATTAAAATATTAATTAAATTATATTTAAAAAAGGACTTTATTAGTTTCTTTAATAGTAATAATAATAAGAAGGACTTACTATTATAATAGGGGTTATTAAATAGTTATTTAATAAATTATTAAATAGATATTAAAAGTATATACTTTATAAAGTTTATAAAAATTATTTAATTAATTAATTAACTTTATTTAATATTAAACTTTATAATTAAGTTAATTATTTAATAAAAGGGTTAAAAATTTATTAGAGTAGTTTTTATATTTAATAAAGTAGAAAAGTTATATAATAAATTTTAAAGGACTTTTAAATAAAAAAGTAATAATTAGGTATATAAAAGATATAATTAGTAATAAAAATAGTTAAAAAGGAAAGTTAGTTATTTTAAATAAATAAAGTAAATTAAATACCTAATATTAAGTAACTAATTAATTAAATAAATTTACTTATAATTAATTTATTTACCTTAATTTTAATTATTAACTTAACTATTTAACTTATAAATAATACTTTTTATTTATATAACTATACTTAATTAAAACTTTATTAATTTTAGTTTTATAACTTTTAATTAATACTATTATATTTACCTTATTTTATATTTTTTAATATTTATATATAATAAAAATATCTTTAAATAACCTTAATTTTAAATTTAATTTTTAAATATAAAAATAAAATTAAATAAAATTTCTATTTAAATTATAGTTTAATAATTTATATTAATATTAATAATATAAATAATACTTTAAGTTATTAAAATATATTTTAATAAAATTAAAATTAAAAAATATAAAAATAAATATTTATATTTTATATTTTTATATTTATTATTTTAATTATTTTATATTATAATATTATAAAGTATTATTTATTATAAGAATTAACTTTAAATTTAAATATAGATTTATTTTTAATAAAATACTTTTATTAATTATTATAAAAGTACTCTTTTATTATATAACCTTTATATATTATAATAATAAATAAATTATTAAATATAATTATAAAAGATATAAAGGTAAGCTTTTACTTAAAGAGACTTTTAATTTATAAAGTATACCTAATAAATACTTAATTTATTCTTTTATATTATTTTATTTATTAAAATTAAACTTATTAATAAAGATAAATATTTTTATTATATAATTTAATTAATATATTTATTAAAGGTAATAGTTATAAAGCTTTTATTATATTAATAAGTTAGTATATATATTTATTTATTATTTTATATATAAGCTTTAAGGGTATTATTTATTATTTTTATAATAATATTAATTTAAAACTATTTAATAAAAAGTATTATATTTTATTAAAGTATAGATTTAGTTTATTAAATAAAGGATTTTTAACTTTTAATTTATATAATTTATATATTAGTTAAGTTTTATAAATTTATTATAAAAAGTAGACTAATAAACCTTTAAAACCTATTACTTTAATTTAACTATATTTAATAGTAATAATAATAGTATATTTAAAATAATTATATAAATAATAATAACCTTTTAATAATATTTTTAAATTATAATATAGTTAATTTAAAATTTAGTTTATAACTATTTATTTAATAAAGATAGGTTAAAATATAAATAAAACTTTAATTATTAGAGTTTATAGTTTAATAAGTAATAGCTTATTATTATTAGTCTTTTTTTTTCCTTTTTTAGAATATAAATAGTATTAGGTATAATATTTTATTAAAAATATTGGGTTTTCTATTTTATTAGTGAAGTTTTAGTTTAGTTGAGAAATAGGGGGTATTTTGTAGGGGGGGGGCTAACTCTCGTTTTTCCGAGATAGTGGCAAGGACCCCCCTGTAACTCGGCCGTTAAAAATGTCCAGCAGGCCAGGTGCCGTGGTACGGCCGCGGTACGTCAAGGCTTCTAGAATTCGACGCATCACCAAGGCACCGGTGCTCGACCTCCACGTCCCGTCCCACCACCAACCAGCCTTGCCCAACATGAAGCCGCCCACGAGGCTTGCCGGCCAGGCCCTACCCCGAATTGTAGCCACTGGCCGACACAGCTGCCCGAGAACCCAGCCCATAGCCTCCAGAGCCCTCCACTTCTCAGCCGCCGACCCGGCCAACGTCGCCCCCTTCTGCGCGACCGGTCCCCCTCCGGAACCACCACAGCCCGCTGCCGAACACCCATATGCCAAGGCGGAGAGGAGAAGGAAGCAGGCTGAGCTGCTCAAGAATGCAAAGGGGCTGCGGGATGCTAGCACCGGCAAGAGCCCCGGGAAGTCACCGCTGAAGAAGCGCTTCTGGCAAGACGTCCACATCAAAGAGGTCCAAGGTGCACCACACACAGCCTACCAGCCAGCCCCCCAACCGGTCCCTTATCCTCTATACCTTTGAAATATACTGACAGTCTGAGGTGCCTGCACCCACCCAGGCTCCTACCAGATCTTTCTCGACTCCCGGCCCCTCCGCCACCCAACAACCAAGACAATAGTGAACGTGCCTCTCTCCAAGCCGTACCTGGCACACGCCCTTGCCCTCGAGTGGGACCTCCTGACCTCGGCCCAGCAGGCAACCAAGAACCACCTGATTCCTCTGACTTCCATTGTGTGCCGCGCCCTTGACATTGCCGAAGACGACGCCAAGCACCACCAAGAGGGCGGCAGCAGTGGCTTTGCGCCCACCCGCACCGCCATCACCGAGGTCCTCATGCGCTACCTCGACACCGACTCGCTGCTGTGCTGGGCACCGCTCCCCGACGAGCCACTCGGCCCGGGTGAGGTGCCCCTCAGGGAGCTCCAGGAGCGCACGGCTGGACAGATCATAGGGTACCTGAGCACCCATGTCTGGCCTGGTGTGGAGATTGAGCCGGTCCTGGACGAGGGTTTGCTGCTGCCCAAGGAGCAGAAGCCAGGTGTCAGGGAGGTTATCCAGGGATGGGTGATGGGCCTTGACGCCTGGGACCTCGCTGGTTTGGAGAGGGCTGCTCTAGCTGGGAAGAGCTTGCTGGGTGCGGCCAGGCTGGTGGTAGAGTGGAGTGAAGGCAGTGCAGGCCGTGCTGTAAGGGACGCCCCTCCCGGTGGGGAGAAGCCAAAGCATCACAAAAGGACATTTGGGGTTGAAGAGGCGGCTAAGGCGTCAAGTCTGGAGGTGGACTGGCAAACAGGCAAGTGGGGCGAGGTTGAGGATACCCATGATGTAGAGAAGGAAGACCTGCGCAGGCAGCTGGGAAGCACAGTGCTCCTGGTCTCAGGCAAAGGGACCTGGTAGATAGCTGACATGTCTTGAACGATATCATATAGAACGTTAGACGGGGTCATCCTGGCCAGTAAGACTCGGGCACGGTGCATATCTTCTTGGCCCTAGAGCATACTTCTTTGGTCAGATGCCTCTGAAAGCTATTAAGGCTCTTCTCTGATCTAATTGGGTCTTTGATCTTAAGCCGCAGTGTGTGGTATGGTCACAACATTGCCTGTTCATCCAGCCAAATCAGCAATGTATGACCTCCCGAGCCTTCCACCGCTGTGAACAAACCACCAAACCGCAGGTGTCCCCAGCCTCAAAATAAAAATACCTGATAAAAGCCAATATGGGCCGAGAGGCCTGTGTGTCTTCAAACCCGCGGCTCTTAAGCCCCAAGACAACCACCCTACCTTGATAGCAAATCATTGTGCGCCACTGTCCCCACAAACTTGTGCCATATTCGTGCAATCCCTCCCCCCCCCCCAAAAAAAAATCAGAAGATAAGAAAAGACTTTGATCCAGTGAACCTCTTCATGTGTTCAAATCCATGGCTCCGACCAAGTCCCAGTGGACCATGTCTTACTAGTAGCAGATACTGGGCTGGCCCAGGATACCAACTGGGCAAGGCTGTGGCAGAGAAGGCAGCTGACGTGTGCCCACATCTAAGCAGGCTGCTCCCTTTTAGTCGCTCAACTTGGTGCCATTGTAGGCAAAGCTGAGGGCATGGTCTGGGATTTGTGCCGCCTTCTCCATATCTTCCACGGTCAGGCCTTTCTGAGCAAGCTTCTTCTTCTCGCTGGCCTGCCTGTAGTACTTGAGGTTGATCGTCCGACAGGTCATCGCATAGCGTCGTATGCCCTTTGGATCTACTGCATGCTGGATTTTCTGTCAGCACATATCATTACCTCTTTGACTCTGCAGGGCGAAAAACTAACATCAGTGAGAGCTTGAAGCTGAGTGTCGCACATGGTGGCCACATCTCCATGACGAAGCTGCACTTCCAGGATCGACGCTCTTTCATGGGGTTTGTTGCCATCCTTCATGGCAGTCTTGGATTTCTTGAACCGCAGTGACATCTTGCCAGGGGATCCAAGAGAGGCCGTGCTTATGACACCTGTCAATTGGGCCTCTCCATCATCATGCCACTTCAAAGAGCTTGTCAGCACGGAAGGCTCACATAACATGCTTTTGGTGAGCAACCTACACTGATCTTGTCATCCTCTCTGTACGCGAGAGCCAGTAATTCGTTGAAAGGCTTCTGAGGCGTGTGAAGGGTGGAGCCAGCAGTGTGTCGGTAATTCTCTCTGGAAGCGATTTTCTGAGAGCTTGCAAGAGCCTTCTGGCCAAAGTGCTTCAAGTAGGCCAGGGACTTCAAAACCACATCAGGAGCGGTCTCAAAGGGCTTTGTGCCAATTCTCTTCTGGCCAAATTCATAGAGAGCACCCTTGATTTGATTAGCTTGAGGTGGGAAATCAAATGGTGACCCAAATGGACTTACAAAGTTTGACTGAAAGTGGCCGGTCAACTGCTCAGCACCAGCTGAATATTGTTAGCAAAGGAATAGGTGACCGTGGTCGTGTATATATGTGGGAACTTACTGCCTGCGCAGCGAACAGGGCTTCGCTGGAGATCCATGCTGCTGCCATCTGCTTCAATGCTGGTGTACAGCTCATCAGCGCCACCAGGGGCTTTCTTGGAAGCATCGCTGGGCCGCTCGACCACAAGAGTTCCAACCAAGTATCCATTGTCATCCATGATCATATAAATGAATCGAGTGGACAGGCAATCTTCATCGTTCTCAACAAACTTGTCAACATGAGCTTCCCCAAGCTTGATGGTCACCCCATCATCCTTGACGCGGCATGTCTTCGTGTGTCTCTTCGTCTCCTCCTCTACCAAACTCAGAGGGTATGGTATAGGAGGCATGTTGTACTCGAAGCCACAGTTTGGGCATTTCAGTCCGACCCAGTGTTTCCGAGCACTAGCGCAACGGCACTCAGGGCAGGTCATGCCACTGCGTCGAAAGGCTTCCGTGCCGAAAATCCCACCATCCTCTGCCAAAGCCTCCGGGAGCGGCTCAAACATAGTAGGAATGTTGTTGATGTCTTTGTAAGTTGTGTTGTGGTTGATGAAGTCTTCAGAATATCGAAGCTCCTTGTTGTCGTCTCCAATCTGGGCCAATTCCTCACTACCAACTTTGAAGAATGCATCACAGTCTTCCTTGAGACAGACCCAAGTTGCATTTTCAAAGACCTTGGGACCTTCCCTCTTACATCGGATGCAAGTTGCCTCCAGGAGCCCAGATACAGGTGACTCGGTGCCGTTGCTGGTCTGAGGATCTGTTTTCTCTGGTTGATGAGGACCATCAATGGTCATGGTGTTCGGGATAACCTCTTTCCAGTACCATGGCTTTGAAGTGGGATCCAAAGTCTGGAGCATGAGTTTCCAAACTTTGTAAACGTGGACTCCTTTCTCGTTGGATTGCTGCACCCTCTCATTCCAGATCTTGGTCACCATGAATGCGCCTAGCTCAACAAAGGCGCCACGTTTGCGCACAACACTTGGTAAATTGAGGCTTTGAAATTGTGGATGTTCCTTACCTGCAGATATCACCTGTTAGCATACAATTTGTAGCGGATGTAGATGTAGACCCACCCATGATGACGATGATAGGAGTATGAAGTGCGGCCTCCCACCGGGGAATAACATCTGGCTTAGTATCCTTGCGAAGAAACATGCGCGTCTTGATGTCCAAGTAACGACCACCACCACTAAATAGGTGTCAGCCAGAGTACAACAGGCGGTTATTGAGGAGTTCTTACCTGCAAGTGATGAGCTTGTTTCGGCCAAGGAAGTCTCGGGCTTCAGTGAACTTGTCTATGTACAATCCGACAACCACGTTGTTCTTGCTCTGAACACCTCCCTGGTATGCTTTGAAGGATTGCTGTGAGCTGCAGAGGTCTCCCCTGGTCATCGCCCAGACAGTGACTGGTCCATTGGGGAATTCATCCTCAGAATCAGCAGAGGCTGTGTTTGTACCGCTGTCCCCAGTGGCATATTTTGTTCGCACACGCTTTTGAGACGCATCGGACTGCAGAGTCTGGGATCCTCTACGTTTCAGAGACGTCTGCACAGGCCTGGACGGTGTTGGTAGGGTCGATGGTGTTCCAGGGATAAATAATGTTCCGGGAATAGATGGTGTTGCAGGCGAAGACGGAGTCAGTGGGACAGGCGGTGCAGGTGGGATGGCGGGTGGGATCGTGGGAGCGTCTGCTACAGCCGGAACTGCCCGGGTGGACGTAGGCTCAATAGCCTTGTCTGTGAGGAAGCAGGCTTTTATGCTTGTTTGTCCAGGCATGATTGCTGAAGTGATGTTTTGAGTTCTAATACAAAATCATTAGAATCTAGCGTCTAAATAAACATGTGAATTCAAGGATATGAGTTCAAGGGTGAGGCAAGACGTAAGAACAAGCTGCAGTAGCGGAGACTCCAATGTCTATATACCTCAGCTCCACTTGAACCGAAGGGCAAGACATCTACCTCATGTAACAAGGCATAAAGAAGCTGGGAATGTGGCAGTTGATCACCATCTTGTATAAAATGGAGTTGTGGGTCAGAAGTGAAGTGGGCAAGAACATGAAGGCTGAGGACCAAATTCCATGGACGTGAAGAATGTTATAGGTACCAAGCATACCATTGCAGTATTGTATATTGGTTGAGGTCTTATACGTGAAGCGAAACGGTAAAATGGATGGGAGGGACAGCGATGGGGATGACGCAAGGGACGAGGCGAGCAACCCCAACAGCCAGAAATTTGCAACCAAGACTTACTTACCTCTATGGTGGTTTGAGGTCCAATGAGAAGAAGTGGTTGGTATGCACCCACTAGTCTGAGAGTAAAGATGCTGAAAATCAGGAGATTCGACCGTGTGATCAAGCAACCGAGTAGTCGAGTGGTCTGGTATGCTGTCGGCCGTGACCAATGCTCAGGCTACCTGATCCTGGAGCAGATTTCATATGAGCTTCAGGGCGAAAGGTACCCAGGAGCTTTTGCCACTAGGTTAGGGGAAAAGGAAGGAACGAAGAGAGGTAGTAGGGGGCAGCTGGAATTTGGTTGTTGAGAAGGGTTCTGGGCTATCAAATCCTTCTCTGGGGTGGGGGGATGATTCTGGTGGACTTCTGACGTGATTCAGGGGCATCGGGCGATAATGTTGTGACGTGTGAATTGAGGTGGTCAACTTGGTATCGGACGAGCTTGATTTCCAAAAGCACCAAACGCTGGAAACCAGCGAAAGTGCCCGTCGTGCCGATGGGGCAGGAAATGACAGGGATTGGGAAAAGATTGTGATTCAGACTGCTTGGGACAGCGCCCGATGACGGAGATGTTTCACGATGTGTACTGGAAGGGAGGCTTGAAGGAGGCTGGAGTGTTCAACTTACAAGAGAATGTTGCAGGGTGTAAGCTTTTGCCTGGAAAAGGACGACTGTCAAGGAGCTGCTGAGCTGCTGTCTGTTCCTTCCAGAGATGAGATGTACCTTCCCAGGCAGAAGGAAGCTGGTCAGAGCGAGTCTGATGCCGCTAGCGTGAACACGGACCACGCAGATGTTCCTTCCCCGCGAATAAACGAGAATAAGTACTTGCCCAGCAGTTCTTGTTAAGTATAAGCTTTGAGCAGGCCTGGTTCTGTTTTGGGGACAGTTGTGTGAAGCCTAGCACGGAAGATACTGCTATCAATCTGTGAAAAGCACAACCCTTTTGAAGGCACATTTGTTGAGATTCTTTTCTTAAGTGAACTTTTAAGGTGTAACACAACCTCAAAGGTAGTAAGGTAGGGTATTAAGAGACCAGGAGAGCTATGGGGGCAGATTCGACGTGAGTTACAGGTGTGGCCGTTGTGGGGGTGAGAATGCCAAACGAGCAACATCAAGTCAGGACTAGCAACAAAATGGGACGAATTTCCGTGAATCACTTTGAACTCTGTTCATACTGTGACACTACAGACGAGTAGTAGCTATAATAAACATGAGAGAAACAACATTCTGGTCACTGGCAGGGGCCCTTGGAGTACTGGACCCTTAGAAGAAAGAACTTTGCTACCTAGGTAGGGTTTTGCTGTAATTCTTAGATTCTAAATTACAGAAATTCCAATGCTCTTTAATACAACAAGCCATTAGGCCATGTTATATATACAATGATTTCTGACTGCATTCAGAATGACCATGGCATTACTCAAGACAAATCTGTGGCACCAAGAAAAGGAAGCACACTCTTGCATGGGCATCTCAAAACTAGGCTCTACCGGACAAAACTACGGCAAACCTCATGTTTTCAACTATTGTTGCCTCCAAACATTGTCTATTGACAAGTCATTCCTTTTTGGTTTAGGAAACAATTGTAATCTGGGCCAGTCACTGGTAGAAGAACAGATCTATCCATGAGTGGATTTGCTTGCTCACATCATCACCCAGCACCAGCTGCATCATTCCATGAACATGGTATTATGTTGAGAGGGACCGGTATTAAAACGGTCGATTACGGCACATACGGGGGTTATTCAGAAGAATCTCGAGGTTGAAGTCCTGGATTACCTTGGGAACAACCGACGGGAGTATGGCTAATAAGTTGACGGGGCGTATTGAGGAGTAGCTCCATAACCACCGCAAGAAGATATCACTCCGCACTTGTAGTCAAAACATTAGGATCGCCTTGGGCTCATCGAGGAAGGCTGTAGACCAGAGGGACGAAAGCGATGGAGTTGCAAGTAGCCGAGCACGAGGACATCTGGACTTGAGTAGTTGGCCCGGGAATCCAAAGAAAAAGGCGGAGACGCGAAGATGGATGATCACCTGAAATCGTGAAGTGTCCGTAATGTTGCATTGCTCGATTATAAGGGGCGCTTGTGGGATCCATTGCCTGAAGCCGGGCAAGACCTCGGGATTGAAGCACTGTGAGGACCGGACGTTGATGGACGGAGATACCGGATATACAGAATTCCCCCCCAGGGCAGCTACCACAGTACCGCGTCCTGCCCACTCACACCAGACGTGCTCAGCCGCTCAGGGGCAGGTGGGTCAGATCGTGGAGAGAATTGGGACCGGGGCGACAGGGTTGAGTGCGGGGGAATCGCCGAGACGCCTCGGAAGCTGGACAATGATGTCGTGCTCCCCAACTTCCGGGCAGCCCGCCCAGGGTCCACGGGTGGAGTAGCTTTGCAAAGTCCCGAGGTCAAGTGCTCTTTGTGTTATCTCTGATAATTAGCGCAGCTTCAGCCAGTTTTGTCCCGTCGAGTCGGTGAGCCGGTGAACTCTTCCGTGTCGAGGTCTTCTCTCCTCTGCTCTTGTTTCTACGAACACCGCACCGTTGCACCTTTTCCCTCCCGCTGTCAATCCCGATTTGTACTACATCACGGTATACAGCAAGCGAGCTTGTGCCGCCACAGACAAGGAGTCGCACTGCACCAAAGCCATATAGCACGTCCCGCAGGCAGAACCCGAGTCCAAGATGGTTTTCGAACCCCCAAGCTGGGTGCCAAAGCTGCCCTTCGGTAAGTGGGAATCATGCCTCAATCCGAGACCAGGACGATGAGCACTGCCTCTGACGGCCTTCAGACCCTCCAGACAGCATCCCGATCGCGGAGTTCATGACATCCGACAAATATGCCCGCTACCCGCTCGCCAAAAGCAGGAATCCGTTCACCTGCGGACTCACCGGAAAGACGTTTGACTGGAACTCGCTCATTGAGCGGCAGAACTTTCTTGCCCGGGCCATCGGAAAGCGGCTCGGGTGGCTGCCGAACGAAGAGACCGAGTGGGACAAAGTTGCATGCATTTTCTCGGTTAACACGGTAGGCTTGTTGCCCGTCATCTCGTGGGACTTTGGAGCAAGATACTAGTAACTGACGCCTCCTACTACAGATTGATTACTGTAGGTGATGGTCTCTAAACCGGACACCAAAGAGGTCGGCGCGGCGGAGTTGATTCAACGGCCAGCGGCGTCTCTCAGGGCCCCAATCTTGACATAACAGTCACTGACATGTGCACCAAATCAAGTGACGATTGCATGGGCGATACATCGGCTCAATGGCATTGTCACCCCCGCAAACGCGGCCTACTCGGCTGCCGAATTGACCCATCAACTCAAATCCTCGGGCGCGAAGGCACTCTTTGTCGGCGGGCCTCAGCTGCAGATCGGGGTCGAGGCGGCAAAGGCTGCGGGCATCCCTAAGGATAAGATATGGCTGATGGGCATGCCGGGCTTCGAAAACGCGGACGGGTTCGTGACAGTCGAGGACCTGATTGCAGAAGGCGCCAGGCTGTCCCCGCTGGACTCACTGCAGTGGAAGAAGGGCCAGGGAGAGCGGCAGCCGGCGTTCCTGTCTTACTCTAGTGGGACCTCTGGGCTGCCCAAAGCTGTTATGGTCTCACATCGGAACGTCATCGCGAATGCCATGCAGCACGTCGCCTACGAATCCGTCTCCAGGAAGAAGCTCGGCATCTCGACTCAGACTGTGCTGGGACTCCTCCCGCTGAGTCACATCTATGCCTTGGTTGTCATCGCACATAATTGCACCTACCGAGGCGATGAAGTTGTGGTGCTACCAAAATTCGAGATGCCGACGTATCTGTCGGCCATAGAGAGGTTCAAAATCAACCACCTCTTCTTGGTACGGCTGCTCAGATACCGCTTCCCAAATCGCGTCGTGCGTCTTCCCGCTGACAAAACATGAGCACTAGGTCCCACCGATTGTGATACGCATGACCAGGGCACCGGAAGAGTGTAACAAGTACAATCTTGATAGCGTCAGAGTTGTTTTCTCCGGCGCGGCTCCATTGGGAGAAGAGACAATCCTGGAAATGAACAAGTTATGGCCCAAGTGGCGTGTGGCTCAAGGCTATGGTGAGTGACCCGGCCGGGAGCGCGTTTGGATCGGCGGCTAATCCGTGTCCCCAGGCATGACGGAGACCGCCACGATTGTCACGTCAAACAGCGAGGATGATATTCTGAACAAGTCCTCCGGCTCCCTGCTACCAGCCGTGAGAGCAAAAATATTCGGTCTAGATGGCACGGAAGTCAAGGGCTACGACACACCTGGGGAGCTCTGGGTGCAGTCTCCGTCAGCCACGATTGGCTACCTCAACAACCAGAAAGCGACAACGGAGACTTTTGTGTATGACGAGGATGGGAGATGGGTTCGCACGGGTGACGAGGCAGTTGTAACGTTGGCCCCTTCAGGAAACGAGCACATCGTGATTGTTGATAGGATCAAGGAGTTGATCAAGGTCAAAGGTATTTGCTGTTCTCTTCACAGGCCATTTGACCCGAAGACTGACCAAGGACCTCTCATCAGGCCATCAGGTTGCCCCGGCCGAGCTCGAGGCCCACCTGTTGTCGCATCCAGCTGTGGCCGACTGTGCCGTGATCCAAATTCCAGACGACTCTGCTGGAGAGGTTCCAAAGGCATTTGTTGTGAAGTCTCCGGCCGTTGCAAATAAGCCAGAAGATGAGGTTGTGAAGGCCATTCTGAAGCATGTGGAGGAGCACAAGGCTCCCTACAAGTGGATCAAGGGTGGAATTGAATTCCTGGACGTGATCCCTAAGAGTCCAAGTGGCAAGATTCTTCGTAGGTTGTTGCGGGATCAGGAGAAGCATTCGAGGGCCAAGAAAGGCCCCAAGCTCTAAATCACAAACAATAGACTCTGGAGGTCCTTTGGGGCCGTCCGTGGCTTTTTGCTGCATCGTTGTCATTGTCAGCCGGCTGTGTGCTCAGGGACATGTCTGGTACCAGGCAGCTACAATATGAGTTCCGGCTGATGTGGGACGGAGTTGAGTCTATCAGTCAGACAAACTGCTCGTGGATCTCACTCGCTTGTGGTGCAACCGCACCCTCATTGGCATGTCGCGATCAGGAGCGAATCACATGCTTCGAAACTCTGATAGATTTCCTGATCGGGAGACCAGATCAACAGTGCATCTAACCCCAAACAACCAGCTAGCCAGGTAAGGCCCTAGATGTTTAGCTCTTGGACTGCCATCCTAATGTATTTCACACCTTACATGGCAGGTAAGTGGCAGGCAAGCAGCTCTGCACACAATGATGGCCTTGCCTGCTTGGGCCAGCCCTACAGATTTATCCACAGCATGCCAGGGAAGAGATCTACAGTGGCTTGCTTCTTTGCCATTGACAAGCTTCTAGCGGGTAATCACACACATGCCCGACGTTGGGCCTTGTGAAACAATGTAGCCCTACTTAAGTAGTGTGATCGACAGGCACAATGCTGGCTGTTTTAGCCCTGACTAGACAAGAGAGCAGCAAGAATGCAACCCTGCCCTTCCTGTTGCTTTTGTTCAATTCGACCCTCCTGTTTAGGTACAAGCAAGATGAAAAGCCCTGGCCTGCAGGAGAGAAAAGAAGCTTACATTTAAGGTAGAATCATCTCAATCTTGGCCCGGGTCCGATCTCTCAAACCGTCATTCCACTGCAATTAGGTTGACAGGAGGACTGACGTCGAACCCGATTCCAAAACAAGGCCCTCCTGCAAGGGGCAAAGGGGTACATGGGTACATGGATACATGGTACCAACCAGTTGTCAAAGAGTCTAGCCGTGCAGCCAAAGCAGCACTGGGGCCTTCCAAAACAGACGCCAAGAAACGCTGGCACAAGCCGAGTGGCAGGTTCAGGAGCGTTCCTCAGAGGCCTTGTAACACCAAAATGGAGCCTCAATACCGTCGTCCCAACTTCTCCAACCCAACTTCTCATACACAAGCGGTCTGATGATGGACTTTCTCCGGGGGCGGGCATCACGAAACCAGATGCTGCCCAGCCAGCCAGCGCCTCCCGTACGCAGACCACCACAACAGCCCTGGACGAGCCTGGAACGCCAAGAGCCATGGATCGTCCAGAGACGCCGAAGCATTGAGGGCGTGCGTGTTGCCTAGGTTCTCAACTCAAGGCTTCTTTCTCTTAATGGCAAGTGCCTGCATCCTCCGACTGGTTAAGATTTGGCTTGTCTTTTGCTTGTTCATTCCTGTCATTGTTGGGAGCAAACTGGGCCGCCTTCGCTTCCGAATCTGTTTCTTTCGCTCTCATCTTGCCCTCCACTTCTCTTCTCAAATCCCTCCCCCTTTTTTAATAATAGCCTGCGGACTGGTATCCTCAGCAGAATGTTGACCATTCGTCTTGCTCTCGTGGCCCTCCTGACCGTCTTTGGTGAGGTCCAGGCGGTGCCACAGACCCGTGGGCGGAAAGGAGGAAACCGGAACGGTGGCGGCAACACGGCTCAGCAGACGCCTCAGCAGCAGGCAGCTGCCATCCCCCAGGGCATCTCCCAGGCGACAGATGGCTCCACGATCTTGGATATGACTGCTACAGTCAAGTAAGACAACTACGGGATCCCGTTGTCTCGTCCGACAATACGCTAACAAGATACCCAAGTAACCTCGACCTCCGGTTCAAGATCTCCGCTCCGGCGGACCAGTTCACGACTGCCTCCGGAGTTCCGGGAGCCGCCGCACAGCCTGGCGCACAGGGCCCCAACGGCATCAACGTCCTCCTCCATGGCGACGGTGGCCAGTCCTTCTTCGACTTCCCCAACCAGGCCGTCCAGCAGGGACTCATGGGAGTCGTTGTTCTCGCCCCCTCTGGTATGCGACCATGCCTCCCCCATCGTCGCACAGACTAGACTAATAAATCTCCTCAGAGAACCTCCTTTGGGGCCAGTCCCAAGGCCAACCTCAGGGCCTGTCGCGCGTGGACGGCGCCGCCCACTCGCAGGCCGTCAACGATCTGATGCAGCAGGTGCTCCCGCAGATGGTGGCCTTCAACTCGTCCAACGTCTTCATGACCGGCGTGTCTGGCGGCTCTCTCACACTTTCCGGCTTCTTTGTCCCTGCCCACATGGCAAACTTTGCGGGCACCGGTGTTCTCTTGATGTGTGGTGCGCTCGCGCCCCAGGTCGACTTCAACAACTCCGCCGCCGTCGCCTCCACGACCAAGATTCACTTCCAGAGCACGCAGCAGGAGCTTACCAGCCTTCAGGGCGCCATCCCGGAGGCCATTACCGCCTACGAGCAGCTGGCCACGCAGGCTGGACTTGATGCCCAGCAGGTCGGCGCGCTGCAGACCGTCGACAACACCCCCAACGGCGGCCACTGCGAGTTCGACGAGCAGGGCTTCTCCAGCGGCATTCAGCTCATATCCGACAACTTCGCGAGCATCATGCAGGGAGGCAACGGCGCGGTCCAGGGAATCAACGCCCAGACTGTGCTCACACCCGTACCCGGCAACGAGAACGTGCAATTCGCCGCTTCCAATGGTAACAACAAGAGACAGCAAGGCCCGTACTGGATTGGGGCCTAGGTCATAGGCGCAGGGTTAGTGGTATCCTGGGTATAAGAGATAGGCCGTGGCGGAACCCCGAGGTGGAGGACACGTCACTGGCGACAGATTGGAATAGTTGAGCGTCGTGCAGCCTGTCTACCCGTTGGGCGAGAATATAGGGAGATCATAGACTGCATCATTGCATTTTGTACAATGCCCGCTCTAATTTACAACTGTACACGGCTCTCTTTCTCCTATCTTGTGAGAGTCCTTTCTATTACCTGCTGGTTTCGCTTCTATTCTGAATACGTCCGAGGACATACATGGCGCCTTCAGACGGTGGTAAGCACTCAAGACCCAGCGCTTGGAAAGAATATGATGTCGATAACAATAGTTATAATACGATAGGTGCTTGTGGCCTCAGCCTTGCGATTGTCCATTATACAGTTCTCTGAGGAGGACAATGTTCCTCTGCTGCTGCTATCATCCACCTTGGAATCCGTGCAGGTGGGAAGAGAAAGCGGCATCTAAAATGTCCCTTATCAACACATATCCAGGACTCTCAGTTTCAAAAGCATCAAGCCAGATTTGATTTCATAGGAGAGTCGCCATGCACCAGTCTACCTCAGAGAATATCTGCTGCGATCTAGCTCTGTCCACAGCAAGACATGTAAGCTGGAAAGTGTAGATGACATAGCGAGCTGTATCTTCAAGAAATCAGATGTCACGATTGGTGCAGGGTCATTAATTTTTTGAACTCGGGAGCAATGCTTGCACCACTAGATGCTAGGTACCTAGGTACCTAGGTACTCAGATGAGGGCTACTTTGTGGGTACTCTAAACTTGGATACATGACCGTTACGGCAAGAGGGTTATATATCTTACCCTATACCTACATATTAGAATACTAGAATTTATAAGGAATTTAAAGTCTAAAGGTATAGATAGTTAGATTATTAATTAGAAGAATTAACTATTAAAGGGTATTTATAAAAGTATAATTTTAACTACTTATAAAGTTTATTTATATAACTAATTATAAATTTATATTATTTCCTTTTTTAAATAAATTATTTTTAATTTATTTATATAAATTATATTCTTTAATAATACTAATTAGGATATTTTAAAATTTTATTTCTTTTTTATAATCTATTAAATTTATTTTTATTAATTAAATTAAAATAATATAATAATAATATATTTTAAAATTTAAATTTTAATTTAAATTAATTTAAAAAATTATTAAAATAAAAGAAGATATAAAATATTTATACTTTAATAGAGGTTTAACTTTATTATAATAAAAATTTTAAATTTAAATTTTAATTTAAATAATTTCTTTTATTTTTTAAATTACTTTTATTTTAATTTAAAATTTAATTATTAAATTTAATTAGATTACTTAAATTTAAAAGTTTTATATAATTAATAAAATATTAATAAATAAATAATAATAAATAATAATAATTAATAAAACTTATTAATTAAAATAATTATTTAATCTATTTTTAATTATATTAATTTAATAATTTATCTTTTATTTCTTTTAAATATTATTTTATTAATATATTATAAACTTTTATAAAATATTTATTATTAATATATATTAAAAAGGTTTATATTATTATATTTATTTTAAAAGAATTTTATTAAAGCTTTAAAAATATAAATATTCTTAATATAATAAATAGTAATTATTTATAAATTATTATAAAAAATTTATATTTATATATTTATTAATATATTTATAATATTTAATTATTTAAAATAAAGATATAAAAAAGAATTTTATTTTTAAAAAAATATAAATTTAATTTTTAATATTTTAAATTTAATTATATAATTTCTTATAATTAATATTTTATAATTAATTATTAATTATTTTATAAAAGCTTTTTTTATTTTATAAATTTTTATATATATATAATATATATTTAAAAATTAAAGAAGGTATTATTTTAAAGAAAAGAAATAAAAATTATAATTATAAGACTTTAATATATAATTATATAGTATAATTATTTATTAAATTAAGATTTAAATATTATAATTAAAGTTAATTAACTATTTATAAAGAATTACTTTTTTAAATTATTATTTACTTTTTAACTTTATTATTTCTTTTTAACTTATTAAATATAATTAAATATAAATAAAAATTATAATAATAATATTAATTTATAATAACTTTATTTATAAAGTAATTTATATTATTTAAAATTTACTTTTAAAATTTTAAAAATATTAATAATATTTTATTAATATAAATATAATTTTATAAATTATATTAAATATAATTTTAATTTTAATTTAATTAATAATATATTTAATTATTATAAAAATAAAAACTTTATTTATAAATATAAAGTTAATTATTTAATAAATTAAAAGTATTAATAATATAATTAAATTAAAATTAAAAATATTAAATAGAAAAATTTTATTAATTAATATTTTTATATTTTATAATTATTTATTATATAATAAAATAATTTTTAAATATTAATACTTTTAAATATTTTATAAAAAATATTTTTAATTATAATATAATTATAATTAAAATAGAGTTTTAATAATTATTAATAAGTTATTAAACTTAAAAACTAAAAAAGAGTTATTAAAAGAATAACTTTTATTTTATAAAAGGGTTTTTAAAAATATTAATAAAATTAAATTTTATATAAATAGTTATTTAAAAATAAAATATTTTTATTTATTTAAATTAAATAACTTTAAAAGTTAACTCTTTTATAAAGATATTTATAAATTATTTATAAATCTATTTTATTAAATTAATATAATTTATAAATCTATTTTAATAAATTCCTTTCCTTTTTTATTTAAAAATAAAAGTAATATTTTAAAGATTATATCTTTAAATAAATAAAATAAATAATTTATAAAAATATTAATCTTTTAATATAATATATAATATAGATTTTATAATATTTTATAATATTTAAAAGTATATAATTTAAAAGAATTAATTTATTTTAATATTAATAATCTTTAAAATTTATAATTTATTAAAATTATAATTTTAATATTTTAAATTTAATAGAATTAATATTAAAAGCTAATAAAATTTTAAATAATTCTTATTTTTAAATAGAATATTATATTTATATATTAATAAACTTTTAAAAATATAAAATTAAATATAAAATAAATTTCTAATTATAAAAATAAAGTTATAAAAAGTAATATTAATATAATATTTATTTATATTAAATTTAATTATAAAGAATAACTATTAATTAAAAGTTTTATAATTAAAAATTAATAATAATATCTTTAATTTTATATTATTATTTTTATATCTTTTAAAAATATAATAACTTAACTCTTAAAGTTATTAATATAATTTATAAAAATACTAACTTATTTAAAATAATTATTTATTAAATTATAAAGGTATTTAATAATATTAATAAAATTATAAACTTTAATTATAATTATTAATATAAAATAATTATAAATAATAATAATTTTATTAAATTAATAATAATATTATCTTTTAAAATAAAAAAGTTAAAAACTTTTATTTAATAAATAAATTAATTTTAAATATATTTAAAATAAAATTATAAACTATTAATTAAATAAATATAATTAATATATATTTATAAAATTACTTTATAATATTTATTTAAATAATAATATTATTTATTAAATTATATATAAACTTATAAAGTTTATAAAAACTTTTAATAAATTTTAAAATATAATTAAAATATTATAAAAATTAAATAATATTATTAACTACTTATATAAACTAAATAATATAATAAAATAATCTTTTATACTTTTAAAGTTTAATTAAATATATTAAAAGTTATTTTTAAGTTTATAAAAATATATTATTTATAACCTATTATATATTAAATTTAATTTATAATATTAAATATAAAATATATATACTTTTAATATAATTATTTAATTAATAATAATTATAATAAAAGTATTAAATAATTTATTTAAATTAAACTTTTTTATATATAGTTATAAACTTTTAATATAAAATAAAAATAAAACTAAAAATTTTACTTTTATAAATAAATATACCTTTATAAACTTTAATAAAATTATATATAGCTTATTTTATAAAAGATTAAATTATTTAAAAAAGGTAAAAAGTTTATAATTATTTATATTAATATAATAAATAATTTTTAATAAAATATTTATATAATATTACTTTTATTAAATAAATTAAAAACTTTAAAGTATACTTTTAATATAAATAATAATTTAAAAATTATTTATAAAAGTATTTAAATACTACTTTAAAGTAGAAAGGAAAGTTTTAATATTTAAAATATAGTTTTATAATTAAAAGCTTTAATTTATATATTTTAAAAATATTAATTTAAGTTAATTAAAAAATAAATAAATAAAAGGTTTTATTTTATATATAATATATTATTTATTAATAAAAATTATTCTTTTAAAAATAAGTTTATTTAAAAATATATTATTAAAAATTACTTTATAAAAACTATAAAATCCTTTAAAAGTTTATTAATTATAATAAATCTTATAATAATAAAAATATCCTTTATAATTAAAAATTAATATTATTAATATTATTTATTTATATAAAATTTATAAAAATATAACTTAAATTTTATTATTAAAAATTTAAAATAATAATAAATTTAAAAATTATAATTAAAAAAGTATAAAAATTATAATTATTAATAAATTAAATATAAAAAGATTATAAAGTATTTTTATACTTTTATAAAGTAGTTTATTATAAAAAAATGGAGGATTATTAATACCTATTCTTATATAAAAAGTACTTTAATAACTTTAATTCTTTAAATAAATATTATTAAAAATTCCCTTTAAAAGTTTTTAATTTTATTATTATCTTTTATATAAAAAGTAAGGTTATAATATTTCTCTTTTATTTAAAATTATTTTTAATAAAATAAACTTAAATATTTCTTTTAAAGAATTTACTTTAAAATAACTTTAATTAATTATTTTATTATATTAATTTATAATTATATTATATAATTAATTAAATAAATTAAATTATTTATTATTATAAAAACTTTTTAAAAATAATATTTTAATTAATTAATAAATTATAAATATTTTTAAAGAAAATAAATTTAACTTTATAATCCTTTATTTAATAGTTTTATTTATTATAATTAAAATAAATATTATCTTTTTTAAATTATAATAATATAAAAATTAATATTTACTATTTATATATTATAAACTAAATTTTTAAAATAAAATAAATAATTTATTTATTAATTTATAAATTAAAAATTATTAATTATATTAATATAATATTAATTAACTTAAATTATATAACTTTTAACTTTTAATAATATTCTAACTAACCTTTATATAATAAAAAAGTAATTATATTATAAAGTTAAATTATTATTTTAAAAGTAATAAAATCTTTTATTTAATTATTTTATTAATATAAACTTTAATATATTTAATAAATTCCTTTATAATTATTATAATTATTAATTAAAATAATTTATTAATAATTTTAATATAAATATTTAATTAATTAATAAAGATTTTTAAATAAAATAATATAAATTATTATAAATTATTATTATAAAAGTAAAAGCTTAAAAAATATCTTAAAAATATTAAATAAAGTTAATATATAACTTATCTTTATAAAATAAAAAAGTTAAAAAAATATAATTTAAAAATAAAGAATATTATATTAATTTAAAATTTATATAATTACTTTTATAAAGATAAATTAACTTAATTTATTAATAAATATTTATTTAATAAAATTATTAAAATTATTTAATAGTTTTATAAAAACCTATTTAATTATAATTTATAAAAATTATAGAAATATAAAATTAAATTTATATCTTTTAAATTTATTAAAAATAAAAGTATTTATAATATTAAATTAAAAGTTTTTAAAAGAAAATTTTTTATATTAAAAGCTTTAAGAAGGTTAAATTTATTAAATAGAATTATTATAAAAAGACTTTTATAAATAAACCTTTATTAGTATAATAAGCCTTTATAAAGAGTTATATAATTAATATTAAAAATTAATTATATTATTTTTATATTAACTTTAAAAGTCTAAAATTATTAAAAGTTTATTATTAAAAAGTATAAATTAACTAAAATAATAATTTTATTTACTTTATTTAATATAATAAAGAATTATACTTTATTAAAGTATATAATAATTAAGTTAAACTTTTAATTAATATAATTATTTTAAATAATATAAATTATTTTAATAACTTTAAGTTTAATATTATATTTTATTTAATTTTTTAAATTATTATTTATAATTTTATTAAATTAAAAAGATAAATATTTAAAATATTAAAAACTTATAAACTTAATATATTAATTAATAAACTTTTAAAATACTCTTTTAATTATAAATTTATTAATATTAAACTTATAATTAATAAATACTTTCTAAAAAAGTCCTTTATTAAATTAACTTTACTAAATATTATAAAATATTAAATAAAAAAATTAATTAAAAATAAAAATTAATATAAAATAATAAAATTAATATTTATTAATATATTCTTTTAATTTAATTATAAATTAATTATATTAATAATAATAATATATAAAAAATATAATACTTATTATTAAAATTTTTAATTAATTTAAGAATTATTTATTTATAAATAATAATTATTAATAAATAAATACTATTATTATTTAATTTAATAAATAGAATTCTTTTTTATAATTATTATTATTATTATTAAAAATAATTTAACTTTATATAATTAAAATATAAATATTTATTTTAAATTAAATAGTAATTAAGTTAATAGTTATTTAAAAATATATTTAATAATATTAAAGTTAATTATAATTATTCTTATTAAGTATAAAAATAAAATAAAATTCTTTTAATAAAAATAATTATTTTTATATATCTTATTTTATACCTATATATTAAAATATTAGAATTTATAAGGAATTTAAAGTCTAAAGGTGTAGATAGTTAGGTTGTTGATTAAAAGAATTAGCTATTGAAGGGTGCCTGCAGAAGTGTGGTTTTGGCTGCCTGTAGGGCCTGCTTACGTAACTAACTACGGATCCACAGGGTGAGCCTTGGACCAACCCTGACCCTGGTCTCCAGCTTTCACAGTATTGCAATGCGGTGAGCACTGGCAGATGGTCGTCTTGGGCACATGCAGAAAGAGGTTTCACCCAGTACCAGTGGATCGAGCAGCTCAGTCTCTGGCCTAGACGAAAGGATCCCAGAAAAAGTAATGAACAAATTTAGACTGACGCAGTTGGACATCTTTACCAAATACTGCAATGCCCAGACTGTCCCGTGGCACACGGCAACACGATGCACTCCCTAGGCATCGCTTGCCGTACGGAGTAGTCTAGTCTACTTGGTCGGCCTGGGATCAGCGCTCCAAAGAAGTAGAAAGCAGAGGACCCATTCTCGGCAGCTGGGGACTGGGTCCTGTCACCCGTGCGTATCACGACAATCTTGATTACAGCGGATCGCGCACGAGGCAACGGCCCATCAAATAACTTAGATGTTTCTGGAGGACAAAATACCCTCTTTCTACCTCTCTGCTCCAATCACCGAGCGCATGTGGCCACAGAGATTCGAACAGGATTTGCAATCCACACTCATCTCCTCTGGCCTTGACAGAGAACACCGACCCGTCTCCCCCCTTGCCAACCGTGCGCGCTGGACGATACAAAGCTCGCAGCGCCAGCAAAATACTGCTTTGGTGATGTCTCCCACAATTGTTCTAATGAGTCAGTCGCCCTCCGCGTGGTTATCACTCTGTAAGCGAGTGTTGACGGCTGTCCCCTTTGGTCTGTGGGGACGAGACACTTCCCCTGAACCTGGGTTGTTTCCCACACTGTTCAGGGGACCTGTCCCGGGGGGAGGGGGGCCGTTGCGGACTACAGTAGGTACTGCTCTGTTCTGTCTGTCCAGAGGATCTTGAAGCCCCAAAGGTATGCCCGTCAATGTTCCTGGTTCTTCTACTATTAGCCGCCAAAGGCGTGCCCAAGCCTTGCCCAAAACTGCAAATCCTCCGTCGAGACTGGGCCTGACATGCCATAAACGTCGGGTCTTGGGGTCTTGGGCGCTGCATTGCGACGGCCCCCAGAGAACACGCAACGCACCTTGTCAAGGACATGGATCCAGGTGGAGGATATTTGTCCAGGCCCCTTTTATTACAATGCCACAGTGCTCATATGTGCCATCAAACCGTCGCTTATGAACAGACTGGACAGGAGCCAGCCAGCCGGTAAATGTGTCGCGCCTCCAGGTCTGCGTCCCGCTGGACATGTCTCCAGCTCTCTCAACCGCATTCCAGAACCAGAGTGATTCGACTCTGACGATGTCTGGAAGAAACAGTCTGCCTCATCTTGCTTGAGCGCTCGGAAGCGAACGACGATGGACGATGCGATTTCCACAGACTCGATAAAGCCCTTGCCAGCATTGTATCGGCGATGTCATGTCGCGATGCTTGTCCTTGGGCTGCTGTCCCTCGTGACGACAAGCCTCCTCTTTCTTCACATCACCTATCGCCTCATCCGATGGAAGATCAATGATGCTCGATCGGGCCAGGAGATCCATCACCGTGCCACGTACTCGACCACTGATGCCCAAGTCGACCTGAGCCTCGGGCTGTCTGAAGCACAGTATTTCAAGACTAGACAGAAACAGCCTGCCAGTGAGGCCGCGGCGGCAGCACCGACACAAGCACCAGTATCAGCTAGCCCTCTCACGAGAAGAGACACAGGGCAGACCGTCATATCACGACGCCAAAAGCCGCCAAATCCGCTCTTGCTGCTAATCTACAACCTTCTCTTGTCGGACATATGCCTGTCGGCGGCATATGTGAATAATGCCGTGTGGCTCCACCGGGATATGATAGAAGTCGGATCTGCAGCCTGTCACGTCCAGGGCTGGATTGTTAGTTTCGGCTGTCTAGCCACCAGTGGGTTCCTCTTCACTATCTCCATCTTCAGCTATCTCGGCATTATACGCGGCCGAAAACCAACAACTTTGGTCGTCGTTATTGCGTGCGCGGCAGTCTGGGTGCTCTCCGTATTCCTTGCGACCCTTGGACTATTCTTCATCGATATCGACAAATATTACAAAAGGCAGGTTTTGTGGGTGCGTATCTCTCAGACATGCTCGATCTCTCCTGCCCGTCTTCAGCTGACACCGACTGCCGCAGTGCTGGGTTGCCGAGGAGCACCGACTTTGGAGGCTCTCTATTTATGTTTGGGGGTTCACGGCCATGTCGGGGACGTGCTTCCTCTACTCCATGATATTCTACCGCCTCTGGCGGGAAAACCGTTCATCACGATTCATGCCTCGCCGCCCCGACTCGATCACCTCAAGCTCCCGGGTCCGGGCGGACGACAGCACGCCGCTCCGTCCCTCAGGACACCATCCTGCATTCCTTGTGTATCCCTGTATATACACATTTACAGGCACTCCCCTCATCCTCGGGTCTCTGATCCCGGCTCTCGAAAGAATCCCATTATTTAGTAAGCATCTTCTGGATACAATCCTGACCCCCTTCAAGGACGAACATGCCTCATTCTTAGCGCATTCTTAGCCCATGTAGCAAACACTTTCGGGGCTATAGATATCAAGACAGGTTATGGCAACCTTGTGTTCAGCTCTTTCCTGTGTTGGGGTAAAGCTATTCTTTTGGTTCTTGGTGGCTGACTCGGAATGATGTAGTGGGCGCAGCTGGGGCCCTTCTTGCCGCAACTGGCCTCCTCGACTCGATCCTCTGGTCTTACATAATTGTTTTCAGCGACAAGGCAGACATTCGCAACACAGGTCTCGACCAATTTACGTTCATGAGGACGCCGGAAGGGCGTAATCTCGGTAATATTGTATACGTGCAGGGTGGTCAGGACAAGTGGAAGAGACAATCGTGGCATTCGAAGAAAGAAAAGGGGTGGTGGAGAATCGGCGATCGCAACAGCAGCCAACCGTCGCTTCCTTCGCAACAAGCCCAGTCTGACGGGGGAATACAGATGGACATCGTCACGATGGTTGTGGTCGACACAAGTGGAGAACCGTCAAGTCGACAGTCAAGGGACAGGGGCTATTCCACGGATATTCCCTCGATCCCGCCTCATATCAAATAATTCGATTTATTTGGTCAATAAATAGACTTCTGCTAATAGATGACTGCCCAAGTCTTCTGGGTCCTCTCCACCCACCCCATTCCCTATGCCCAGACTCTGCCGCCAACTGGTCTTTTGAACGAGACATTTGCTGCTCCAGTATGCTCGTTGTAACCTTGGAAGTCGGCAGTCGCGACAGGTCGATGGGTTATATTCGAAGAGTGACTGATTTCTGTTTGGTAACACCATCGGCACAATTCGCTGCCTCCGGTAAAAGCAGAACTATCTCTCCGCAGTAATCATCTTGAGCATGGCATCTGCAACCTCGACGGGGTTCGTCGCGTTGAGGTAGTGGCCACCATCAGGGACAAAAGTCAGCTCCGCCTCGGGGGCGGACGTGAACAGCTTAATGTGCTCGGTAGGCACGGTGGTACCGTATGGAATGTCCTTGGTCCCCTGCGAATCGCTGATGTCAGACGCCACATCGAGACCGACAAGTCAAAACTCTCAAGACGCGCGCGCCCCCATTTGAAACCCACATACCTGAAGCCAGTGGACGGGACATTTGACATCCTTTAGGCGGAGGAGGAGGCCATCCCTTGTCAGGAGGTTGAGCAGGGCCATCTTGGCCTTCCTGCGGCCCTCGTCCCCACGGTAAACCTCCCGTAGCGTGTTGGTCCAAAATGCTGCCTTGTCTGGCGTACCATGGTCACCGAAACCGACGCTTCCAACCATGCCGCACCAGACGTCGTCGACGACAAAGTCCTCGACGGGGCTCGACCATTTCTCCAGGAAAGGCGACAGCATGGTGACCGGATCCCAGCAGCCCTTTAACCTCGACTCTTGGGATTCGTAGTCCATCGACGTGCCAAGCACGAGCAGGCCTTGGATCTATCGAGCCGCTTAGTATCAAGCCTCGGGCACATTTCTACGCATCTTCTCGGGTTTCGGGTGTCACCCTCAGCTCCAGAGTTGCAAGGACTTTTCTCATACCCTCTCTGGCGCAAGTATGGCCATCCGTGCGACCATCCAGCCGCCCTGACTTGTTCCGAGAGCGTACGCCCGCTCGACACCCAACTTATCAAGCACCTGCAGGGCCATAATGGCCGTGTCCCAGTAGGTGAAGTGCTCGGTAGGGCAGCTCGTGGCGCCGTGGCCGAGGGGCTCAATGGCGAGCAGATTAACGGCGGCGGTGAGCCTCTCGTCCTCGAACTGGTCCCGGTACAGGGCCACAGTCATGCACATTGCGTTTATGAGAACGCATGTCGGCTTGGACGGGTCGATCTGCCCGTTTCCAGAGATGGCATACCCGGCCTTGATTCCGCCCAGGTGGGGGACTTGGATGGTTTGGGTGGCGGCCATGTCTCCTTGCCTTGTTTCTCTCTTTTCTCCTCGGTTTGAATGTAGGGGAGAAGCCCAGAGTCCAGGAGCGTCTGCTGGTGATGCTCCCGAGCCTACTTCTGCAACACGCGAGTGCCGTCAAGGGCTCAAGTTGCCGCCTGCTGTGGGACCTCACTGCGCTGGTGCTACTGTGTAAGTGGGAATTGAGCCCTTTTTACCCTAGCCACACTAGAGGCTAGCCTCGGACAGCCATCCCCCAGGGCCCTCCCTGTGGGCTTGGAGGCATTGCCTCCACGGTATCGTCGTGTCACCGACGACTCCGTTGAGGGTCCGTATGACAGCACCAAACTGCAGTACCGGCCTCGACGCTCCCAGCCTGTCAGATTGTCAGACCGCAAGCCTGGCATATACCGTATGATATACGGCACAGTCCACATGGCTTGCCTCGGTCCGAAAGTCAATTCCAATGAGTGATCGACACCCCCGCGGGAGGCGTGGTTCATCCGATGACACGGGCTGGCATCTTGTGGGCCTTTCATGACTCAACCCCCCTGAGGGCTCTCCGTGCTGGTGTCCACCGTCACACTGTTCGGGATATTAATCTAGGCTGCAGAATTCTTGATTATCGACGACTCTGGGCCAGCAGAATACGATACGTTACTTGCATCTGTCCATCTTCGATACACTCCCGAGACGACACACTCTAGGGTGGCATTGCCGATGGACACGCCCTCGGACACGCCCTTGGGCATGACCTACTGTGGTACACTAGAGAGCAATGAGATTCGCTTGGGTTCTTGGGAAGCAAGGCAAAGAATTGGGACCATCCAGTACGTTGGACACTGCACTACGGTACCGGATATCTACCAGGTTGCCCATCGAGGCAATGCCAAGCAATGCCCAGCCCAATGACCTCGCAGGCCCCTTCATCCTCTCCTCCCGCCCAACCCAGCAGAGAGCACAACATCGGGCACAGGCTTCTGCCCGGCCCCAAACGCATCCACGACCCTCGTCCCATCCCCGTCCCTCCTAACATCCACAGCGCCCCATCGCTGCTCCCTCGAAGCCCTCCTCGTGCCCCACGGTGGGCGGTGCGCCGGCCCCTGGCCCTCGCCCTCGCCCTCGCCCTCGCCCTCGCCCTCCCATACGCCCACCTCGTCCAGCAGCACCTCCACGGCCCAGCCGTACCTTACCCTGCTACCCTCGCCCGCCACCCTGCCTGGGGGGCCGAAGAGCGCCTCGGCGTCCACCCTCGTCCGGGGCACGCGCGAGCACATTAGGTGCATGTCCAGCATCTGGGCGAAGATAAGCCCAAACGACGGCTTGTTGCGCCGCGAGAGCGGCGTGTCGTGCGCGTATCCCAGGCCGGTGGTCGGGAGCGGCGGGGGGTTGAAGATGGAGCGGAGCGTGGGGTCCAGGGTCCTCCCGCTCGGGCCTCTCGAGTTCGGTGCCTCTTGCCCTGGGCCTGGACTTCTGCTGTGGCGATCAGAAAGGGCTTCTTGCGAACTTGTTGTCGAGTTGAGGATGATGGTGAGTGGGCCACCGTGTTTGGGTGAGTGTGATAGGTAGCGTAGCTGAGAGGAGAGGATCTGGACCGTCTGGTGGGCTGTCTCTTTCTCTCGTAGGCGAAAGAGGGACGACAGAATTGTAGACATGTGTGTTATCAGTACTATATCTGGAAGTTGTGAATCTGCCTCCGTCTCGGACTGATCGATGTCGGGCTGGTTGATGCTCGCCTCATTTTCCTTGGAGGATCGATTCTCCGCAGGTACCACCAGTCCTTGTGCTTCTGGCTCAGGCGACGTTTTCGCTCGACTCATAGGAGAACAAAGGTCATCCTCGTCCTCACTATCTGCGATCTCTATTCTCTCACCGGGTGACGGCTTCCTGGGCTTTGCCTCCACAAATTCCATATCATCCGGTAGACTGCTTGGAGGATCTGACAGCGGGCTTGACGATAGTTCTGATGTATTTGCTTCTTCCTGTTGATCCCTCTCATCCGTGTGGGCGGCTTGGGAGGCAGCGATCGCCTCTTCCTCGGCGGCCTGTTGGCGACTCGAAGGCTCTTGAGGCGGCTTGTCATGGGAAGACATACTATTCAGCTCTTCAAGGGCCTCCCACAGCCCGGAGACGTCGAAGACGCGGGAAATCGAAATCGCCTCCAGATACCGCTTCAGGAGCTCACTGCCCTTCCCAGGCTTCTGGCCCTGCGCCACAAGCTGTGCCGTAAACGTGTCCCGCAGTGTTGGCAGTAGTGCCCCAACAGAGAGCGTCGTGATGACCGTAGCCCGCGGCACCGTGCCCCGTCCAGTCCTGAGATTGTCGACAAACAGCCTCGCCACAGTCTGGAGCCCGATCTGCACGAGCGTAGTTAGCAATGGCGTTGCCCCCTCGGCTGAATGCCGCGCAAGGAATGTTGTGCTCACCAGCAAGCCCACATCCTCGTCCTCGGCGCTGATGCCGATAACGCAACCCCTCTCGAACCCGCCCAGGAGCACTTGGTCGTCCAGCTCGCGACATCCGGTGAGGCACCGGCCGCGCCGCGCCAGCGCGTCCCTGCGCCTCGCCTCTTGTTCAAATAGGGTCGCCCCAGAGACCGGCTCGACCTGGAAGTGAGAGCTAATCTGCGATGATTGCGGCGGCGGCTGTTCCATGATCTGTCTGTCTGTTTTGCCTGTCGGCTGGTCGCCTGGCCGGCCGATTCCAAATTTCTGCAGTTTTCAAAGCCTGTGCCCCGCTATTTGGCTTGTTTGACGGGGGCAGTCGCAAGGCGACTCCTGTCCTATAGGCGCAAGATAGGGAGGTGATGGTGGACGGTGAGCGCAGGCCGCAGTGATGGCTTGGGTGAAGTCGCACATCTTCGTGTGTGTGGATTAGATGTGATGGACCGCGAGGACAAGGCAGCCAGCGAATGCTTCCCGTCACAAGCAGACCGCTTGGTCTGCTATCCCAAAATTGCCAGACGAGAGCGGGATTGTCCAACCGACTGCTTAAGCTTAAGGATGAATGGGCCGTTGAAGAGCGGCATACATTGAAGTGTCGAGGCTCAAACTTGCCTGGGTACGAGATTACATGGGCTCCTAGTCAAATAAAACGGTTGCTGGTCTGCCAGGAACATGCCAGCCACAATGGGCGTCACTAACGTGGTTGAGCCTCAACACTGTGCCTAGCCGATAGTGCATCCGGTGAGCAGGCGTCCATCTGCAAGCCTTCGCTAGACAAGCACAGGCAGCTAGATTGCGTGGCACAGTACACTCTGCGGTACACTCCGCGATAGACTACCTGATAGAACAAACATTGTGCACCGCACCGGCAGATCACAATATCCTCAGCCGCCGCCAGCTTTCAAACAGACGATCCTGATCCAAATGAATCTTGAGAGGTGGGGACCGAATTTGCCTATGCCCGTCCTGCGCCCCTTGCTATGACATAACGCCTAGCTTGCAGTCGTCTGCGCATCCCGCGGAACGTCAAAAGGAATTAGGGGATGGGTTGTATTCAATCTGCCTAGGAAGTTGCCCGGTTGACTGCTGCTGTCTGTCGGACGTAGCGATTCGTAAGAGCAATATTCTTGCCGTCGATCCTGCCCACTAAATAAACGTCTTCCATTGTAACGCACGCTCCCACTCTTGGTTTTGCCATCGTGTCATGTCTGTCTGTTAACCTGCTGGGGGGGTTTTTTTTTTATCGCATCTCGAGGATTCACCGGCCTGTTCGAACGCAAGGGCGCAGAGGCTGTGACCGTTCCACTGAGACCTGTCCCGACAGTGGTTGAGTGCTTCTAGCTCGGTTTCGTAGTGTGCACACCCACAGAGGGTAGCGGCTCAACAGATCCCTCAACGCCTATTCCAACCAATCTCCCCGAAATAAATGTACAAGAATGGTAACCATCATCCACCATTCACCCGTTTCCAATTGCAAAGTGCCTCGACCTGTGACAAATTAAAAGCCATCTTGGTACATTCCGCCGTGTCGCGAGGTCCTGGTCTCGACTAGTACTCTGCAGTTTCGTCTGTGCGCGATCGCCTGGTGACCTGTCGGTACGCATGGATGCTGCGCGTTCTGAATAAGCCTAGAGGGTTAGAAGAGTGACGGAGGCTCGTGCTTGCCCCAGAGGTATTGCTCGCCTAAATCCCGTCCCTGTCGGAGGGGCGAGATCGTGGGCCGCCCTTCAAACTCTTCATTCGGGTAAGCAGGCCGCCGCCGCTCTTCTTAGGTTGCTGCTCGGGCCCACTCAGGGCATCGGTTGTGGAGCGCCTCTCGAGACTGCCCGGGATGGGCGGGGAGGCTGGTGAGCCCGGGCCGGCTTGGCTCATCTTGCGCACCGTGATTTGCTCCTCACCATCCTTGCTCGGTTCATATTCGGCGAAGAAGGGGTTCGTCTCGTTGCGAGCGCTGGACATGCTGGCGGATGTAGAGTGGTCGCGGTAGGCGCCCTCAGGGTTGGTCAGGCGACCAGACGGGCCGAATTCGCCTCTCGGCGGCCTGTTCATGCCCCGAATGCGCTGGGCGAGTGATTTCTTCCGCTGCAGCCCACCCTCCTGGTTTTGCAAAGCAGACTCCTGTTCGGCCTTTTGCACGGCTGCCCTGGCGGCCGGTGTGCCCTCGAGGAATGTCGAGGTACCCAGACCCACGGTCTCGTCCCCGTGGATAACGGAGGCACGGCGGTGGGGGTCGAATAGGGCCATGTCCTTCTTCGTGGGTGGGGCGCCGGAAATGCTCGTGGCATAATCGGTAAAAGCTTCCTCGGTCCCGTTCCCCATGAATGTGGAGTGGTCGGCGCGGGCTTGGAGCGGGCCAGAGCCGCCGATCGACATGTTCGCAGAGTCCTTAGCGAAAGCAGCCAGGGGCGCGCGACCGCTGGCTGCTTTGTTGCGAGACGCGATGACGGCATCGTAGGGACCGGAATGGTGGAAAACTGTCATCAAGGTTAGCATGGCCTATAGAGAATCGGCTTTGGGGGATTGGTGTGGGCTTACGGCCAGTGCCATAGATGCTGGTCGCATCAAGCTTATCAATCAGATCCATGTCTCTGTGAGTCTTTGGCGGCCTGTCGCGGCCCTCGCGTCGCTTGCGCTCCTCGCGCTCCCTACGCCTCTTCTCGCGCGCCCTCTTCTCTTCTTCAGTCAGCACGGGCCTCTCAGTCAGTGAGGACTCGGAGTTCCGCCTTCCTCGCCCAGACCCAGGAGCCGCACGTCGGGGAGGAGAGTTAGGCCCATCGCCATTGGGGCGTTGCCGACGAGCTCGCATCGCCTCCTCTTGGGATCGTGAGGGCCTATGGTTTGGAGGAGGCCCACGCCGGCCAGGAGGAGGAATATTTTCCCCCCTCGGAGCGCCGGGACGGTTCATAGGTGGAGGCCGTTGAGGTGGATCTGGCTTCTTGTCCTTGGTATCGATGGTGATGCCAGCCTGCAAGCAGAGATAAATAAGTACAAGAGATCAGAAAGGCGAGACAAGATTGCTGATGACGCAATGTCTGAGATGATGCACCACAACCACGCAGGCGGCGACTGCATTAACGCTATTGCGTGTTTCACCAAGGTGAGGAGAAGGGAGGGGCTTTCTTGGGGGTGGGAAACACATACAAACATGTCCTCGATGGTAGGCGAGGCAGGGCGATTCTTGTCAGCCATCTTTTCGGTTGGTGAGTCGAGATCTGGGATCAACAATTGATTCTGAGGTTGACTCTGGCTCTGATGGTGATGCTTTGTGGGGTCGAGAAAAGGGTTGTTGGAAAGAGGTCGCGACGAAGACGACGACGGTGGTTGTTGAGGGGCAGGGTCATCGAAAGGGGAGGAGGGACTTTTGGGCAAGGGCGACCCAGCACGGTTGCGAAAAGGGTTATTCGAAGATAAGCTGAGGGACAGGCCGGGAGATGGTTGATCTAAGAACCCAACAGCAGTCAATTGTTAGCGAAGGTGGCTTGTCAATTGATCGGGGAGGCGGCAGGTTGCATGCAAATGACGATTTTGATAGGGACGATGAAACAGCAATCTCCTTGCATGATACAGCGGGGGTCCAGCCAGTTGGTTTAAGGGGACTGGAGTGGGAGCTCCTTTCTGCAGGCGACAGCGCCCAGATTGCGCGCCAAAGCTCCCGGCCAAGCCCAACCAGGCACCATGAGCCCAAAAAGGGGCTTGTAGTTAAAAAAACATATTAAAAAAAATGAGATGTAGACCGGGGAGGTGCCAGATTTGCTGCTCCTTTTGCCATTTTGGAGGGGGCATGTTGAGGGCAGATCGCTGTACTCGGGCAGGGTTTCGGTGCTCACCTCGGGAATCCGGTTGGGTTGCAGCCATTTTTTGGGCGGCTCGAATAGGGGGAGTGGATAGATGCGCGTGGTTTCCCCAGCCAACCTTGGAAGGGCCCGGTTCAGGGGTCGTGTACCCGTGGGTGGGTGGGTGAGTGTGTGTGTGTGTGTGTGTGTGGGCGCGCGCGAGCACAAAAATGTTCAGATGCCCAGTCAAGGTGTGTGTGGCCTGGTCTTAAAAGTGACGCTCCGCACAGATGATTCCACACATGCGCCAGAGTCAGTTCCCCGTCTGTTACTCGCGTTGGTGTCTTGGACTCGCAAATCCCTTGGCTCTTCTTGTTCCGTCACTGCCTACGCGCTAGCGGCATACCAAAATCACACAGGCTATATCAGTCCAAGTTGTGAAGGCCTGGGACTGTTGGGCGTATCGAATGCGGGAATAGGATCGAGTCGGGACTCCGGATCCAACGGCAGTGCAAGGTGGTGGCACGCAGGTTGCGATAGAGGGGTTCGTGTTCGAATGTGGTCGGTCGTCCGTGCCCACAAGAACCAGAGGTGGTGAGCAGCTAGACAGCTCCTGCCAACTCCCTATGCTCTCTGCCTTGCCTCGGGGGCCTTCTTCGTCCAAAGATGCAGTGTAACGTGACCAATGGAACAGCGTCTGTCGGTGTTCTCGCAGCCGTGGACAATGACCAGGGATGACCAGGGATGACTAGGGATGACGAGGGCTTCCGTGACGTCCGTCAAAACACCCAGCGCGAACAGGACTGCGAACGGCTGGCGACAGTTGGTCAAGTAGTAGAGCACACTCCGAGTTGGCGGCGGGTGATGCTTGTTGTCCTAGACGCCAACTAAGTAGCCCGGTTCCGCAGCCAAACCTTCTGGGGAGATGGAAGAGCGCGGCCGAGTCGGGAGTGCCGTTCCAGGCGTGTGCGGTGCAGCAGCGCAGTGCAAATGACGTCTAGGGCTTCTGGTGGTCGGCGACAGGCCTTTGATTGCTCGCTCCACCACCGGGAATGATTGTCGGTTCGCTGGGATGAAACGGCTGAGCCGCGAATTCGCTCTCGGCTGAATAGGTTCTGGGACGATGATGCAGTTATGGCTGGATGGGTCCTGTCTCTGGACGGACCCAAAAAGAGTGTGGTGAGTGTGTGAGAGCTGCTGACGAGTGGCCGAGGGCACCGGGTATTATGCAAGTCATGTAATCCTGTAGATGGGGTCGGCAGGGCGCCAGGCGAGGCGCGGGAATGTTAGGTGGTGCGATGCGACAGAGGACGCGGATGGGCGGGTGAGAGGGAGGAGGAGGCTTTCTAAAAAAGATGTGTGCTGGATGCGATGAGCGAGCGAGCGAACGGGGGGTGGGACGGAGACGGGACGGGCAGTGACGGGTCGGGCACTGATGATGACTTCGCAAGTGAACAGGAGGAGAAAGTCGAGCGGGAGAGTGGCGACGGGATGGGATAGATCTACACGATTCGTTTCCTCGGGCCTGACTTGTTTCTTTTGAGGGGCTGACAGGACAGTGTTATTAGTTGGGCCGTGGACCTGGGGCTATTTAGACATGCCGGACCGCCGTGCTCTGGGCCTTGAGACCGTGGGACCGACCTTCCTCAGTCATCCAACTGCCTCTTTCCAATTTAGGGTGCCAATTTCAGCAACCCAGCTCCTTCTCTTTATCGGTCCCGACCCGGCAGCTGTGCCATTATTACGGGACGGTATGGCTGGTGTTCCCTGGTGCCCCCGTCCAAGGTACCGCACCACACCCAAGGGACTGACTACTTAAGTAACCACCTGGGCACCTATGTACAATTGTTAGCTGCCCAGGTGGTTTGTTATTACGGAGTACGGCGTAGCAACATACGGGCAGGCCTGGCTGGCTGGCAGGCAGGCAGGCAGGCAGGCTGTACTGTACTGTATGTTGCAAGATGATCTAGACCCTGGCTGGACGATGTGGGATCCGCCCTCAGCTCCGCCGATGGGTCCAGCCCCCTCCCCATCCCCATCCCCATCTCCGTCGTCTCCATCCCAGCACCTATTATCCCCGGCGCGGCCAAGCTCTCCCTCCCGTCCTGACTGTGCCAGACAGCCAGAACAGCCAGACTTGTCGTGGGCCGTACTGCCAGCCAGTCAGCATGGAGCGAGATCCCAAGAAACTCCAAACCTTCTCCCTGGTGGCCCAATGCGGATGGGGATTCCAACATATTGCGCAAGGGCTGGCGTTGCCATCGCATCACCCGTCGCCGTTGGGGAGACAACAAAGGCTAGGCCCTAGCATCAGGAACGGAGCAAGGTCCTAGGGCGTGCGTCTGTCTCTTATTATTCGTGCTGCCCGCCCGTTCCTGCCTGACTTGGCATCACGCCTTTCCCTTCCCGTCCTGAAGTCTCGCCCTCCGTACTGCCGTACCACGAGTACGTTGCCCATCCTTAGGTACTTGAGTAGGCGAGCTCTGGCATGTTGATCTCGGAACAGGGGCTGTGAGCAGACCACCCTGCACCCTGCAACTGCCAGATACATAGTAGAAAGAGAGAAGGGGGGAAAAACAGACCCCAAGTGAGGCCGTGATGCCGCTAGCTGATCGTCTCGGTCACCCCCACTGCTGGCGCGTGCTGGTTATCCTTATTAGCCCGCGCCCAAGTCTTGCCTCGACAGCTCGACAGCCCGACAGCCATATCACGCTTCTTTAGTGTGCTTCACATTAAGGAGGTCTCAACTTCTCTTATAATTCAGGGGAGATTGCGACTCTCGGAGCATTTATTATCTATCAGTCAACCACGGCCGTCCACAATGTCTGCGGACGGCCACGTCTACGGTGATCATCTGCGAACTCGCGAACTCGTTGCTGTAGGGCAGGCCCTCTGACATTCCGTGTCGGTTGCACTTGTGTCCTGTTCTGTGTCGATACTGTCTGACTGTGTCGATTACCTGCAACCCCGTCCGCTACATCGACCAGGAAACGAAACCGTGTGTACTCCCACCACTCCGCCGAAACATCAACCCTCACTCTTCCTCGCGACGAGCAGCCCATTTCTTTCTTCCACCAATCCTCGCCATCAACCGGCCATCGACAGAGTTCTCAAATTCCCGATTACCCACCCGGTAGAGCACAGGCTCCCCTTCTCCCCTGCCACTGCCCTGCTGGCGCTGCAACATTTGGGCCATAATTTGAGCGCACGGGTTATTCCCTTGCGGGCTCACCAAAGGACCCCTATTTCCTCTCCCCTGACTACTTGCCCCTGCCCTCTACGACCCTGCTTAAGCGATTTGCGGGGTAGCTGCCCGCGCTAAACCCGTCACGATGGCCGGTGCCACTTCAGCTGCGACAGCTGCCCATAGGCCACTGCTACTAATAAGCTCACCGACAGCCTCCCCACCAAGAACGGTGGCAAGATACTGCCGTCCGTCGATTATGGCTTGGGGTGCAGCCATGAGGGCTGTGGATGGGGCGTCCTCGCTGCCTCTTGCAAAGCGCATAACTCGTGTGTGAGGGCTAACCTCAACCAAGAGTCTGTAAGGTGAGGCTGAGCGAAGCTAAATATGATGGCTTACCTGTTACCATGTTAAAAAGGAAGACTGGCCGCCGGATCCAGCAGCCCTCGGTGAGTTCGACACTTACGAACCAGGGGGGTCGCGGCCCATAGGTACACTGCGTGCACATCAGACATCACAGTACCAGAGTACCACGACCCTGTCGACCCGGACGAGCTGACGAGCTGACGAGCTGTGAGCTGTGAGCTCACTAGCCACAATAGCAGCTGTGGCGACTGGATATTCAATGACCCCAGCCATCAGCAATCAGCCCAATCTGCTTGGCACCGGCTCTTGGGAATCGCATCTCAGCCAGGCCTCTTTACTGTGTACTCGTCCGTCCGATATGTCTCAGGTTTGACGGCACAGCCTGCCAATCCACAGCTCATAGTGCCCGTTTCCGCTCATGGTGATGCATCGCCGGCCGGTGGCCAGTCACCAAGTGCCGAGGTCCCAATGTCACCTCTGTCGGTCTACTGTCCCGAAATCCTAATCAAGATTCTTTTCTGCACGTGCCTCAAATGAGCCAGGGGCAGGGGTGCTCAGGTATGAGCGACCTGACATGCTCTGCTATGGCACAATCTTGTCCATGATGGTAGATCGTGGTCAGTGAGCGCGGCGGAGGTACCCTGTGCCGGCCAAGCGACTGCGGCTCGCGCTAGAGAAACCATAACCTCTGTCGCGGGCCCTTGAGGATGCCGGATGTGAGTGGTCCACCGCCCGGGCCATGAAAAGACTGGGCTGGCTGTGCTCACAGCCGAGGCTGACGAGCAGGGGCACGGCACAGGCCTGACAGGTTAGCACTGATGTGCGTGAACTCTCAGTAGAATCCCAGCTAGCTGCTTGGCCAAAACTAGGACCCCTCACGTCGTGTGTTTGTGCTGAACGGATCGACGCCCGTTGTCCCCGAAGAGACGCAACATCCAATACTCAGGTCCTCGCAAATCGTGAGGACCGGGTGCCCCTGTGGGATCGAGTATTACACAGTACGATCTGGACGAGAACAGGTGGATTCTGATCACCTGAGCCCTTAGGAATGTGGGTTTCCTTGATATGCGACATCTTCAGATGCTTTGTGCACCAGGTAACACTGATTTGAGTCGAATTTCAACCAACCACGGGAGGATCCTTCATAGTTATACAAATATCATTGTCGGTATATGAAAGTCGCATAGCTAACCATTCAACCTGAAGAACCATCCACCATTCATTTTTCTGACACAGCTTCCTGGTGCACTTTCCCAGCGATGATCTCTTTTTCAAGGCTGTCAGTCTCAGGTGTCTGCGTTCAACTGGTGGTGAACGGCAACAAACCTGTAAATTTTAAGCGTTGTGCTAGACTTGACTCATACTGATCTAGCTTGATATGCTTTTGCTCGGAAGCAACTTTCCTTTTACAGAGTGTCGCAGTGAGTTCAAATACCGCCATTATTGTGTGAGAATGGATGAAAGCAGCAATCCCGGAATAAGCTTGGTGCGCCTGTCCGCGACCACCCATCGTATCCGTGGATTATACGTGCTTATGGTCGGTGATACTCATCACTCACCGGCAGGCTTGAGTGCAGAGCAAACTGAGATCTGAGTAAGGCATGTTGTCGCATTGTGTCTGCCACCAGGTCATCCTAATCCTAACAGAGCTTTACCTACTGTTGCGTGTCTGGGTAATGAAAGCACTCCACCAGCTGGTGCCAGCTGTAACTACACCTGCGATGTTTTGGTCCCTGTATTACTACCACTATTAAGCAAGCAAAATCTCTAATCATACATGATGAAATTTAATACCAAATATTCACCCTCTCTGTAGAAGATTAGAGACGCCTGAGAGTTTGTAATACGGCGGCGTTGGGAAAGCACAATGCGGTAGCTAGGATCTATCATCTTCGCGCCCCACATGTTGTTGGTCTGTCTTCACGACATACCATAATGCTCTTCTTCGCAATGCCCTTGGCCCTTTCCATGGCAGCGCCAGCCCGTGTTTTCCGGAAGGTTGCCTCTCCGAAATTTCAAGCCGACGGTCGATAACTTTCCGCGCCGTTCATGATCGTGCTGGCCCCGGCTAGTGAAGCAGATGGCATATATGGCTTAAGTAGTTCTTTTCTAGCAATCAGTCGATAATTTTAGGGAAATTAAGCTGCTTAGGAGGTTTCTCTACCTTATGTGGTTTCGCTTCTATTCTGTATACGTCTGAGGACATACATAGCACCTTTATACGGTGGTTCTCTACCTTATGTGGTTTCACTTCTATTCTATATATATCTAAGGATATATATAGCACCTTTATATAGTAATAAATACTTAAAACTTAATATTTAAAAAAAATATAATACTAATAATAATAATTATAATATAATAAATATTTATAACTTTAACTTTATAATATATAAATAAAGTTAAAAATATTATTTTAATAATAATATTAATTATAAATAAAAATAACTTATAGTTTAATTATTATAAAAAGTTATATAATAAAATTAATTCTTTAAAAATAATTATTATATTAAAGAAAGCCTAACTAAAAATTATCCTTTAAATATATATATATATATATATATATATTAATAAAACCTTCACTAAATAAATATTATAACCTTTATTTAATCCCTTTAAATATAAAGTTAAAAACTTATAATTATAATTTTTAACTAATTTTTATTTAACTATTTTATTATACTATAACTTAATCTAGTCTCTAACCTTATTTAAGCCTCATTTTAAACTCTATAAAAGCTTTTATTTCTATAAGTATAAACTTTAATTTAAAACTTTTAAACTTAAATTTAAAATTCTTATAAATCTTAATTTTCTTTAAATTAGACTTATAATCTCTTAGCTTCTTTAAAAATATATTAACTATTTTAAATATTAATAACTTTTCTTTAAAATAAAGATCTACCTTTATATAGTTATAAACTTAATTATTAATAGCTATTTCTTTTTCTATTTATAGTAGAGTTATTAGAACTATAAACCTAGATACTATATATAGTAATAGAGTATAGTTACCTTATCTAATTATCTCTTAATTTGGTGGGTTGTGTGGTAGGCTGAGCGACTGCTTTTAAGTAGTTTTACTTATAGAGCTGATAGTCTCTTAGGTTCGCCAGATAAGTATTTACTTAAGCAGAGCTAGAACCCTTAGGGGAATAGTAGCTTTATCTTCACCCATTTCAGCCAACTTATATTCACTTAAGTTATATAGCAACCTTATATATAGTACTTAATGGCGTTAAAACTAGACAGCCTGTAGTCTATAATAACTTCAACCTTTAATAGGCTAATAGCGCTAACTCAAACTAGTATAACCTAATATATTAATATAGGAAGGTATCTTCTAATAATAGATAACATTATAAATATAATAGATTGTAAAGTCACTATAAAAAGTCCTATATAGTAAACTTAGCTAAGTTAATTTTTAAAAAATATATTATATTTTATCCCTTTAAGACCTTAACTATTCACTTCTAATTTAATAATAAAATTAAAAAAATATAAATAATCTGTAACCTTTATTTAAATATATAATTATTAACTTTAAAAAAACTTAAAATAAAAAAAATTTATAATATATTACCTTTAAAACTTTTATAATAAAGTATTAAAACTTTTAAAGAGAGTTTTAAAAGTAATTTATAAAAAGATAAAAAGAAAGTATAATAAGTTTATCCTTCTCTAAATCTATATTTTTATTATTAAT